CAATGCCTTCCGTGTATTCAACTACTCATTTGGTGTTTACAGGAGGGTTAATGTAAGTGTGTAAGTGCTAGGTTGGTGCCGCTTCCAGATGAATAGTGTGTTTGCAATTTTCCGTGTGCTTTGGGGGCAATATCTATCAGGTTTATCGGCTTGGAGAACGCATTCTATGCTCCTCTCCTTTCTCTACCCTACTGGTAAAACAACCCCAAGCCAGTTTGCACGAATGGTTGCAGAGTCGGCCTAGGTTCTCTTTCCGCGTGGCATCGATCTATTCGTTTTTCTTCAGGGACATCTAGTAGCATCACCCTGGGCGTCAGCCTTAATCACTTGCGACTCAAGATGCCACCATCATTGTGGCGGGACGCCGTTGCGAACCATTTGGCGGCTTGTAATCGTCCCCTCCTTTGCCGGCATTCGTGCCCGATAATGATGGAAAGGAATATATGCACACGATGCCCTTGCTCCAGTAAAAGCATAGAATGCCCACCTCAGCCCTCTAAGGTAATACATTTATGCCAATCGCATAGTCTGGTTCGGAAGACCAAGCACCGAAACTAATATAGTCTAGCTGAAAGATATACACACCTGGAGCCAAACTTAATGTTCCGCAATACACAAACCCATTGCGCAAATCCAAGGCACCTTTTCCTTCGCAGGACAAACAAGCGAAGGAATGGAAATAAAAGACAAAATTAAAGTGAAATAAACCTAGAAGAAAGTACCAAAAAGAAACGTACAACACCGGGGATTCGCTGGTCGTCACCGACCCAACTACTAATCCGGCCCTTAGTGGCTTATCTATGGGAGAGCGGACGGGATCCCGAGCTTTCCACTAGGAATGGTCGTACGTACTGCTCTAGCTTGCCATAGCGGTATGTAAACCGTTTCCTATTCCCTACGGGAATAGGCGGGCTCCTGCTATATCTCGGATGTGTTGTAGTAGACTCTTACATGTACTCAGCAAGGCATTGGTCATTATTAAGGATGTCTGACATCGAATACAGCTCAAGATTGTAAACTAGGTAGGATGTTCATGGAAACTTAAATGACATACGAATTCGTACCCCCTGTCATCTCACACTTATTCCCTAACTCGGGATTTACCTCCCACAGTTCCGAGTTGCACAGACGGTAGTCTCATGGATGTAACGGATTTTCCCTCCCTCAACCCTAAGAAAATTGGTGCTTGGTGTACCGTCGGGCCGTGTAGTGTCGATGAACGGGAAATCGTTAAAGATGTCGACAGCACCCAGTTCCTCATCGATGACGTAGCGGCGATTCTCAATCTTAAACGGTTGAGGGAACTGGGGCATTTTGCATGTGTTGCCGTTCGCATTCGACTGGCCCGTGTACATGCCGCCCTCGAGCCGCGCACATGGGGTGCCGTAGGGCACGCTGACTTTTCCATCTCCCCAGCTATCGAGGTATGCATCTCCGGCTGCCTGGATGACCTCGCGAGTATCCCTCTGGTCCTCTGGGACGGGATCCCACTTCTCTTGCTGGGCCCATTTGAGGTGCCCCGCCGCATTGAATGCCCAGTCGCCGGTCTTCGCAACGATGGATTCGATGGAGGTTATCTTGTCGTCAGTGAAGACCAGCCGGGTGTCGATGACGTACGGATCCTTATTCGTGGCTGCCGACAGCTCCGTAAATGCGATACACTCGGTACTGTCATGGATGCTCCGGTCAAAGTCGATAGTGACGGCTGTGCTCAGCACGCCCGACTTGATGTCGACAGGCTCGTCGTTTTCGATATATTTGACATCGTCTGCTAGAGGTAGTAGGCTCGGGTCTCCTGCGGCTTGTGCCTTTACATATGCTGCCGAGGCCGCCTTCAGCAGCTCTCTATCGCAGGCTGCAGAGACCGCGGAGGCGAAACTCGCGCACGCTAGCAGGGTGGAGTAGATCATCGCTGGCTTCCACACTGGATCTAGATGGTGTAAGTGACTCGGAGAATATTTCGCATTTTGGTCCTATTGGAGTGGGTCATGGCCTTCTTTTCTACTTGTACCGAGAATGTGAGAGCGAGAATGCGGGGGCATCCCAGTTTTGCCTCAAGGTCATAATTTCCGCTTAAGAAACTATTATACAGCCGATGTACGGCACTTTCGACCCAGATTGAGTATTTTCGGAGTCTGTCCTGGGGGAATTGGGTCAGTATGGGCGGTTCTCAATGCGCGCCGTTGAAGAGCATCAATCAGATTTGCTTTGTTGAATTGTGATAGTTTAGCCGTAATCTTTGTTGGTGCCGGTCCCCGAACATTACCGGCCGGCATATGGATGGAAGACCAAAGAGGTGAAGAGATCGCCCCTACTTCACCAGCAGAATAGGTCGCCTGGCAAGACAAATCAGAGAACAGTGATTATTGTGTCTGTATCGCGTGAATCTAGAACAAGAGTCTTACAGCACTCCTTCAAGGTTATATAATAAGATCAGATCGTGATGCGAATCAATGCTGATTAATAGTGCGGTTGTACTTAAGCCCAGCTAATAATACGCTTATAACTTTGGAGAGAGGCTAACGTTAAAGTACTTTTATTCACCTCTTCGGAGCCCAGCAGATCACTTTAACCTGCGCGGAGATGAGAAAGGTGTGCGAGAGGTTCGCTGTTTCGGGTTCCAAGTTGTCGATACAAGATGTAGTGATGTGAAGTATAATATTTCAATAAGTGGAGGCAAAGATGGTAGCTAGGGATTATATGAAGACAAAAACGAAACTAAACCAAAACCACGCAAAATCGTTGACCCATCGCTCGAATGCACAAACCAAAGTCCGCAACGCTATATTGTTCCCCTCCAATCATCACTCGAGTTCACTGTCGTCGGCCTGGGTCTTCTGGAACTCAGGGCTGCAGACAATCTGGCTGACCTGCTGGGCAGGTTGCAGAGTCCACTCGGGTGAGTCGACGTCGCCATCAGCGAAGGTGGTCTTGGTACCACTATCGCCGCGGGTGACAATGATGTCTCGAGCCTCGGGGATGGAGACCTCAGCCTGGCTGCCGGCACCGAGGAGCTTGCACCGGAGAGCAGGGTCGACAAGGTCGCCGGTAATATCAAGAACGACGGTTTCGAAATTCGCCTTCTCCTTGACTTCGACGGAGTTCTCGACCACACCGGAGAGAGTGTACCTGATACCGGTCTCGGTGGACTGGTCCTGGAGAAGAACCTCGACCTGAAGACGTGGATCGGTGGGCTCGATCTTGGCAAAGTCCTGGTCGCAGGTGACCCTGCCGACAAGAGAAGGCGTCCGGAACTTCCAGGGGCCCTTGCCGCCATCGGAAAAGGTGACGTCAGTGTTGGCGCCACGGAGAATGACAATGGGCTCATCGTCGTTGTCGAGGATCTGGCAGCGGAGGTCCTCGTTGCGGACGTCATCACCGAGGACGAGCTCGACCTCGTTATAGGGACCCTGAGCGATGGAGGAGCTGGAGACGGGGTCGTTGCGGGGCTCGCGGCGGAAGTGGATGGACTTGTCTTTGACTTCATCGCCGCGGAGAATGACCTCGACGGAGCGGTCTGCGTTGATGTTGGATTGCGGGAGGGCCATGGCGCCGGAGGTGGCGAGAGCAGCAAGGAAGATGGTGATGTAGTGCATTTTGGATGTAATGATTGAAAGATAGAGGTCTCTTTAGTGACAGATATGGAAGTGACCAAGGAAGTCACAAAGGAAAAGAGAGTAGGAAAATTGTTTGAAGGCGCCTTATTTTTCCCTCTTTTTCTGCTTCGTTGTCCCAGATGGCGAGACAAAACAAGAACCATGCTTCGCGGGTGCGATCATTTTATAGTAGAGATGAGTCTACGATCTGGGAAACCACGATATCCTTCCACCCTCCCGTGTCAAGTTGTCTGGCTGCGATGCCAAGATGCCATCTCACGAAAATCCCACACGCCTTCTTCCTCGAAGCCAGGCGATGGGAATGGGAGTGCATGTGCGGCCCCCAATGTGTGCCATCAGCCTCTGCGCAGCTGCAGCACCACCGTCTAAAGATAGAGTTTTATGTCAGCGGTCGGTATTAGACCCGGGAGGCTAAGCTAGAGCGGGTGGCGCAGCAGGAACGCCATTGCTAACTGAACGACGTGGGATCGAACGAAATAAGAAACGGTTTCTAAATTCTAATTCGGGGTCTTAATATTAGCACTCGGAGTTTTTGGGAACCACGATCTTCAGGAAATCCTGGTCAGTGCAGCCGAGTTACGCCATAGGGCCAGCGATGAGAGGAAGATCCCATCCCTTCCTCTTGAAGCAACACAGCCCTACCAAGCACACTTATAGAACGGACAGCGGGCGAGCTGGCCCACTACTGGTCCGCCCCATTCGCCCCCACACCCGCGATCAGAACCAACATTGAAGTTGTGAATCCCACCTTCAGACGCAGGCGGCCCCCGCTCCGAGGCAACGTTAGGTCCGCCAGTCACATTTGGTCAGCGTGCTGTCTTCGGCGGACCTCCTTTCCAAAAATCGACGGAGTTTCAGCAAGAAAGTGTTCAATGTTGGATCCATCATTGGCTTGGGCGTTTTGGCCCCCGCCGAACTACCAACTGCTCGGCTGGGAATATTAAAATAGCCACCGAACGGCACCCACATTTCTTGGAGGGTGCCTTGGACATGCGCTGCGAAGGCTCCGCAGGAAGGACTGAAGAGCAGCAACTCGGCCCCTGAACCCAGAAACCGCCCCCAGAATGCATCCGCAAAACTTATAATTATAGACGTACGCGGCAGTGCTAGCTATTTTCACGTGGCTTGCCTTTTGTCTCTTCTGGTGGTTAGGAGAAGTTCACTTTTACGTGGATTCGTTGTGTGGATCAAGGTCCTCGTTGATCAGATTAAGTAGGATCAACGCCGATGATGGCTGAGGGATGACCAAAACTCAGGTTGCATATTCCACACCTTCGCCGTCTATTTAAGAAAATCTGTTTCTATTTCCATCATCTGAGATATACCAGCGATCATACAAGAATCCACGGAAGGCATGGTAGCACAAGCACTAGCCAAGTCGAACTAGAGAGCCCCCGAATGCCCTTTATCCCTGCATTTTCGGCAGACGCGCTTGTTTCCGTACTGGAAGTAGGTGTCGTTGGACTCGATCCTGGGTTGACAGTAGTCGTCGTAGCAGCGGCTGTCGCACCCGCCCACATGGTTGTTTCGCTCGCAGGGCAGCCAGAGGACGAGAGTTCTTGGCTGTAGCGAGCGTCTAACCAAGAAGCATCGATAACCGTGACCACACCGTCCTTTCCGGTGTACGGAGTAAACGGCTCGTCATGCAGCAGGTCTGCGTTGGCTGTTACGACCATCGGGAGCAAGTGGGCGATGCAGTAGCAGTTGCCATATGAAGTCGATTCCGTCTGTATGCTACCGCCTCGCTCGATCGTCTTGGAGCACGTGGCGCGGATACCCTCTTTCGCGCCCAGGCCACCCCCCAGCGCGCATTCCCAGGTAGTGGTGCTGTCATCGACCGAGTATGTCGTCGTTCCTCCCCAAACGGACCCCTGGGTGTGGTACACCTGGGCCGGGTAGATGCCGGCTTCGCGACACGCGTCGTTTTCTGGAGAGCGCGCAGTAGGACATGCCACTTGAAGAGAAGTTACCGGGTCCCCGGAGACGGACACGATGCTTATAACGGATGCCTCGAGGGAACGTGGTTCTGAGTCAGGGAGAAAGAATGTCCCGAGATGCTCATCGCCTTGAGCCACAGTTGGCGGGATTAGAAAGCTCGCCGTGGCTAAAAGAATTGCGAGAGCTGTCTCGACATGCATACCGAGCATCGTAATTACTCCGAATATGTGATGCTTTGATCTTTCGTGGCCAAACTAGTCGTGTTCAATGATTACGTATCTTCAGCAGCAAAGGCAGAGGCAAGCCCGTGTTTTGGGGGCAGCCGACCAGGGAGGTACTTATACACGGCTTCACATTTGGACTGGAAGGAAACTGCAATGCGACACAGAAGCGAGATTATTACGACCGCCTTCAGGCGCAGCCAAATGTAACGACCGAAGGATTCAAATTTAAAATTGCAACGGACGAGCAAAAGGGGAGGACCGAGACGCGGTTAATTGGTCGAATTATGCCGTCACTTTGCTGTGCCTCCCTCGGATGGACACCAAAGTCGGTTGAAATTCGTTGCTCGATGGGATGGGCACGTGCGAATTTAACCTGACTTTAGCCTTTTTCTCCGGGAATTTCCCGATCTGCCCAGAAACCGCAAGAATGAATGCATCCCGCGGAAAAACCTTTGCCCGTCTGCCATGGGCTGCGTGGAACATGAGCATTCAAGGACAAGACCGGAGGAATTCACAATCCGAGGAACCGGGGAGTGGGAATTTGTGATCACTAGAAATCACCGTTGAGCCTCCCGAGAAGAGACGGACTGGGCCCCGCGCTATCACGGATGTTTATTAGGCAAACTTGGCGAAACTTGGCTCCCATACCCGAAAGTACAGCATTGATGTCACCAGCAGTAGAGGAGCTTGATATGGCCCCTTCCTTCCATGCTGTGAACTCGAGAAGCTGTGGCGAGGACGGATACCCCTAACGCTTGAGACAAACTGCAGCGACTTTGGCGAAACATCGCATATATTAACCATTTTTCGCACAATGATAAAGCTGCCTCTTTTGGGCTCCGGCGATCTGCTCTTCTCTAAGCTCGTGAAACGCGGCATTTGCTTCGGGAAATAGTCTCGACTGTTCCTTGGACTTGGAGCTTGGCATACATCGCATGGACAGACCGTTGGACGTCGGTGCCGCCAACAAAACTTTCCAGAAACGGGCCAGCTGATTACTCAACTGGTGATGCCGCATTCAATCGCGGTGGCAGACGTTGCAGGAAGTTGATGTCGCCATTGAGGCCCCAGAATGTCGCGATTGTCCAACACCTCGTTCTGATTGGACCAAGGTTGCACATCCCAGCAAACCGGAGTCCCATCCGTGTGGGACACCAACATATCCCACGGTCGCGAGATGATGCCATCGATAATAAGTCAGCGATTTGAGATTGAACGTTGACTAGGACCGACGTACCTCAGTACTGCGTCCTCTTACAATGGCGCCTCAGTGGGGGTGCCTGGGGCCCCGGAAGCCAAGAGAACCAAGGCCAGTTACCCGCAGCGCCCACATGCATCCCCCAAGACGGCTCTTAAATGCCGAGCAAGTAGTGTGCCCTAGTCGTCGACGGCCCTTGTTATTCGAGAACGTTTGAGGCGTTACCCCACGAAAGGCCGGGGCACTTTCCAGGGTCGGCGATGGCGCTATCGTCCATGCTACGCCTGGTTCAACGTTTCTCCACGACCGAGAGCAACGTCCGGGCGGAGTAAGGTAAACCACATAGGCTGTTGTTGGGAGTTATATAATGGGCGTAACCGGTATCTCTTTGATGTCACTGTGCCTGTGTGCTCTCGTGCTTCCAGACGCTGGCCCCACCCTCTACAACTCTCGAATATTTACCGCAGCACTTACAAGCCGACCATTAGAGCTGAGAGACGATGGCGACCAACGAAGGCGAACCCTTGCCCGAGAAGGCACGTATGTCTGATAAGAACTTGCACGAAGTTAGCTCCGATGCGGGTGAAGTTTCCCCGGAAATCAACGAGAGAGCTCTCCTACGCAAGCTGGACGGCAATCTCCTACCTGCCGTGGGACTGCTCTACCTCCTCTCGTTCCTCGATCGGTCCAATGGTATGGTATTTCTAATTCGCCTTTCCGTGGTAATCATTCTGACATGAACGTGAACAGTCGGCAATGCAAGAATCGAGGGTCTAACTACGGATGTGCATATGAGTAAGCGGACTTCAGGGTCGATGCATGAAAACAACCGCCTAACCAAGACGTGATAGCTGGAAACGAGTACTTGACGGGCTTGACTGTTTACTTCATCGGCTACGTTCTATTTGAGGTATGTTATATTATTCTACTCATCGCATCACGCACAGATAACTATTTTGCACCCCAAGCTAACTTGACTTTAAGATTCCATGCAACATCATCCTGAAGAAGACGACCCCACGCATCTGGCTTCCCACACTAACAGTGGCATGGGGAATCGTCGCGACTCTGATGGGCGTCGTCACCAGCCTTCCCGGCTTCCTCGTCTCTCGTTTCTTCCTCGGCGTCACTGAAAGTGGACTCTTTCCCGGCGTGGTTTACTACTTCTCCATGTGGTACAAGCGGCGTGAGCGACAATACCGAATCTCGCTCTTCTTCTCTGGCGCAGCTCTGGCAGGAGCTTTCGGTGGTCTGCTCGCGTACGGAATTGGACACATGCGAGTTGTTTGGGATAATGGTTGGAGGTGGATCTTCATCTTGGTATGCCACACCCCCACAAACAGTTGTTGGAAATTGACTTCGCTAATGGATTATACAGGAGGGCATTTTGACGGTTTTGGTAGCCATCGGAGCCTACTGGTTTATCCAAAACTACCCCGATACCGCGACATTTGTCAACGATAAGGAGCGGGAATTCATTCGTGCCCGTCTTGCTTCGGACAGCGACGCCACCCTCGACGAAAAATTTACTTGGGCAAGCGTTGTCGAGGCTCTTAAAGATCCAAAGTGTTGGCTGTATGGCTTTGGCTTCCATACTACCAGCCTACCTCTTTATACATTCTCTCTTTTCCTGGTAAGTTCTGCCAGTCTTATGGGTGCCATATGCCATATGCCATCGACCTCGCTGACAGTTGTACGGCCTAGCCTACAATCATCAACAATCTTGGCTACAAGGCAGCTATTGCGCAGCTCCTGACCGTTCCTCCGTATGCGTTCGCCTTCATAACGACCCTCACGACAGCCGTTGTATCCGAGAGAGTCGGCCGACGTGCGCCTTTCATCATGGGTTCCGCCCTATTCGCCATCATCGGCTATGCAATCCTTCTTTCCAATACCGATCCCGTGGGCCGACCGGGCGTTTCATATCTAGGTACCTTTTTCGCGGCCGGAGGCATCTTCCCCGCCGTGGCGCTGGTCCTCTCCTGGCCCGCCATCAACATCTCAGGACAGACCAAGAGGGCTGTGGGGAATGCTATGCAGATCAGCATCGGTAACCTCGGAGCGGTTTTGGGCACTCAGCTGTATCGCGCGGGAGACGGGCCCCGGTATATCGTGGGACATTCGTTTGCTCTGGGCTACCTTGCGGCCCATATCGTCGTCGCAGGTTTGCTCTGGCATATCTTGAAGAGAGAGAATGAGCGTCGTGCAGAGATCGCAGAGGAGGTTAAAGCTGTCGGAGACTTGGATGATTGGCGAGGAGATTCGGATCCACGATGGCGCTTCCAGTACTAGTGATAGATACAGCAACTATTAAAGCGTGGAAAAGGGATGGTTAATTACGCATTGCGGACAAGAGGGGTTCATTTGTCAAGAATACTCATGCCTCATTCGCGATAATACAAGTTATTTATTTTGAAAGGTAGATTGTTGTGTTTCAAAAAGTCTATTGAAATATACATGTATACTCTCAGTCGTGAAAATCTATCCGAACAATGTGCGCCGGCTCATCAGTCCCAAAATCGTTACAAGGTCCCTCTCCGTATTTCCTAACCAGCGTGGGAAACCGACGCGCTCCACGCCATTTCAAAACCGCTCAGGAATCAAATCATAGATTCCAAAAGCCCACGTGTAAATTCAACGCTCCATACCATAAAGCCAAAGAGCGGCGATATCTCCTAGACGTCGTACTTCGTATCACTCCGCATAAATCATAATATACGTATATTGACGCCCCTTTGTCTTTCTTATCAATATCATCCCATGATATGTGGAGGGCTTCGTAATTCGGCGAATTCGGCTTGTTCAAGTCTAGACGTGGACATGCGGACTCCGACTTCCGTGACTGGAGCGCCGGGCCTCACTCATATAGACCTGACTCGGAGCCCGCACTCTTATAGTGGTGCTCCTACTTCGGCCTCGGCCGTGGTGATGGTGGTGGTGATGGTGCCCGTGGGGAGACCTCTCTTCGTGATAGTAGTACTCGTCGTCTGACCACCTCCGTCTCGTGAGGACCCATATGATCCAGCAGATCAGAATGAACCCGAAAATGGAACTGATGACGATACCGGCGATAACACCTCCGCTCATATCGTTTCCATCCTCGTATATAGGTTGGGCGACGATTGTTACTGTCACTGTTTCTTCGCGAGGGAGAACAGTCGTGGCGTCTTGGGGGATCGTGGAAGTTGGTAAAGCGGGCATTTTGTTGGCGGATTTGTCCTCTTTTTTTTCTTCCTTGTCTTTTTGTTTTGTTTGTTTCTCTTCTTTTTTTTAAAAAAAGAGGATATAGAAATCGAGGCTAGAAAGCCAGATCGGATGATCTTTGAAACAGCTCGATAGGGTGGCGACTCTGGTGAGTGCAAGGGGAAATCGTGAATTTGACCAAATTGTGAATCGTGAAACCAGTTATTACTTGCGCTTTCCAGGACCAAAGAAAATCGAGAATCGAAAAGCGAGAATATATAAACGTCCACTACCCCGGGACCCGCCTCTGTATCTCCTGATATCATAGATGGCATGTCCGTTTTCTTGAAAACTCGAACACGGACTCGCCTGTCCCCGATTGTTGGTTCCATCTGCATCATGAGGTCATGCTGCTTGGCAACCCCGCCCGGATTGGACAACTGCCAAGAATTCGAGGACGGACCCGAGAAACGGCCCACGATCTGCGCCGTGACTTGTCACCCCACAGTTCACGGTCGGCGATTTCGTCATTGAGCGATCAAGGAAACGTGGAGGCATCAATTCGACATGGGTGTTCGCCAATCGAAGCATTTCTGGGAACAGTGTCTTGCAGTGCCGGATCTGTCGGTCATCGCCCCCGACTCCGCGCTTGGAACGGTCATGGAACCGGGAGCTGGTTGGACACTGGTTTTTCATTGAGAAGAATCTGAATCACGGCCTGGAATTCACAGTTTCCTACCGTTTATTGGAGGGAGCGCAAGCACAGACTGGTTTCGGACGATAAACGCGGAGTATATGTTAAGGGAAAGCGCTATAGTAGTTGAGAACTCTGATTATCGGATAACGATGAGAACCTAGCCCTCAAAATGTTCACATGAGTCCTCTAGCCCTTACTCGTTTCATCTCCTATTGCAGACTGAGTGCCAAATCCGACCGACAAGTCCTGCCCGACTCATCCCTCAAACGCCTTCTTGAGTGCAGCAATGTCCAATTTCTTCTGCGTAAACATCTCCGCCGAAACCCTCGCCGTCTTCTGCGCATCGCCACAACTCAAATACTCAAACAGAACCTTCGGCACAACTTGCCAACTGACCCCAAACTTGTCGGCCAGCCAACCACACTCCTGCTTGCTTGGGTCCCCGCCCTCGCGGAGTTTCTCCCAGAAGTGGTCCACTTCCTCCTGGTTGTCGCAGTGGATCTGGAAGGAAACGGCGGTAGTAAATTTCCATCCTTGGTCTCCGCCATTGAGGCCGACGAAGGGCTGACCGCGGAGGTCGAATTGGACGACCATTACGGAGCCGGGCTCCGACCCGTGGCAGAGGGCCGGGTCATCAGGATATCTCTGGGTTTGGTTGATTTTGCTCGGTGGGGTGGACGGGGTGATACCAGGAGCAGAGTTGAAAATTGAGGTGTAGTATTGAGCTGCGTCCTCGGCGTCGTTGTTGTTGAACCAGAGGCAGGTAGTGATTTTGTGGCCCGACATGATGGAAGAAGAGGGAATTGGACCGAAGGGTTAAATGATATTCAGTAGATGTAAGAAACGTATAGAGACTAAGCTTAAATTTAGTTTGATAATAAGGATCTCTAGCTACATCGCTGAGAACTGGGAGGAGACTGACGTCGTCTTTATAGACGCCGTGTTCGTTTTCACAAGTCACGAAGAAAACCCGAAGCAAGGCAACCTCCATGTTTCTAGAGGTGATCAATTAACCTTTCGGTGATGTTCAGTAATACGGAAATTGAAAATGCTGGAATTGATTTGTTGAACAGGGATCAATTATTGGCCCGGATGATTGAGAGCATGTCGGATGCCTGTCAGGTTTCAGCCACCAGATCAGGCATCCATGACTTCTTTAGTCTTGTGCAGTTTTTCAGTCAAAAATGCACACTTGCGTGGAGTCAGGGGAAGGGAGCCATATCCTGCCTCTGAGTTCGCCACCTAATGTGACTTGATTCTGTCGATATGGAATCAATAAGGATAGGAGTTAATATCTTGGGCGCTGTCTAATGTTTAAGATTATCTATTATCTATTCATAACACTTCAGCCGTTGAACAGAGATGGGGGGAAAAAAGAAGAAGAGCTGAGATCAGGTTACAAAAGGAACTCTAAAGGGTCGGGGGAAAAAGAGAATCAAACGCAGCCTCTCTAAAAGAATGTTCAATGATTATATCCGCGCAAACACGCCCTTCCCTGCCACTAGTTTGCTCGCCACAGCGAGGAAACCACCTACTAGACACATGGCTCCACTAAACATGGAAACCTCGGAAAAGCCGTGATACCGGTCCACGAGCATTCCGTTGAACGGCGGCCCGATCAAAGCCGCGATAGAGCCGACAGCTATGCCCATGCCCATGTAGGTTCCCATATTTCTGGGGTCTTTGCAACAAGTCGTCAGAGCGGCGGAGCCCCCGGAAATAATCATGCCGGAAGAAAAGCCGAAGACGATAGAGTAAACAACGATTCCTGCTGTGGATTTGGCCTGGTTGAAGCAAAATATGACTATGCCGTTGGAAATGCCTGCAATCACAAGCATGTTCATACGGCCGAATTTATCGGCCAAGATACCAGGGATGACTCGTCCAAACGTCGAGGCGCCGTTGAGAATGGCAAGCATGTATGACGCGAGGTTCGCGCCCATTCCACGGGAGACGGCGTATGCTGGGAGATAGAATAGGGGCGTGAACATGCCGACGAACATGAAAAACAGTGAAGCGACGAGAAGCACATAGGTCCATTCTTTCCAGGCCGCGGCGAGGAAGAACTTGCCGGTGCGTGGTGGTAAGCGCGACTTGAGGGTGATGATCGCAAAGGCTAGGAGAGGCACCATGATAAAGCCGATGATTCGCACCGACCATGCGAATCCTAGAGAACTCCTCATCATCCTGGACAGCGCAATAGGTAGAACGATACCGCCGATGGAGGATCCGGATATCGTAATGCCCAGAGCCGCCGCGCGTTTCTTGTCGAAGAATTGGGAAACCGCCGCCATGGCCGGGAACATCATCAAGCCCATGGTAACGCCCATCAAGACGCCCTGTGCAAGCATAAATTGCCAGTATTCCTTGCACAAGCTGAGCATCATAACGGAGAAGACATAGAGGATAGCGGCCGGGCGAATCACCTGCGAACTTGTCGTTAGCCTAACCCGGGTTGGACTTCTCAACACATCCCGTAGGGTCCCAGAGAGCTTACCCAAACACCATATTGGTCGAATAGCGGACCACCAATGGCACCGGCGAAGAACTGTAGGAAGGCTGCAAGGGATCCGATCCAAGCAATTTTATCGGCAGACTCTTCTTTTAGTTGGTGGCTCATGTAGTACTCCTGGAACACACCGAAGGAGTTTGCGAAACCGAGACCGCAGAAAAATACAAAGCCGGCGCCAGTTGCAACAAGCCACGCTTCGAGACCTCCATCCGGGGCTGGGTTGAGTTCTGACACTGGCTTCTCTTCGCCAACCTCAGTCGGCGCGGAGGAGCCTTCGGGGTCGAAGCTGGGTGGAGACTTCTCGTTGGGCTTGTCGGACATTACCGTTGTCTTCGTTTCAGTGGAAACCACGGTAGGGATATTGAATAGACAAGTGACAAAGGGCTATCTTGTTAGACGGGTAATACACGAAGAGAGGTATGAGGAGTCGGAGAGCTGATGAGCACATGTAGAATACTCAACATATCCTTGACCATTGTGGAGGAAAGAAGAAAACAACAAGGTAATATATATATATATGTATCCACGAGAGGTGTTCTAGAACGAGGGACCCTGCAGCATTAATTGCCTGTCCGCTGTTGTGCGGTTGCCCCGGGTGGAGCGGGATCGGTCACCCATCGGAGATAGACCTCCGCTCTGACAGGCAGAAAGGGGACAAGGAAATCCCCAACGTTTCGGCACCTTAGAACACGTACGCAAGCATTCCGCATCTGACATGGAAGAGCAAAGAAATGTAACTCGAGTCATAAAAACAGCAAGAATTGACACGCGAATACGAAATACGCATGGAGATTATCAATCAATCACCTCGCATGATTGTGAGATCGGACACCGCAAAGAGTTGAAGGATTCGATATGTCCGACTCGGCTTCGGCAAATTCAACCAATCACGGAATAAACCGACCTCCGCCCGCCACCGAGATTTCGGATTTAAGCCTCTGACGTCCCCCTTCAAAGTTCCCGCATATTATTCGTGTTCGGCCCAGACTTTCTTGACGGCATTTCCGTTCGCTTCGGAGATTTTTACTGCCTATCAATCGGCCTTGTTGGAGATATTGATCTAATACGTACATGGATGCCGTGACCGAACCTCAGCGTCGGCGCAGAAGGCCCGCCATGTAGGTCCACCGAATCAGCCCCAAATCCGAATCGTGACGGAATCCCTACTGACAGCTTCGTCGATGACTGCAGCTCCTGCACCCTTTGCCGGAGGCGCAAAATCAAATGCAATCGGGAAATCCCTTGTGCAAATTGCAAACGGTCCAAGAATGAATCTTGCATCTATGAAAACCATCCCTCTCAGCCTCCACGACAAACGCCACTGGCGCGAGTCACAGGCTTGAGACCCATTGAGCCTCGAGAGACTCTCGAGCCTCACAGTCCTGTATCCCTTATTGATGACGCTTCACCTTCCGGTTCTACGGGATCCAGTCGTCCTGCCGGGGCTCTTGTGACTGCTCCCGTGACCGCGCTCCTATCCCCCACGATCAAACCGGCGAAGGAACTCGAATTGATGAGGAATCGGATTCAACAGCTCGAGGAACAACTCTCTCAAGCGAACCAAAGACAGAACCTGCTAGGGCGGGTTGAGGAAACCGAGACAGCCTCTTCTTTCTTAGTAGGAACATTCCATCTTCAGCACGAAAGCCACCTTGCCGGTCACTCGAATGCCACCAGTCGGAGCGTGATGCACAAGAGTCGCCTTTTTGGCAGAAGCCACTGGATCAACGGCGTCGTAATGGTAAGTCAGGTCGCCGGCCCTAGATGGCTTTCTCCTCGTTTATACTGACAACCGGTTGTAGTGGTTCCGGGACGTCTTCGAGATGATCGAGCCTCATGCCCTCAAGGAAGACTCAAAAGCGACCAGTACCATGCGAAAATGCAAGGTATTGGCAAGAATCATCAAGGCACGGCGTTCGCCATCTTGGCCGGCACCGCCGACTCCCGATCTTCCGCCCCGAAATGTGGCAGATAAACTTGTCGACGGTTACCTTTCGACCATGGAGACGGTATTGCGCATTCTCCACATTCCGAGTTTCAGGAGGGATTACGAAGCCCTCTGGACACCTGGCACGAAACCCGATCCAGCTTTCCTCGTCCAGCTGAAGCTCGTGATGGCTATTGGCGCCGTATTGTATGACAACACATTCTCCTTGCGTCCGTCGGCGATGCAGTGGATATACGAAGGCCATACATGGATATCGGGACCGGAGTTCAAGCGAAAGCTCACCGTGCAGTCTCTGCAAACGCAATTATTGCTCGTCCTCGCCCGCGATCTTGTAGGAGTGGACGAGGGGTCGTTATGGATATCAATCGGCTCGATTCTGAGGGCAGCGATGTACATGGGCCTACATAGGGACCCTGCATGTCTACCCAAGCGGACTGTCTTTGCCGCCGAGATGCGGCGGCGGCTGTGGAACACGATCCTCGAACTTGCTCTGTTGCACGGGATGAGCTCTGGTGGGCCGATTCTGCTGTCGCTCGAAGACTTCGACACCGCGCCGCCAGGGAATTACGATGATGATCAACTAACAGGGGAAAACCCTTCGCCGATGCCGGGTAATTATTTTACTCAATCCTCAGTCGCTATTGCTCTCCGGGAAACCATCCCCATCCGCCTCAAAATCTTGAGATTCCTGAATGATCTTAGTTCGCACGTCACCTATGAAGAGGCCCTCCGCCTTGATGCACAGATGAGGTCGTCTTACAAGATACTCCGAGCCAGCCTTCAGAAGCAGGATTCAAAAAAAGGTGTTCCCCCGCCTCAGTTTGCGATTCGCATAGCCGATCTCTTCATGAATCGGTTCTTGTTATCCCTCCACGTCCTCTTCTTCAGTCCTTTGTTGAATTCCATGACTTATGCCTTCTCAAGGAAGGTAGCCATCGAAACCTCTCTTAAGATCTGGCACTCGCTGGTCCAACCCTCACCAACCTCGGATGGTACCTCAGACTCCTGGGATCTAGGAGACGATTTAACACGGCTTGTCACCTCCGGCTCGGGATTCTTCCGCATTTCTGTCAACCTCGTTAGCATGCTGATCATGGCGGAGCTGAAGCTGCAGCTCCAAGAAGACGATGGCCTTACCCCAGTACCGCTGCGGCAGGACCTTCTGTCGGTCATGGACGCTGCCAAAATCTGGACAATAAAAGCTATTGAAAGAGGAGAAACGAATATAAAAGGCTATATCTTTACCATTTTGGTCAGCACGCAGATCGAGTGCCTGATTGATGGGGTTGAGAGGGAGGAGATGGTCCTGCGACTAGTATCCACCGCCGAGGCCGGGGAGGAGAGGTGCCTCAAGATACTTGAGGAGCAGGTTGCCGAAGGGCAGCCAGAAGGAATTGTGGATGATGGGATGAGCCACATGGCTCTAAGCACGCCGGCCGATTTCATGGGGGACTGGGATTTCTCAGACTTTTCGGTAAGCCTGCCTCTGTCACTGCTAAGTATAACGGACCTCTGACCAGTCGTATCACAGATGTTAGATACACAGTTCAGTTTGGGCAGCATGGAGCCGCTGGCTTGGGCGTTTGGTGATGCGCCGCAAGGAATGTCTTCATAGCGAACTGACACGTTTTGAATAGTGGACTTGTACGATGTATTATGTAGGATGTACAATATTAGATTATCTCCCACATTGCAAGATGGCCTTCTCCTCAATCAACACTGGACCAAAACCCATTTGAGCGTGTTACTACTCTCAGAGTAGTGTTTACATCGATTAACCTAGACACTCTTCCCAGAACTAGGCCTAGTACCCTGTCGGTTGTAGCCTCAGCACGTCGTTTTATGGGCTCAAGCCTGAGCTCGTCGAATGCCTTCTTTTCCGTCAACCGACGGTTGCTCGTACCGAGTTTTGAAGTAGTTGATCCTGGCTAGACTTCCCTTGTCATCTTGCCATGGTCCCTAAATGACTGAAATATTCTGAGCGGTTTTGGTAGTCGTCATTTCCACAACGTGCCGTCACGATTCGTAAAAACCACGCAAACTACAAAGTACGCCGTGCTTTGTTCGCAAGGGCTACAGGCCCCCTAAGGTTAGGGTTACCAGCCTGTACATGAGTAATCCTGTTCACCACCAGCACTGCAATTTATCGGCCAGCAGCGCCCCGGCTTGGTACCGATGCTCTGAGATTGGAGGTACAGCGATTGTATTCAATCGAGAAGGTGATTGAGGCATTTGATCTTGCTGGCGATTACATATCCGTCCACAATTGATTAGAGGGAGAGATAGGGTCGGCCCTGGACCAGGAAGCAATCCTTACCAGTACCCATCCACCCTGAACCATGCATGTTCGTGGCTGACTGGTAATGAGATGAGGTGAAGGATGTGTTCAGCGCCCCAGAACATGGCTGAGTGGAACATGCAGCAAGACCTGCCTGGGTTCAGGCATTGGCATGGATGATACCCTCTGATAAATGCAGTGATAAACTCTCCGGGAAGTTTGGATGCGAGTCTCAGGCGTATGAGCGACAGATTTGTGGGAGAACGCATTAGACGCGATGTCCCTCCACTCTGCACATGTCCTCATATTCAAGGGGGGAGCCTGTGCATGTTGAGTGAGAGCCATGTCTTACAATGAAAATGCAGAGTTGAAGAGGGGACTACCAATAAAATGACGAATCTCCCATCCAGCAGGGCTATCTTTGCTTTTGATAATCCCCGATGAACCTTTTCAGCTGTGATTGGGTGACCAGATGAGGTTCACTCTCTCCCCAGGTTGAGCGACCGAACGCATCTCAGACCGGATTGCCAGCGAGGGTTTTGGAGGTTGCGTCGGTAAATACCGCTACTCCACTCCACAAAAAGCAAGCTTTTTTTCTTCCTTTTTTTGCGCTTCTTCACTATCGACGTTTTGAACTTAGCATCCCCTTGACGTTGACACCACGTTTAAGCTTGGCTTGGCGTTGGGAACCACGACGAATCGAATGGGGCTCGAGCCGTCATCGCTGGTTGAGTGCCAGGCTCCACGTCCTCAGGCCCTGGATGACCTGGCCGCCCAGCTCTACCGCTCAGCGTGAGGTCCCCTGGGAATCCTGGCTGGCTGTGTCCGAGGGCCTGGCACTATTGTATTCAATGGCCTGGCTCCCTCATCCGAGCGCAGGAACAGGAGGCCCCAGCCTAATAATTGGAGCTAAAATCCAATAGATTCCGGCATGGCTAGGGTCCCCATTTTGCTCCTGCAACCACTACGTAGCATTTGCGGATTTGCGCAAGGTTCGTGCGGCATTGGTTCAGTCGGCTTCGACGCAGTGTGCTCTGTTCTTCCCAATCATTTTCTTCCATTATTCCGCAAGGCGGCAGTCCTCTTCAACGTCCAGGTAAGGAATAGCGTCGCATTCCCCCCCCCCCCGGGGGTAGACCCAAGAACACGACCAAGAGGTTCTAGACCTGTGCACTCACTACTTCGCTCTCCATAAATCATAAAATCGGAGACTGTTGGACTGATAGATGCGTCTGAATGATGCTGTGAATGTGGGTATCGGTAGAAACAGTGGAGGGCAACACGTGAGACAGCAGACGCTGAAGATTTTGATGGGAGCCTGCGTCCTTGAGATGTCACTGCTCCGCTCTACGAGACGCTAGAACCGAAAAGCGAAGGTCGCGTTCCGCTAATTTTAAGCAGAGGAATACGAAGTAATCACTCATATAACTAATGCTGTGAACCTGCGCACAATAGACAATACTACCTGATATGTATGCACCCGATGGTCTAAAATAAGCACATTTTGAGCCCGCCCTTCAGTGCGTTCATTTCCAGACAGAAATGCACTTTTGAACTGCAGAGCAGCAGCACGGTGTACGTCATGGGGGTTCCTGAGTGGAGATTACGGGAACAGCCAAGCGCAAAAGCAACCCTCCGGGAGGGTGTGCGCGCGCAGGAGCATGGGTCTGAGAACCCTTCCCTCGACGGTCTCGAGCTAGAATTGGTGGAAGACGCTACCTTGAACTGCCTCCCACTAGTTCCAGCCCCCGCCCACGGTTTTGGCCCTCTCAGAAATGCCGACCTGGACCGTTGTGGTGGAAGTGGAAGCGATAATGTAGCTGCAGTGCATCCCAAATCCCATATATAGTGGTCAAGGCCGTCTCCAACAAAAGGTGATTCCTCATCGTCGAGCTCGGTATCTGGGCTGTGAAGAAAGTTGGAGTCGCGGATCCTGAGAACAAGGTCAAAATGCTCCTCTCCAATCTTTGCGCCTTGCTCGCGTATACGAGTCTGGCCGTCGCCAGGTAAGAATAGTATCCTCTGCCCCTTCTCAATTGCCCCTATGCTCACGTTTCCGCGTCTGTCTGTAGGCCGTCGAAGCACCATGCGCGACAAGTTTCTCCGTCAAACATCCTCGAGAGCTACGAGTATGTCATCGTGGGCTCGGGTCCAGGTGGAGGACCGCTCGCCGCTCGACTTGCCATGGCTGGCAAGTCAGTCCTCCTCATCGACGCTGGCGATGACCAGGGCGGTTCTATTCCATACCAGGTGCCGGCCCTCAGTCTGCAATCCACAGAGTATGAGCCGATGAGGTGGGACTACTACGTCAACCACTTCAGCAATCTCACCGTGCAGCAACAAGACTCCAAGATGACCTATCGCACTCCATCGGGAGAGACCTATGTCGGTCTTAACCCGCCGGCTGGCTCGACCCCGCTGGGAATCCTCTATCCCAGGGCCGGTACCCTCGGTGGATGCAGTGCCCACAACGCTCTTATTACCGTCTATCCTCACAAGAGCGACTGGGATGGCATAGCGTCCCTCACTGGTGATTCTTCCTGGTCGGCGTCCAACATGCGCAAATATTTCGAGCGCTTGGAAAAGTGCACGTACCTCCCCAACGGCATAGTGGGCCATGGATTCAGCGGTTGGCTCTCCACCAGTTTGACTGATCTGACACTCGTCGCGACCGACCTCAAGCTTCTGAGGATTGTCCTAGCTTCCGCTATTGCCATGGGCCAGGGCGGTCTCCTCTCGTGGCTAATCACCACCGTTGGAGGTCTTACCGGCGTCCTTCTCAAAGATCTCAATGTCGACAGCCCCAACAGGGACTCGACTGAAGGAGTGTACCAGATGCCCATTGCTACCGACAATGGCTCACGATCCGGGCCCCGCCAATTCATGCTTGACGTGGCCAACGCCCAGAACCCCGATGGATCCCGAAAGTATCACCTGGACATTCTCCTCAACACCCTCGTAACAAAAGTCCGCTTTGACACGACCGACAGCAAACCCCGCGCGGTGGGCGTCGACTTCCTGCATGGCCAAAGCTTGTACCGCGCCGATCCCCGCTCAAACGGTGCTGGAAGCGGGACCCCCGGTTCGGTCGATGCCTCGAGCGAGGTAATTCTTGCCGCTGGTGCATTCAATACCCCGCAACTTCTCAAGCTCAGCGGCATCGGCCCGCAGGACGAACTTGCGTCGTTCAACATTCCCGTAGTAGCCAACCTCCCCGGCGTCGGCACGAACCTGCAGGATCGCTACGAAACCACCGTGATTGGAAAGACTACCTCTGATTTCGCCGTCACGTCGGACTGCAACTTCTACCGCACGCCTGATGATCCGTGTCTGACGCGCTGGAAGAACGGCGGCTCCGTCTCGACGCTCAAGGGCGTGTACGCGTCCAATGGTATCGCTCTCGCTATTACCAAGAAGTCGACCTCTGCCAGCAGCAGTGATGATCCGGACATCTTCATCGCTGGTGCACCCGTCTCTTTCCCAGGTTATTATCCAGGCTACTCTGCCGACGGCACTGCTGATGCGAGACACTGGACGTTCCTCACCCTCAAGGCCCATACCCGCAACCGCGCCGGCACGGTCAAGTTGCGATCCACTGACCCCCGTGACACTCCCCTTATCGACTTTAACAATTTCGCCGACCCGGCGGCGGCGGCGCTCGACTCTAGGGCTGTGGTCGAGGGTATGAAATTCACTCGAAGTCTTTTTACCTCGATAGGAGGGTTCACGGAAGTCTGGCCCGGTGCATCTGTTTCTTCGGACGCGCAGCTCGATAATTGGGTGAGGAAGGAGGCCTGGGGTCATCATGCAAGCTGTACCTGCCCGATCGGTCCCGATAGTGATCCGATGGCGGTGTTGGACTCGAAATTCCGGGTGCGAGGCGTAGATGGTTTGAGGGTCGTGGATGCGTCGGTGTTCCCTCGAATTCCGGGGTACTTCCTTGTGGTTCCGGTTTACATGGTGAGCGAGAAGGCGGCGGACACGATTCTTGGGGTCGCCTAGATGGCGGAGCTGAGGGGAGAGAGAGGGCATTTTTACAGTCAATCTTTTTTATTCGAATTTTTCGTGTATTGGAAACTCTGGTCGCAATAATTAATACTATATATTGATCCACATCGATTGATCTATTCTAAGGGCCGTTCCGGATCGACAATTGCATGAAAGTGTGATCGACAATTCTGCATTGGCACGATCATTCTTCAAGACTTGGCACCGGGGAAGTCGACCAAACTTTTGGTGATCAATTGATTCTCAATGAAAGAGCCGCACTAATTGCAAGCAAACATCTGGGTGAGTCTTGGGATGCTCCGTTTTTCCGAGAGGGCGCTTCGGCAATGATTCCGAGAAGTCCCATGGAGCCAGCATTAGGCATTAACCCAGGCTGGATGAGCGCGGTTGGTAGTCCGCGAAGTCGGTAGTCTACGATGCCCAGGGAAACTGCCGAATGCCGTGCTCAAGGGAAACCCCTGAACCCCTGGCTCACTCGGTTGACCAGCCTGGCAAATACTTCGTATGAAGTCATAGGGTTCCTGGAGATCCGAGGTGCTCTGGGATGCGTACAAGCCTACAAGGTTCCCCAAAGAAAATCTGGTGAGAAAAATGTGAGTTTCTCACGATTGTGATGCATCATAAATGCGACATCGAACGACCAGGCATTTGGATTTCGTCAGTTTTAAGAGAGAAAAGTGAGTCCATCACTTGAGACTCAGTCCAACCTGGCCGTTGAGCATGGAGAGACATTTGATGCGCTGCATTCTGGAACGGGACATAAATTTCTGAAAAACAAGCAATAAACAGTGCCCTCGAATAAGACACGAGTTTCCGAGAGGGATTTACTTTGCAGAAGGTGTGGTATTGCTTGATTTACGTGAATATTGCTTCGTGCTGAATGGACAAGAGTCGTAATCTCGCAGGGGAATGGAGTAGAAGTGGCGCTGCTGAAGAGTCCGTCTCTGACCAACTGCATAGCGACTAGCCTGGCGCAAGCCTAGCTCGAGATCCAGGGCCAGCTGAATGGGCAGGGGTCCGGGTTCCAATGCTAGTTTCCATAGCGCTATCGATGCAGGGGATGTGACAGTAACACGGCTGGCCAGTCATGGCCAGCGGAATGAGGGAGAGTTCTTTCCGAGGTGCAAGGTACCCGAGGGTGAAGGGAGCGTGGGAGAGTGGGAGACCAAACGGAAGGGAGAGAAAGCATGGAAGCAAAACAATCCAGTTCGTCTGACCGAAGGGAAGGTTCTTTGAAGGAAGCAGGCATTCCCGCTGGGATGTAACGGACTGGGGGAGGATCGAGGAAGAAGAGGGGTTCTTCGGACATCGCGCTTTTTGGGAGGTGGGCTGCGGCTGGACAAATTAGGCAGGGATCTACAGCCGTCTTGCGTATTTCGGTTGCTGTTCCGTGGGAGCGTCCAGGAGCGCAATGTCGTCTCCAGGATCGATCAGACTGGAGCCCAAGATCAGTCAAATTTAGTTTCAATTAACTTTGTTCTAGTGCTTCGTAGTGTCCTCTGCTCTTCGCACAGATTCACAGGGGAAAGAAGAGACTTTAAATCCCGTAAAGCCGACCGCCTTTACAACACAAGCACGCTGGATCAACGCTGTGTTTGATTTACTCAGTTGGGCCTAGGAAGAACTAACCTCCACGAGGTTTACTACGCCTTGACTTTCCCCAGTCAGGTCGGCAATGGCGGTCAACTATTGTTTCGCTCGGTTCCCCTCCTTGAGCTTGTCTGTGTACGAAGTATGGGGAAGCCCCAACCACTTCTTCGACAAGAGGGATTAAAAGTTTTGTTCCACTAATAGTACGAAGCATTGTGCTTTTCCCCGTTTCCCCACAAGGCTTGATGCCACCTCCAATGTGTCTTGGTCCCTGGGTCTTGCCCACCAACACACCGCAACACCAACATCCCGAGTTTGGTGGACGAACAGACCTCCAGGTACCAAGTACAGTACACCATATCCTCTTCACTGAGTGAAATAATCCCTAACACGAGGGAGGGTGATCCCTGGGAGAATACGGATTGGTCTTGCCTGTACAGGTTGAACGCGGATAGACTTGCAGTATCATCGGCCAGCGACAGCATTCCCCAAGTAAGATGAGGAGATGGGCAACGTAATTCGCCAGTCTCTCTCATCGCTCCAATCACCTAGCTTTCCGACGCACCCTCACCCGGTGCGTTTCCGGAATGTGGCTGGACGATCACAGCTCAATAAATCTGATCCCTGTCCGACCGCCCACACCAGGCCTAAAGCCACTCATTCATCTCTCTTGACCAGCATTCGGTGGGAGCTGGGAAACTAGTAATAATACAGGGGCCTGAGTACCGTCGCATTCCGCCCCCAACTTGACCTCCTGCCTCATAGCAATTTTGCTGATTGTTGCAATCGTTGCACACAACAGTGCGCACTGGTCTAGAACCAATCTAGCTTGGCTGCTAAACTTGCTATTGATAGCGTTGAACACACAAGCTAACGCGGTCTTGGGCGATCCGCCCTACACGTCACCAGCATTAGACCCATCGGTTTCGTGTCAAGACCCCTGCCCCAAGGTCGCAGGTGTCAGGGATGAGCTTATCCATCATCGGTCTTTGGGATGAGTGACCGTGTACTCCGGAGATACCCCATCGACAAGCCCGGGCCGCCTTACAACCCTGGTTACTTGGATGTAGAGTCGAACCAACAGGGCGGGGGCGTTCCTTTTCTCAAGAGAAGAGCCATGGAATCCTGTCACGCCGGAGCAACAAACCGAAGGTAGAACCTTCCCGCCTCCATCTTGGCTTGATATGCATCCTGCTCTCAGGTTCTTCCACTCTTGATCCACCTGAGGGCCAATAAGTTCACCAATAATCCACAAGCTGAGGTCTGAGGGGCTCAGAATCCTCTTTGGCTTCGTTTCCCAGTGGATTTTTTTTTCTTTTCTTTTCTTTCTTTTCTATCCCTACCGGTGGGCCTTATCCCTGCTCTGTCAAACAACGACATGCCCATCCCATCACATCCATGCCCCGCCCTATCTTCATTCTGGTAGCTATATGAGCGCCGTTATCCGGCTCATCACTCCCACCGTTGCGCCATTCTCGCCGATCACTTCCTAGAATCTTCTCCGGTCCTTTGGAGACGCGGCTTGGTTGCGTATCATTTTATCTATCCACACTATCGCTCTAAGACACACATTAAACATATTTACCCTTAGCGTTTCCCTCGTCGTTCATTTTAATCATTCTCCAACCCGCATCCTCAGCTGGAGGAATCCTCAAACCTTTCTCCAACTTTAAGCCACCATGGGACTCCTGCCGTTGACTTACTCGCGTCCCGCGTACGTACCACCCGAGGACTCGAGGAAAAGCCTCGAGTCATTCAGTACAGAGAAGGCTTCTCTTCGCTCCGGGAGGTCTGGTCTGTCAGCTGGTATCCCTGATGCTCTCGCCTTCGATAAGATCATTTCTGGGGAGACATGTCCGGTATGTCATCAATGTTGAGAAAGAAAAAAAAACGAGTCATCTAGTCATCTACTAACAGAATTATATAGCCCATGTCTGTCCGCGACTTCATGAATTATCTTCTTTTTGTCGAATACTCGGCAGAAAACCTTCAGTTCTACCTCTGGCACCGGGATTATGTCCAACGATTTGCCCAAGCCCCCAGGTCTGACCTCGCTCTTGCTCCGCAATGGACCAGGGCGATGGAGGAGGAGACGGTCTCCAGGCTGCAGAGGGAGGCCGCCGAGGATAAGCGACGTGTCTGCACGGGTGCCGCGGAGATGTTCAAGGGTACCGATTTTGACAAGAAGAGGCCCATAGAGACCGTGACGGAGATAGACCCATTCTCACCGAGAGCAACGACAAGCTACAGTAACAAGGAGTCAATCTACGCGCTATCATCAATGGCGTCAAATACCAGCACTCTTCGGTCTCCCACAAGCGAGGCTTTCGCCTCCGTGGGTGCTAAAACTCCATGTAAGCATTCTCAAGCGAGCCCTCGCTATCTCAGACCTAGAAATTTGCTGACGATGTCTACCGCAGTCACCATTCAGCCCTTCCGAGAAGAGATCGACCGCATCATCTCCACCTACATCATGGTCGACGCTCCTCGGCAACTCAACCTATCCGATCGAGACCGCCGCACACTCCTTCATGCCCTCTCCTACACAACCCACCCGTCCGCGCTCCGGATTGCCTTCGAATGGGTCGACTATTCTCTCCGCTTCCAGAGCCACCCCAACTTCGTCCGATGGTCCGTCTGCAACGGCAACCCGCCCCGCGTCTCTTTTGCTCGTATGCTAGGTTTCAGCGGGATTGCCATGTGTCTTGGTTTCGCCATCATGTTGACTCTCAGCACATCGGCGAGGGGATATCGAGCGATCTTGGCAATTGGCTGGGCTATAGGCATCTGTGCCGTGGTGGCGAGCTACCGAGGAATGTGCATCTGCATGTATGCCATGCACCATCGACACATTCGCCCCTGGGAGCTCTTCCTGGACGCGGAGGAGAATCCCGAGGCCGTAGGGAAGCGGTCGTTTGACTCGTTCGGCTCGAGTAACAGTTTCGAACACGAGCCGTGGCTAGTCAAGTACTCCGAGAAGAACCTGATGCGCAAGATCTTCGATAAAGAGAGGTGGATTGAAGAGCCGATGCTCCGACAAATTCAAGACACGATCTTCGTGCAGTCCCTGCTTATTGGAACTGCGGCCGCCGCTGTTCTTGCCCTCATATTTGTGCTCATTCCTTCTGGAAATCTCTTTTCCTTTTAAATCTGTTTCCTTTGTTTATACTGAGCGCAGTGTTCGCAGGACTGCTGTTGGTTTCCTATGTTTTAGTATATATGCGGATGGAGTCACGATGAATATGACGTGGCCCGTCTTTGAATTTACACGTCTACGAGGGCGTTTGAGGGCTTATTGAAAACAGAATGGAACGGCGGAGCCTTATGGGAAAATGGGAAGGAAAATGGGGTTCGGCCTTGTTTGGTTTTAGGTAGTATACCCACTCGTTTACGACCGCTGTGTCACCACTATTCTTTTTAATAACTCCCGGGATAGCCAAGGGTTTAATCTGATTTTCTTCCCCAGTTTGAATATCGCGCTCATTATCGTGCCAATCGATATAATGTGCCCTCATGAATCAAATATCTTTGAGTTCCAGTCCTGTGGGCCGTGGCCTTCTTACTTCGAATCCAAGATGCCCAAGGCAATAGTTCCTTGGCCGCAATAATACAAAATCCAAACCGCGTACCGCATCCATACACTATGCGGCGACCCAGGAGCAAGTAAGAATCGTTCGGTTGCCAGGATGGAATCCGATATCGTGAAATAAACAGCCCCCGCGATAACCCGGCCACTTTCCTGCGTCAGCGACGAGAGAACCATGCCGGCGATGGTCGTAGCGTACACCAAAATCGGAACTCGCAGATCGCTCTCCACGCGGGGCACCAAGATTTTGATCATCATCGAGGTCAAAGCTACCAGGATAGCGGCGGCACCGACTCGCCAGGTTTCCGCCTGTATCCCAGCCACCCCGCGCCCCTTCTTCGAGAAGAGCGGGATGTAGAGAAGATGTGCCATCAGGAAGCTGCCGAGACCGAGGAGGAAAGGCATTTCCCCGTCCCAGGCAAGGAAGGCATCGCCGACGGAACCGAGAGCGAGCGCCGCAGAGAGCAGGGCTGGTCCACCTCGTAGGTGGGAGTAGGCCGCAAGGAGAGATGTCGAGCCTGCCTTTGTGAACATGCGCCAGTAGCTGGGTGGTGAGAGGGTATCTAAGCCGTACAGAATGGAGAGAATGGAGGAGATCCCAAGCACCGCATTGCTCAGTGTTGAAGCCTTCGCTGGCGCCATGGCGGGCGGTTTGGCAGGAATTAGAGATATTCGAGAGATGATGAGCCGACTACATATAGCCGAGCGACAATGGCTTTGTTGGCAGGCAGATTTTGGCCTTTGAGCACTCATGAGGTTCGAATTGGAACTTGGGTTCTGTCTTCAACAGAAGCTTGGACGATTTGACCTGCCATTTGAGGCTAGTGCCATCCTAGTTGAGCCGAGGTGATTGATTGGGTCGAGAAGAGGGGCGAGAGCAACATGTGGACTGTGGAATTACTCCGTAGGCTCTGGCGATATTCCAGATTTGCTTCAGGTGATGTGATGAAGCTTAGGTGCGGAAGATGCTCGCTAATTCTATGACCGTATATCCCAAATATCTTGAGGCTTAAATAGCGTCGTGGGTTTTCACTGCTACTGAGGACATTAACAATTGTTCCTGTCCGCATCTTAGCAGCGAGCCCGCGTTGTGACATTTAGAAGTGTGCGATGGAATTATGCCATGTGGCTTTTGAACCTCCGAAGAGAAGAAAACGATAATCTCAGTCGTCAAGCCTGTGTGCAGCCATCCCCTTGTATGAAGGCCGAGCAACGCCATGGCAAGAGGCGATCCCGCCAGCTTATACTCGTGGTAAAGTTCTAGTTGTAGGTGCATAGATTCCTAGCACAAGTTTTTGCCGAATTCCCTATCTAAAGTGGACCGTATTGAATATGAGTCCTAAGGAGGCCGCTCACGTATCCTCAGCACTTTAGCGCTCTAAAGCCTTCGGGCCGCTGCCGGGAGAGGAACATGACGAAGTCCGCGGCGCGCTTCCACCATTCTATCCACATTTCACGCTACCCGGAACCATTGTCCAGTGCACTACCGTGTGTCTGGCTGCGCCTCCTTGGTTATTCCTGCGTTGGCCGTACTCTATTCTCCCTTCGCTGCCAAATCCAGTATACCATGAGCGTGCACAGGGCAAGAGTGACGGCCACCAGGACACCGGTCCACATCTGCTTGTGAACCGCAAACGAGGATTTCCTGGCGACAAGCTCAACTTCACTCACCACTTCGACAAAACTAGTGCTAAAAATGGCCTGCCGTTGATGGGAACCGAGGTTAGTGATAAGTAGCCACGTCTGTATTGAGTTAGGTTTGGGTAACACCATAGGAATAATTCTAGAGCCGTTCCCTGCATACATACCAAGACTAGATTTGTGGGTGAATAGAAGAGGGCGGTCAAAGTCATGATGCACATGATACGAGAATCGCGATGCGTTCTATTGGTGAGCGATGCGATAAGTCTGTTCTCATCTGAATCCTCTTGGGTAATTTGCGCGAGCTTGAGGCCACTGCTATGCATAAGCTCTTGACCATGGAACTTGAGAATGTCGGTGTATTACTTGCCTCACTGTTAGTACCATCCACCTGACTGGAGGACATAGAGAGCGAAGAGAGCAAAACTCACCAACATCCTTACATCGTCGGATACGTTCAGGATTTTCTGGACTATCCGTATGTAGTTATTCACTTCGCCAGATATGTTGAGGATGTCTTGTTGGAAGGCCTCGAGGAGATATATCGAAGCTGTCTGTCTCGAAGCGCTTTTCCTCGTGAGCCCCGACTGCACCAACTATATCGACAGTATTTAGCAAGATGGTATGTGCAAGGTGTAGCTTTTTTTCGTAGGGTATGCATTGTCTGCTTTGATGAGAAGTTAAGCCCGAATTCTGCATATGGCTTGTAGACGGCGACCACATGATCCTATAGCTGGGAGGTAAGCCTATTATATTAAACAGAGTGGAAATTTCATCACTGCAGTTCTTGTACATCATGATCGTTCCATTTCTACATTCTCGGAAGTGCAGACTCACACATGTTTGAAGCTGTTCCGCGATGTAGTTAAGGTACTCTCTCTAGTGACCGGTGGCCGCCTCAAGAGAGTCGATATGAAGATGTAGAGGATGGCTTCGCTCCCCTGGCGTTACACTCTTAACACGCTGGAAAAATAGCACTGGTGGCTGTATAATAACCGAGGTTAAAGAACTGTTGGCCTGGTTATATGAATGGTGGAGGGCCGACTGACGACAGGACCACCCTCACGCTCGCCCATGGCGTTCGAAGTGGCGAATATTATAACAGACCGCTGTTCCAGAAGGAGGAGCTTAAAACGGAACCATCAACGAGTAAGTCGCAAAGATGCTAAAGTTATTTCGAGCACCTACTTGGAGATTTCTGCGTTCTGTGCGATCCTAGGTCCAGAGTGGCTTTTGAGCGATGGCATGCCATGTAGTCTTCATCAGAGGATGCATACTTTCTCATGAAACCGGAAACTAGTTTGAGAAATTGTGGTGTAATTCTGAGGGATGTATACATCTGCTGGAACATATCCGCCGTGGCGTCTATCACGCTCCATGAGTTGCCGCGATTTAAAAAGCTGTGCTCGGGTTAGTTAAGACTGCCTCATGGGACGATTTTACCCAATAATGGGTTCGCTCTTCTAAAGGGACAACGGTCGATCATTGTGACCGCCTTCAACCATCGGGACCAGCTCGTCCTATATACCACTAAGCCATGGGGGTCGGCCTCGCCTAGATGTAAAATGATGTAGATCAGGGCAAGCCTAGGATATGACTGTGAGTGTCCGCGCTGCGTGGCTGACACCGGCCGCAACTAGGATCTGTGAGTTTTCCTTCAAAATTAGACCTTTGGTAGACGTTGCTTTGCAACTGGGACCGGCTTTATCTTGTACTATCTGCTCGCTATCGGTCAACTGGGCCAGGTGATGAAGAAAACGCCAGAATGGTACACTGGGAGAAGTCGCGTTGTCCGGCCTTTTGCTCCCGGACCGGTTTGGCCTCCTGTTCCCCAAGGCCGGTTTCTAGATGGCAGTTCTCTGCCCCCATGTCTACTAGTCCGAACTTTAATTTTATACTTCTTGTAGCTTCGGACTTCCATGTTGATTAAATGGGCGTCAAGTTCCCGCCTTAACGACTGTGGTTCCCCAACATATTCTCGTTTCCAACGACGCCACATCCGCAACACTCGAGCACGTCCTGAGGACAGTAAAAGAAAGTGAAGTGCGGCGATGACTCCTGGTCCCCAAATGTATATTACTGGTGTTGTAAGGCTCACAAGGAAGTCCGGTACGTGAAAGTGTACATCACCAGCTGAGCCAGATGCGATTGACTTATAAGTTAACGCCCAGGGTTAATTAAGACGGCTGACACTTCTCCCGATATTGATAATCAGCAAGGAGCTGGATATGGTCCATCTCATTTCTTTCCCATCACCATGTTCAGATGCTAAGCCAAGATTTATGCTCCATCGCTCCAACAGGTGGCTTAATTAAGATAATGGATACCGTCTAATGAGGGCAGGTCAAAGTTTCAACTTCTTTCCTATCCACTAGATTCTAAATTGTAACAAATGCAGCAACTCTCCACCAGTCTGTTCTTGGCAATAGGTCCCAGCTCTTTGATACCTCCATAATCCCTATGACAAGAAAACATCCATCCAATTGTCCACCACCGACTCATCATGTGCACGGCTAAATCCGAGGAATACGATCGAAACATCGACATTCTCGTAGAGGAGGGGCCGTTGTTACATTGAAAAGCCCGACGATATGCGCCAACGTCGTATGATAGATCCTGCGTGGTGTTGCGGCAGCTCGAGAAACAGGTGATCATAGACACGAAGCCCGCAGACGAATACAAGTAGATTTAAATGAGTCTAGCATTCCCACCTTTCTCGTGCAGCTTCTAATATTCGCTCGCAACAATACCTGTTTGTTTCCCTTCATCGCTAGTTCAAATCGAAACACCTTCTCTCGAAACTAACATCTATCTTGAAGTATCTTCAACATTTTACTTTTATTCCTGGCCATAAGCTGTCACTATAACTTACTTTGACGGCCTAGTCGCGCACAAACCAACCTCGATGCAAAATCAATCTGAGGCCCAGGCTTGCAGCCCCATTGTACGAACACAATCAGGCGACGTACGGGGCAGAAGTGCTGATGGCGTTCAAGTATTCAAAGGAATCCCTTTCGCAGCGCCGCCATTCGGGCCCAATCACCTCCGTCCTCCACAGCCGCGCGAACCCTGGGAAGGCGTGCGCGATGCGCTAACTTTTGGGCCCAAGTCACCTCAGGGACCCTATCCGCCCGGGATCGCCGAAGCCCTTGCTGAACTGGTCGGTTCTGGCGAGGACTGCCTGACGCTCAACGTCTGGACTCCTGAGGTCGGCGCTCCTGGGCGACCGGTAATGGTTTGGATCCCAGGCGGAGTGTATGAGTTCCATGCCACTGGTGGGGTAGCGTGCTATGATGGCAGCAGGTTCGCCCGCGACGGTGTCGTGTGTGTCACCATCAATTACCGTGTGGGCGCCGAAGGATTCTTGTATTTGGAGGGTGGAGTCCCCAACCTTGGTCTTCTCGATCAGGTTGCCGCGCTCAAATGGGTACAGGAGAACATAGCCGCCTTTGGAGGGGATCCAGGAAACGTGACCATATTTGGGGAATCTGCTGGCGCCATGAGTGTCGCTACACTGCTGGCGGTTCCCCGAGCGAAGGGACTGTTCCACCGTGCTATCGTGCAAAGTGGAAGTACGCCGAAAGTAAATTCAGCTGCTACGTCCGAACGCATCGGGCGGCGGTTGACCGAACTCCTGGGCATCGAGGCTACGTGGGAGGCGGTAGCAGGGACATCAACTGATCGGATCCTTGAGGCCCAGGCCAAACTACGGGAGGATCTTCAAACACGGCCCGACCCGTCTATCTGGGGCGAAGTCTTGCTCACCGCTATTCCATGGGCCCCTACAGTCGATGGAGATATCCTCCCCGAACCTCCCATCCAGGCCGTGGATGCAGGAAAAGCAGCAGACATTCCCGTGCTCGTTGGAAGCAACACCCAAGAGACCCGTATGTTTTTTGTTCTGGACGGCTCCATCGACCGCATCACCGAAGAAGCTTTATTGGCGATAGTAGGAGCATACCGCCTGCCACCAGAGGGCATCGAGGCTTATCGTGCAGCACATCCCGGAGCTAGCCCTGGTGAGCTTTTCTCGGCAATCCAGACAGACTGGTACTGGCGAATTCCTGCCGTCCGTTTTGCCGACGCCCATGCAAAGACCACTCGAGCCTCCACGTACATGTATGAATTTGCATGGCCTTCTCCACAGGTGGATGGCCGCCTCGGGGCGGCGCATTCCATAGAGATCGCCTTCGCTTTCGACACGCTCGGCCTAGGAACGGAGACACTTCTTGGCCCAAACCCACCGCAAGCCCTGGCTGACACGATGCATAAGGCCTGGGTGGCTTTTGCGAAGGCAGGAGATCCCGGCTGGCCCAAATATGACTCTGACCAGAGAGCAACCATGCATTTCGACATCGACTCAAGGGTGGTGAATAACCCTCTCAACAAGGAACTGGAGCTTTGGGCAACAGTGCTTTAGCCTTCTCCCTCCATCAAACGGAAGTAATTTGTATCTGGGTTGTTCGGAGGTCGAGCAATAATATAATACGCAGCATATTAATAGGTGGGAGATATGTTATAGTTGCTTTTATTTTTACGTTCTTTTCCTTAATCCGGCTTTGTTTTCTCGGCGAAACACAAGTTTCCAATTGTGTTCAGGGTTTTGGTTTCACGACAAAGTTTCGATAGATGGGCAGATTGATAACTCTATATTAAGTAGGAGAATGCAGGTTTTTAGTCTCATATATGTAAAACAAGCAATAAGACGTTAAACCCGAGGGGTAATTTAAAATTAATAAGAAATCCTGAAGTTTCAGGATCGTGACTGGTGCTGGATAACAGGATTGGACTGGCCAGGGCCGGATACTGAGGACGTTGACTACCGTCTGCATGCAAATGGTTCCATGGATCTCGGCGCAACAAACACGCTAACCATCGGAGGGCCGTTCAAAAACTTTATCCGAGTTCCAGTAAGGAGTTTCAGGCCCTTAAACGTAGTAGTTTTGAGACTGTTCCAGGCGACTATGGAGAGGAGTCATTCGGGAATGAATTTACAACATAAAACACTCTCGTTCACATTGAAAGAACGTGTTGAGAACAAACTCTGTGAACACATCATGAGGCCTTTACATATGTTTGACGTTCTCCCCAAGGACTCAAGACTGAAAACACGAACAGCGGTCAGAAATTTGGCAAACCCGTCGTTGATCCACCACATAGACCCTGTTTCATGATCATCATGACCAGAGACTTCTATAAAACCGCCAGCGCCAAGACAAGAACCAGAATTGCCGCTGGTGTTTTCATTGAACGATGTGAAGATTCAGGTTTAAAGAGTTGACCCAACCGACTGAACAGCAGTGGCAAGGCTCTCCATCGAGTGGCTCCTCAGATAATCTTCAAATGTAACTCGCTTGACATCCGGGTGTTCCTCCTTCTCAGGGTCGATATTAAGGTAGGTCTGCCCGTTGGTACAGTAGTATTGGTAGAACCTATGGCAAGGAAAAGTATGTGAGCTTGCTGTTCCATGAGAAAAGAAAGAAATGTTCATACAAGTTAAGATAAGAAAAGATATTCTGGGGATCTTGTGTCTTGAGCTGGTGCATCCGCTTGTACAGCTCATCAAGAGAACCAAGTCTCTCCAGTTTCGGCTTCACCCCGTAAACTCGTTCAAAAAGTTCCGCAAGCTGGAATATGTTCTTCCTATCTCCCAGAACTGCAAGTTGTCAAGTCAGCACAGACGCGGAGACGCGATAGTGAGTCGAGTCGAGCCTTACACTTTTGCATTCCGATAGCGCAGTCATCCAAAGCTACCGCGGAGACAAACTCGGCCGCGTTCTCGTACGAGGTTGACTCCCATGCCTCCTCACCCGTGCCCCAATAAGAAAACGGCACCTTGACTGGATCCCAAATCCCAAACCACTGGCTCCAGAACGTGTCCATGAACGCCCCGATGAGGACATGGACACCCTCTACACTCTTCGTACTGAGGTAGTCCTTGACCGCTTTCATGGGATCTTTCGACGGAAGCTGTCCGTATTCGAGCTTAGTGAAGTCAAGGGTGTAGTCACTTGCGATATAGCGTTTGACGCCTTCCAATTCACATGCATCGATTAGCTTCTTTTGCCCGTCGGTCATGAGCTGGTTGTCTCCAAGGTAGCAGCAGATGACAACATCCGTGCCCCTAACAAACGATTGTAGGGCCTGTACATCGCCAGATTCGCCCTTGGTTAGGTGAATGCGAGGAGAGGACTGAATAGAAGGCGGCAATTTGGTTGGATCTCGGCAGTAGCCCCGTACGGTGACGCTGGGCTGTTTAAGCAGGTTGGCAAGAATGCACCGGGCGAATTTACCGGTGATGCCAGCGATCCCAACAGTTACGGCCATTGTGACTGATCTTTGAAAGGAAGAAAGCTCTCAAAGTGATTAAAACATTCAAAGTTCAATTTCCATCATTAGTGTGGGGATGTTCGGTATAAGACATTCGTCTATCGGCCTCATATTCCCCGTAACCGACCATCGGTGTCCGAGTCCGGGCGAGTTTGGGTTGAGGATTAGAAATCAATGTGAGTTACGATTCAAGGTCCGATTTAACATTTCTAATCCTTAGCAGAAGTTTACACAGCATCGCCATGGACTCAGGCCATCATGATATGACAAACCTGACAGTTATGCACAGGTAGGATATCGAAAAGAGCTAGATGACGCGCCGATCCGTTTTTTTAAAAATGCGCAGCAAGGGATACACCATTTTGAGTAAACCACTCTAAGATGCAGCAAGAATGTGCTGGGAGGGAGGCACGTTCGGCTACAGCCACGGCTACGGCTACGGGGCGATGCCCGGCATTTCGAGGTTTTCATTTGATCACCCCCTCCCGGCAGAGCCAAGTTGATTTTGTACAGGCTACGGGCCGACCTGGAAATGCAGTTCCCCATTTGCTAATTACCTCAGGGCCTCGGATCCGCGGTGGATTTCATGGAATTCCCCTTCTCGGGGTTATTAACTCCAAAACGAAAATACGGTTGTCTCGACTGCCTCTACTCAGGGCCTATTTAGTTAACTGACGCTAGCATTACGGCTATTCTAAAGCTCTGGAATCCCAGTCAGTATTATCTTCCTCGCGAAAGACTCCCTCTGTCAACTCTCGACATAACCAACATTAGCAACGCCAACACCACTTAACCATACGCCATTCCCTAGTTAAATACCCAATCAAACGAATAAAGATTAAGAAATGGGAAAGAAGTTCGAAGAGCTGAAACCTTAGGTCTCCTCACAAAGTGCGAATGGAAACGATAGAACAAGTTGGACGACCACCGATCTGTTGAATCTCGTGGAGATAAATTACACCTTTCTGGAAAGCCAAAGTTAGAACATGATTCCTTGTATGAACCGAGGGCGGGGCATTTCTCACAAGAGAACGAAATTGGCTGTTATATCGACCATGCAATGATCGTAAATATTGTTAATGAGGCTATCGAACGCTTCAAGCTCTGGCAATCGTAAAGAATCAATCTTCAGCTCGCTTGGTCTCACTGCCCTGATCTCCTCGACTAACACTTGTCAGTACTATCACAAGTCCAAGAGGGGGTATCCGTTCCTCACAAGTAAAAAGGGCAGAAAACGCTCGGAGGATGACTTGGTCATCTGGTCTGGGGTTCTTGAGAGCCAGTAGCATGGCAGCTATGGGAATCGCAAACCGATCTCCGAAACACCCTGAGGCAATAGTTATAGCCCTGCGAACATCGGCACGGTCCGTAGTTTCGAACCTCAGTCCGAATGTCTCGCGTAAATCAACGACGATTTGTGCCCACTTCTTCCACTTCAGCCTATCACCGAGCTCTTCCAGTAGCTCTAGCAAGCCATGATCCATGATGTTCTGCATTGTAGCCTCCGCGCACGCTCCGCTGATGTCTAATTCACCCTGGGTAAGATACTCGCCAAAGTAGTACCCTTTCTTACCCAGGCGGAGTTCGGTGAAGGCTGCGAGATTTCGAGAGGTTTGCGGATCGGAGTATTCAGCGAAATACCTCATGATCTCCAAGTCCTTGATAAAAGTTCCTTTTGGGAAGCAGCTGGTATCGATTACCAACAGACGAATATCTGACAACGGGACATGAACCCTGGCTCCGCGATGCCGGTACAGGCCATATTGTATTGCAAATAGAAGGGAGCTAGTCCAGCTCATAAAGTTGCAATGGCTTTCGTGACTGGGGTACCACCTAAAATGGTCATTAAGGTGGCTCGCTGCCTCCTTAGGATTCATCGAAAAGATATCAGTCGTCCCCGCGTCACGATGAAGACAAGCTGGGGGGATGACGCTTCTCATGGTAGTTTCTCCGACCGTTACAGGACAGTGTATGCGGAAGAGGTATTTCGGAACATTGTTGCTCATAAATAGAGGCATGTGCTTCATGGCTTGAGCTTCGCGATGGCTGGGGGGACAGAAGGGTAGCGATACCCGAGCCTCGGACGGACTTGAATCGCGACTGGAAATCATTTTTTCCAGATTTCGGCACCGGATATATGAGGTCAACTATTTCAGTGTCTGATGGGGGTAAGGGACAATGCAATGGATTGAAACGGGGGCTACGCAGCGAATTGTTGCGCATGCAAATGGGAAAACACCTTGATATATATACCCCTCGAAGCCAGCAGCGACTGACCACAAAACTCCGCATTCGATCTAAAACAGAACGAGGAGATAATAGGTCCAGCAACACACCCACCCTGGCTGCCCATCCCGGCTAGGAGGCCAAGCACAGCCCAATCCCAGGAACCAGTCATGCGGCAGACTTTATACAGTTACAGTTTGAGAGCCAATCACTTCAAGGCCCTCCACACAGCCACACCTACACAGTTGAGACCCAAGAGGCGACCGACCGATTAAGGACGCAGCAGTTGGTAAGTCAATGATATCGTAGTATCATAGACCTTAATTGATGAATGGAAAGGGCAGAAAAGATGATTACGAAGAAGGAAAACAAAGAATAGAAAAAGAAAAGAGGAAGAGAAAAAAAAATATCCACAGTTAGCAGTCCATTCATTTTGAAATAGATAATAGCAATACCCTTTCAGGTCAATTTGTTCAGCTCTCACAAGTCCTCATCTTAATGTGGCTAAATACCCAAACCCAGATACACGATCTCCTGACACCTTTTCAAAAGGTCTATAACCTCCGCTTCACCGTGGAAGGCGTCATTGTAAGCGGCACTCAGGGTCAACTGATCCCGATAAGTACCCAAGAACAGCCCCAATCCGGTTCCGAGTTCCTCGCCAGTTACCCAGGGGTCATGGGCCTCGAACGCACCCTTTGAGGGAGGGATAATGGGATCGATCCTGCCCATGCTTGAGATGGAAACCGATGGCGTCTGATTTGGTAACGGCAGGGGGAACGGTTCTGGGGAGCCTACAGGCATCTTTGGGATACTCCCCGCCCAGATTAGAGGTGCGATATGGGCATGGTCAGCGTCGTTCTTGACTCCATAGTAGAACTTCTTCATCGTTTCTACTATCCTGAGAAACTCGGCCTTCCGTTCCTGTTCGTCGGGCCTGGTGCTACCAGCCGCCGGGATGATGAGATCCACCGTCAAACTGCCACCGGAGACGGAATGGTACACTGTAGCGGGGTGCTGCATTGAACTGTACGGTTCCACGCAGCTTGCCCGCTCGTTCCGCAAGATGTAGTTGATGTATCGAACAGGTCTGTCGTACGATGCGGGCTCCTGAATGTCCCTTACGACCACGGGTATTGCCGCATGAAAAACATGGGTGACGGTTGCCCCCAAATCCTTGCACTTTTGCATGATTCGCGAAGTGTTCCTTGCTGGAAGGGTAATGTAGACGCGCTGGTGTCTTCCCGGAAGCACTGCACCGCTCCTGAAAGGCACCGTGAGAACCTCAACCCCAAGAGTCGCTTTCTGCTTTTCTTGGGCTAGCTGTGCCAATCGGTTCTGTTGAGCCTCGGTCGGTGAGGAGGGAACGCCGGCGGCGATTCGGTAAGGTGGGCTCAGGTTATGGACCTCGAGACCATTGAATAGAGGTAGCTGGAAGGACTTACCCTGAGCGTAAGCCCTAGACGCATGTTTGACAAGGTTGTTGAGAAGCATGAGAGTACCCATGCCGTCCATGATGTCGTGAGGTGACCGTATGACAAGATCTCGCCTGATGGTCTTGCGCTCTGAGCCTTCACTAAGAACGCTGGCGGGGGGAGGCGTAATGACGAAGAGAGTTGGGTAGCTGGGTGCGGGAGGATCCGAGTTTGCCCACTCAATGCCTGTCTGACCGGTAGAGATTTTGACGAGCGTTTGATCAAGCCATGCTCTCTCCTCGATAGCGTCGATGAGGGTTTGGTAGACCTTGGTAAAGGTTCCCGTTCTCGGGCCCCAAACCACCCGTGAGGCGATCGTGGGGTGGTCAAATCGAAGAGCAAGCCACGCGTGTTGCAGGGCGATGTCGACGGCGGTCTCTATATCCGTACACCAGCTAACAGGCGCATCAACGGTGATGGAGATATGACCAGTAATGGCAAAGAACATGCGACCACTCCCTTCCCATTGCTTAGCAAGCGCCGAGTAGAAGTGCTCAACCTCGTCAACACTTCGAGTCCATACCCCGGGCTCAGTCTCCAACCACTGGAGCAGATCGATTGTTGAAGATGTCATCTCGGTATAAGAGTGTAAGAATGTAGATCAGAAGGTGGAACAGGTCAAGGAGGAATAGGGTGATGAGTGTACAGAGGTTCCCTCAACTCATTACCGTCGAGGACAAGCTGGCATCGTCACCCCGTTTTATATATCGTCCGCCCTGTCCCCCTGACCTCCCCCGGTCACGGCCGAGGGTATAACTTCTGACGTGGCGGGGTAAGCCGGGGTGATATCAGGGGGTTTTCGGATGTGGCACTCGCGGGTTGACGGCTTGGAAGCCGGACCCTGTCGAACGGCATAAAACGGGAATAAAATACGAATAAACCCTGAATAAAATGTGCGTGATCCCTTATGCATTAATATGCACTTTGCACTAAATTTCACAATTTTATCCTTGTACATAATTTTGCACAGCGCTTCATAAGAATGCACAATCCTTCATAGCAAATTTCGATGACACTCAAATCTGCCCAATGAGGCAACTCCCAGGAAAGATTTACCTGAGATTAGCCTTGTCGGCACGAAACCCCGGATTCTGAGCCCAGAGTCCATCGGCAACTAAATCGTTCGAATGCACCAGCAGAGAACTCATCCCATCCAGCACAATCTCAGGATTGATCAATGCTGTCCGAGCCCGACAGTTCACCAATTATCATCGTAGCCTCAACTCCATGACAATTTCCCGTGTTTTCCCGCAAGGCCTTCCTGATTAAGAAACACAATTGCCAATATGCTGGCATTTGCCGAGGTATTGTTTCTACCCATCTCATACTGTCTCCGTACACTACCAGAACACCCATTCTGCTTTTAATTTTAGTATATCGTAATGGTGGCCTGGTGCCGTGTGTTCTGTGCCGCGGCGGGTGTTATGGTTCCTGTCTATGGGTTACCGTCGATGTCAGCATCCCATCTGTTGAACTGGCTCTTCTTAGTGCCGCATTGATGCCATAGCTCCGAGGAGTGTTCTTCAGTGATCTCAAGGGCCGTTTCTTGCGGTGTATGTCGCGCTGGATTGCGGAGCTCGAGCAGCTATAGTCTGGGCAGATGGAATTGGGGTGGTAGTCTGCGAAGGCTTATAGGAAGCGCCCAATATCTAAGTTCCCTAAACGGATCTTGACTCAAATGTCGGAAGAGGCGAGACTCTATACACGTACCAATGCGAGACGCCTCAACCAGAGCAACCTTCTACGCCAGCGGCAGGATGCCACACGACACAAACCGGCTCATCTTGGTTTTGGGTTGCAGCGACATAGAAGCACGTGTCATTGGACACTACTGCAACATGTCACGAGGTGCAGGTGATTCCGAAGCTGCGAGCTGCATGGGCGTGCCAGCGGAGTTGTCGTCGCAGTTGTCGCCGCCGCCGGAGACTTTAGGATTGGCGTAGGGTTCCCCTTAGACGAACGAAACCACTTAGATACCGTGCTTCTTGGCGGTCTAGTAAGCTCTATAACTTCGGTTTCGAATATAGTATGATCGTAAGGCACCTGGTGCACCAGATACCGACGCGCTACGATCCATTCGCCGCACAATATTCGGAAGATTTCTGGGCGTCTAGTTTCACGACTTGCGAGTGGTGGGATCGAGCAGCTGAGCTCGAGAATGTGTCTAGCTACACCCGGTCATGCTTGCGTTCGTTAGGGAGGAGCCTATTATTAATACCGAGGTACTCAAGTTTATTCCGGCTTCAGGGTTGAACCCAATATTTTGTGCCAGGGGAAGTGATGTTTCTTCTGACTCTGGTGATGCCTATAAACGTTGATTAACCATTGACGCATTTCACCCAACGGCTATTGTCCATCATCGTGGCTGAGTAACCCGAACCCTAACTACGCTCAGGTGTGACAGACTCGAGCTCTCTTCGGATATAGTATTCGTTCCTGTTTCCTCTAGTAAATAGGTCGGTTACAGTAAACATCGAGGGTGCTGATCTAACACGGGCCATTAACACTAACCAACTTCTTTCGAATCACCAAGGGCATGAAGGTGTCTTTGAGACGCATCGTTTGGAGACTAAGTTATCATAAATCGCTTTCTGGACCGGAAAATCTGAAGGTCGTATTATCCCTCTGCCGGGTGCTGCCTGTGGTTAAATCCCCGCACCTCCTCTCCGTCCGAGATAACACCTTCAAGGTCCCCAGCTACAAACAAATTCCACTCTCTACACAGTTCAAGATGCCAGCTGAAGGAGGAGGCCGAGATTGGTGGCGCGGCGCCGTCATCTACCAGATCTACCCGCGCTCTTTTCAGGATTCCAACGGCGATGGCGTTGGCGATCTGCGGGGAATTTTGTCCCGGCTGCCACATGTTCGCCAACTTGGTGCCAACGCTATTTGGATATCTCCGTTCTTCAAATCGCCGATGAGAGACAATGGCTACGACGTCGCGGACTACAGAGACGTCGATCCCATCTTTGGCACTCTCGAAGACTTTGACGCCGTGATCTTAGAATGTCATCGCCTTGGCCTGAAAGTCATCGTCGATTTAGTGATATCGCATACATCTGAAGAACATCTGTGGTTCAAGGAAAGCCGATCTTCGCGCAGAAACCCAAGGTCTGACTGGTATGTTTGGGCCGACCCTAGTCCAGATGGCACCCCTCCAAACAATTGGTTGTCGATGTTTGGGGGCTCCGCCTGGCAGTGGGACACACGCCGAGAGCAATATTACCTCCATAATTTCCTTCCCGAGCAACCGGACTTAAACTATCATAACGCAGAGGTTCAAGACGCGGTGCTTGATGTGGCTCGATTTTGGCTTGATCGTGGCGTTGATGGCTTCCGACTCGATACAGTCAATTTGTATTTTCACAGCCAAGGTCTGGAGAATAACCCGCCGCTGGCCCCGGAGGAAAGAGACTACTCAGCTGCCCCTGCAGTTAACCCTTACAACTACCAAGACCACATCTACGACAAGAACCGACCCGAGAATCTAGAGTTCTTACGCCGATTCCGCGCCCTCCTTGAAGAGTACCCTGCGGCTGCTACTGTCGGTGAAGTAAGCGATTCGCATCGCACCCTCGAGTTGGCGAGCTCATATACTGGTGGCAAGGAGAGACTACACATGTGTTACTTGTTCGATTTCCTGTCCCCTGATAAAGTCGACTCCCGCCGGGTACGTACCATCGTGGATGCTTTTAAAACCGCGAGTCCCGATGGCTGGTGCTGCTGGGCCATCTCGAACCACGATACCACCCGTCCTGCTTCTCGATGGACAATCCAGGAAGGCGACAAAATGGCTCATCTAAAGGTATTGTCGGCGCTAGTCATGACAATCCCTGGTTCTTTGTGTATATACCAAGGCGAAGAGCTTGGACTGCCAGAGGCCGATGTTGCATTCGAAGACTTGCAAGACCCTTACGGTATCCGCTTCTGGCCGGAGTTCAAAGGGAGAGATGGTTGCCGCACACCAATGGTGTGGGATTCTTGCTTGCCGTACGGTGGGTTTTCCAGAGTCAAGCCATGGCTTCCTGTGCCAGCTGGGCATATCGACCTCGCTGTCGATAATCAGGAAGGAAAGAAGGACTCCATGCTGGAGCATTATCGTCGTATGCTAGCATTCAGAGCTTCTCATCCCGCATTAACTAAGGGGGATATCCACTTCCTGGAGACGAGCGATGACTTGGTTGCTTTCCGAAGGGGATACGCGGGAGAGAGCATTCTGTGTGTGTTTAATCTGGGCGAAACTTCCGAGGAGCTCTTGATTGGGGACTTGAATGTTCAGGCAATGGGTAGCCATGGGTTCGAGGGAAAGAATAAGGATGGTAAGATACAATTGGGGCCATATCAAGCTTGGTTTGGGGGAGTGGTTCGGCAATGATCACGCGATGGATGCTGAGGCATATTGTTGCGATTACGAAGGTTGGTCCTAAGCTGAGCACCTTAACACCGCTCCGGATTCCAATAGCTGCTATGAATTGCCAATGCGTTATCGAAGTAACCCACAAAAGCTGCAAGGCCCGCAAACAAAGTCCCGGGAGGTGTTTCTAGCTATGCCCCCAGGTTCCGCATGGGGCCCTCTACGTGCATTAGCTATCCTACAATGCACTTAGACGGGCTCGGGAAATCAGTCGGAGGCGGGCGTATGCCGGTCGTTGAGTACAAAATGGACCCCCCAATAGGGAACAAATACCAGCAGACAGTAAATCACCATCATCAACCTGACTCTACGTAATTTCAGCCTTAGATAAACTCATTCGTATCGGATAGACGAGTTCGATTGGGACGATATCCCTCTGGGCAGGGCGAGGCATATTGTGGCACACTCCACGGGCCGCGGGTGCATTCCATAAGGACGACAAACGGTAAGGCATGTTACGCCGGTTGGAGGAGAAAAGCGTGCAGGATCCGGATTTCGGTATTACTCTTTCCTAGGAAAGGTGCTTTGAACCAGTTGTTAGGTGGCTGTGGGACATGGTGATATATCGAACAACACAGGTTAGATGTTGTAATAACTGCCCATTCGTTTCTATGTTAATGCTCCTTGTAGAGGATGTTGTTTCCCCTTAATACATCAACATGTCTGCCAATTTCCTCTCCTCGTATCCTAGTCCGTATCGTACAACCATGGCGGTGGACATGTGAGTCTAAACGGACGAAGGGATAACATTATTACCGGACGAACCAACACATTGGGTCGCCAAGATGGGGCTTATTCCCAAAGCCACAGGCCAGGGTTGTACAGAGTCGTACCGATCACAGCCGGTCTTGTGGACATTGGCGGGCATGCCTCGCGCTTGAGCCCAGATAAAAGACGGTCCTCCTAACCCGAGAACCCCGGATTCTTACCGTTGCATCAATCCCATCCACCTGTTCAGCTTGCCTCCCTTCACCACCGATCATGTCATCCGAAGCTACACCGCCTGTCGTTACGACAACACCATCGCTGCTCGCCGTCACCACGCCCTTCGTGCAACCACCAAGCTGCGAATCCAACTGGGGGCATACAACCATGCGGATGTACCGAAATGGAACCACCTTCAGGGTTCAAGTCCAGGTGTCCAAGCCCGTGGCATTATGTTACCATTCTGGCTGGGAAGACATTGACCTGTTGCACTAGTTCTATTTCAGTCCTGCCGTGTGTCCCAGTGGCTGGACGTACTACGACATGGCATCAGATTGGAACCCGGGTGCCTCAACAGCCTACTGCTGTAATAGGTTCGACGACACTCGATTTTGCTTTACAATTATAATTTGATCAGTTTCAGCGAGATCGATGAAGTTAATACTTAACCAGCTGAGATTCTAGTGGCTATACATCCGTCGATTGGAGCGAGAGACATGATGACATGTCAAAGTATCTACGTCGACACTGGGTTCAGGGCACGGACATGACGACAAGCTCAGGCGACGGCGAACTCGAGGTGTCAGGCATAGTAGACTCGGATCAAACCCTCATGGTTCACAGACCCTGGCTCGTGACGTGGGCCTCGAGCGACAGGGCAACACTAACACCAGAGCCACCCACCCTGACCAGTAGAATGGTTGTGCCAACGTGGACCCCCGGCGAAATCATTCCCGACGGCAAATATGACCCCGAGCCTGATCCACCCCAAGAGCACCCAAATTTCAAGGTCTTTGACCTCTTTATGTTCCTGGTGGTTGGCCTGCCTGTTATTGGGATTGGTATTATCATCGCGGGCTTCTGTATCTGGGCCTGCGTGTTCGGTAGCAAGAAGGAGCGGGAGGAGAAGCGGCAACGGGCCCTGGCACCGGCGGAGAGGGCCGGTGCGACGGCAATGGCTGGAGGCCCGTCGGCGGGGAAGCCTAGCTGAGCTTTATCAATGGGAAGAGATTCAAGAGAGGAGTATCTCTGGGCTGGTACATAATACCCAATCGGTATCAGAGATGAGATGTGAACATTGAGGTCAATTCGTGACTTGTGGGCTCTGGAACCTACACTCCATTCTAATGCGAAGAGATACCTACAGAGATAATAGTTATTCCACTCGAGAGAGCCTTGGTTCTTCTAATCTTAATATCCTTGGAGCTGATAACCGGAACGTGAATAGAGTATGATATCTATTAATGAATGAAAAACAAGAAATCGAAAATATCAAGCCATAAAACGCCTGTATGCCAACCCTATCAATGAAATGCTACCCCCTACACGCCGTTCAAAATGCGAATAATCGTCTCCATCATATCATCTGCCCTAGAGTCCGACAAGCGGAACGCAGGGGCGAAGATGCCAATATCTAGCCCGCTGCCAGCCACCGCCACTTCCACATCAATAGCCGCCTAGTCCAACGTTAGTCGGTGCGCGTTTTCCAAGATCAAGAAAAGGGATCTCACTTACGGGGAAATATTTCGCGACCGGGTTCTCCTCTAGCCATTGTGGCAATGTAAATGGTACAGCATTTGAGACATCGCCATTAACAAGAGATGAAGAATCATCCAGGACCTGGAGGGAAATCCCTCCAGCCTCGCTCGGGGAACGACTCTGTCCGCTACTGCCAATGAAATTTACGAAAGAATCAATGGTGATTCCGGTCCAAGATGCGATCTCCCAGAGCCCGACGGTAGAATTGGGCGCTTCCGTGACGGCATGGATATCGCGCTGAATGCGTGATGCTAAGGATACCGCAGTATCTTCCTCCTTGATCGTGACCTTCAGGGGAACCAAGTTCAATGTCGGGAACGTCTCGGGGAGGGTCTCGAGAAGCGCTCTATTGGCCAGATATGTGCCAAACAAGACAGTCTTCTCCCCGTCGTGTGAAGTCTTGGTATTCCCGATAGTGAGAGCGTACGCAGCCAGGAAAAGTGCTTGCAGACTTATGCCGTGCTCTGAGCAAAGAGAGCGAAGAGAAGAAACATCGGATACTGCGCTTCTTGTAAACTTGGAGGTCTTTCCTGTCGTTTCCGGCCACTCTGATTGTGAGGCTGGAGCATCGGTGACACCAAGATATGCCGTCCAAAATTGGCGTCGCTTATCGGTAGACGAGGAAGACGAGTGCAGTTCAGTAAAGCCTTTCCACTGACTCAAGGGTTGTGGTTCCACGAGACACCCGGTGCAGAGAGAAGAGAATCTATCCAAGATGGCTGGCAGACTCACTGCATCATACAAAGCATGGTGGATATGCAAGGCCAGAAGCCAGGAACCGTCCACATCTTTCTGCACATGAAGCTGGACCAGATCGCCAGACTCTGGCTCCAACTTGTCAATATGGCCCAAGTCATCATCCCACTTGATGTGAGCGCGTCGAAGGGCAGGCTTGGAGCCACCCTTTACAATGACTTGCGCGAGTGGCCCCGCTGAGTCGTTGAGAGCGACGAAGTAAGTCCGGAGGATAGCCAATTCCGAGATGAGCAAAGACCATGCTGATCCCAAAGATTCTCGGGCCACCGAACTGCTAAGGCGGCAATAGAAAGTGGGGAAGAAGACGGACCCTGACGAATTTTGCCATGTTGACAGCATGTATACTTGCATAGGTAATGCTGGGAGTGTACACTCGACTTCATCAGGCAGGACACCCGCCAAAGCATATTGCTTTTCCTCAATGTCTACCGTATACTCCTCCTCGGTCCCGTAAGCTGGGGCTAAAGATGCGCGGGCACTATTGGCCGCCTTGGACAGCTCAGCCATATGCGAGATGGACGATGCCGTGAGTAATTGCCGGACAGTAAGGTGGATTCCCGATTGTCGGAGATTCGCCGAGGCTTTGATCGCAGTGATGGAGTCTAGACCAATATTGTACAAGGTTGCGGATTTAGGAACGTCCTCCACCGAGACTCCAGATAGCTGGCACAGCACCTCCCGTATTTTCTCCTCCGGTTCTGTCCACATCTCCTCATATTGCTTGTCCGTAGTACCATTCACCTGGGCAGGTCCATCGTCGGACACATCTTCTTTCAGTTGAGCCGTGGCCAGGCCGCAGACGGAGACGTGGGATGGACCGAATGATAGCAGATCCTGTTCCGGAGACTCTAGTATATACTGAAGGGCTCGGTCCAACTGGTGTAAAATGAGGCTGGCATCGTGCGCCTGGAAATATGTGTCTTGACAGGCAGTTCTCCAGACCAAAGCATCCTCGACAGCTTCCAGCTCAACACAGACGGGGTACTCCACGGCTGATGAGCTCTCGACCGATGTCATGAGAGGCTCCCGCTCCGGGCCCTCTCGAGTCGAGAGGGCCGGCGACTTCTGGAAGAGGAACAATGTATTGAAGAGTGGAGACGCCACGCCCTTCGCAGCCAGTAGTGCCTTTCGCAAGGGGTATGATTGGTGTTCTCTCAGGCCAGCCATATTCTCCTCCATGTATCGCAAAAATTGGACCACTTTCCCGTGAAGAACGCATCGGACGGCAACAGTGTTCATTGTCGGGAACATGACATCTTCAGCACCCTCAAAGTCTCTGCCCGATAGCACAACGCCGAACGTGAGATCAAGGGAGGATTGAAGGGATGCCAAAACGGCTGCCCAGCAGGCTTGACCAATTACCTGAAGGGATATTCCGTACTTCTTGCCGAATTCAGATACTCTTTGGGCGTGGGTAGTCGAGGTTGATTCTGCCCGATAAGGTGTTGAACTGTCCGCCGCCGCCTCTGGAGCACCGTTTGTCGCAACAAGTGTTGGGTTTGCATCGACGAGATACTGTTTCCAGAAATCTTGGCCCTGGGAAGAAGTCGATTGAAGCTTCCGAAGGTAGGGCTCTTCCGAGGGGTAGTGCAATTTCTCGCCGTTATAGGCCGCCTCAACGTTCCGGTGTAATAGAGCCAGGGACCAGCCATCGTACAGGGCGTGCGCGATCGATAGCAATACAAAGTTCTTTGATCCAACAGACACGAAGTGTAGGCGGAATAGATTGGCCTGACCTTTTGATGAAGTGGCTTCGGTCTTTGTCGCCTCAATGAGATCTTGAATTTGGCCGACCTCGTTCAAATCAACCCTCGAAATGGCAGGGTGGGAAGATCGGAGAATGACTTGGCAGTACGAGAAGTCGAGAGCGGGGTCGGGGACCTCAAGGAAGACAGTTCTGAGAATTTTCGAGTGGTAGAAAACTGTTTCCCAGGCCTTCTCAAGCCTGTCGAGTTCTACTGTCGGACCAATCTCGAGAAGGTCGTGGTTGAAGTACTGTTGACAATCGCTCTGCAGCATCTGAGCAACCATGGACTCCTGGAGAGGGGTCGGCGGCAGGATGTCTTCAATTTCATCCTCCTGTATGCCGTTCAGCTGAACGGACTTCTTTAGACGGGCTCTCAATTGCTCATATGCTTCTGACTCTTTCTGTGATTGATCAACTGATGTCGGACCACGGTTCTGTAGCAGCTCAATGATGTCGCCGATTGTTGGACACTTGACTATGTCGGTAATTGAGAGCGTAATGCCGTGGGATCTCAGCCTGGCCGCTAGCTTCACGATGTCAATGCTGTCCAAGCCAAGGTTAGGAAGCGAGAGGTGGCCGAATAACTCGTCCAGATCCATAGCACAAGCGTCCGCGAGTTCCCGCAATAATACCCTGCTTTCGTCGGATAGATCTTGCCGTTTTGAAAGTGATAAGTGCGCCTTTTCACCCGTGGTATTATTGTCGAGCATCGGGGCGGTGCTCTCGGCGGGCGCGGCCTGTCGGACTTCGGTCGCTTCATTGGAAATGACTGCTTCCCGGTCGGCGAGTAAACGAGCGACGTTACCAAGGAAATTTTGCATCAAATCAGTCGCTTGGTTCTCATCAAATGCTTCCCCGCTAGCGACGATAGTTAAGCAGAGTTCGGTGTCTTTCAAGACGGCTTCGAAGGCCACAGGGTAGTCGGCAGTTGGTGGTTCGTCCTGTAGGATCCAGGGAGATTGGCTGCTAATAGCGTCGTCCGAATTATCAACTTGGAAGGCAAAGAGGTTTTCAAACAACGGCTTTCCGTTGGAAAACCATTTCTGAATATCTCTCAAAGAGACGTGTTGGAACGAAGACACGGAGGCGTTGAACTCGTGGCATTGCTTGACTAAGGACCTCCAGCTCGTGCCGTTTGCGTATTTCACAAAGAACGGAAGGGTGTTGAAAAGAGGCCCGATGGTATTTTCGACATTTTCGGCGTCAATTGTTCTACCGGAGACGACTATCCCCGTTGTCACATTGTCGTTGAGGTACCCTTGCAGTGTGGACACCCAGAGAGCCAAAACTAAGGATTGGAAAGTGACGCCGAGAGATTTTCTCATTGCGTCCAGTGGCTCTGCGTCGATGGTTTGATGGATGGAGGTGTCTGCCGTCGTCGATAGGCCCTCGGTGGGAGGAAACTCGGTCGGCGTCCATTCCTGCAGGTGCCGAACCCAGAATTCCTTGCTGGAATCATGCTTCCAGAGGGGCCCCAGAGGAAGAAGCTCCACGAACGCGGGCCCAGAACTCGGCGTCTCGTCATGATACAGGCTCGAAACAAACTGGAGGATGGCGCCAAAGCTGTTTCCATCGTAGAGCCCATGGAAAATGTGAATATTGAGCTGGATAGCTGCGTCGGATCTATTGATAAGGAGTTCCAGTGGGCTGACAACATGAGGCGAGTTCTTCTCGACCCAGGCGGTCCTGAGACGGCGTTCTTCGACCCGGAATTCAGAAGGAGAAAGAGACGTCTCGAACCACTGAGGAGTTGCATGTCGCAGGGCGACCTGAGTAAAACCGTCGGGGGTCGCCACGAACGACGTTCTCAAGATCGCATGGCGGCGAATGGTCTCCTTCCACGCAAGCTCGAGCTTTTCGATTGACGTACCTTCGGCAATAGAAAGCTGGAAATTATTGAAATAAACCGACCTTCTCTCGGCGACTCCAGTAAGGGCTCGAGAAATGATTCCTTCTTGGATCGCAGTGCAAGGAACTATGTACTCGATATCCTCATGCTTGACGCCGAGCTCGCGGCAGACGAGGCCACGCCACTGGTGGTCACAGGCCCTCATTACCTGTTTCGCCTCCGTAATTTTGCTCTTTGAAGAAAGGATTGGAGCGTTATCGAGTGCTTGGACGAGATCACCAAGGATAGGATGTCTCAAGATGAGTTCTGGAGAGGCGCCAGAGATGCCACGCTGTTTAAGGAGCCTAGAGAGTCGGGGAATGGAAATTGAGTCCACACCGAGATCGAATATGTTAGTTTCTCCGTCTATTGTGTCCTCGGCTGACCCATCGAACTCCTTGAGAATCTCTAGTACTAGAGTTCCAGTCTTATTTAGCGATAGGTTGGCTTGCGTGGTCGACGATGAGGAGAGCTTCGACAGGTCTTGTGGGGAAAGATTCTTGAAAAAGGCCCTCAATTCCTTCACTTCCGCTTTGTTGTTGCGGGACAGGGGGATGTATGGCAAGGCAATGATATAAGTAGGGACCATGTAGCCAGGAAGACGAGCCTTGCATGCGTCTCTCGCGTTGCTGCAAGCTGTGCGGCTCTCCGTCCCTTCAAGAATCCTGAGGCCTGTCGCCGGCTCCTCATCGCTGTTTCGTAGGGGCACAATAAACGAGATTAGAAGGTCCTTGCCGGTTTTGCTATTCTTTGACACGATTGTTGCTACGTCTCGGATCCCAGGGACTCCAGATCTGATGGCATGATCAATCTCTCCCAATTGAAGACGCTGCCCACGTAGCTTAACCTGGTCATCGGCCCGGCCAAGGAAGTCAAACGAGCCATCATGAAGTAATCTGACCAAGTCACCAGTGCGATATACCCTCTCTCCGAAGGCTTTCAGCACCGGGAATCGCTCTTCGGTCAGCTGTGGACGGTTGAGGTAGCCTTTGCCGACAAGCTTGCCCGAGACGCAGAGCTCGCCGACGCCGCCCTTTGGCACGAGTACCTCAGTCCCTTGGCGGAAGACATACGTCCCCACGTTGGGGAATTGTCGCCCGATATTTACCGGTCGGCCATTAGATGGAACCTGCTGCCTCATCGTGACTCCGATGGTCGCTTCGGTAGGGCCATAGGCGTTATAAATCACTCCCTTTGGACCCCAGGCATCGAGAATATCCTGCTTGAGTTGCTCGCCTCCGGTGATGAATACGCCTTTCCAGAGAGATGGAACCTTTTCTGGACGGACGAGAGACGCAAGACTGGGCGTAAGGTCAATGTGCGTGATTCGCAGTTTGCTGATTGTTCCCTCAAGGTCGTCGAGAACGAGATCACGAGGAGCAGATACCAACGCTATTCCCACGGACCAACTCCAGTACTGTTCCAGGACGGAAACATCAAAATGAAGGGATGCGAACTGAAGCCATCTTGAATTGTCATCCCAATGGCCTCTGAAGAGGCTTTGGAAGGCTAGCATGGCTTGGACCGTGTTCTCATGCGTGATCTCACAGCCCTTTGGCTCTCCCGTGGTTCCAGATGTATAAAGACAATAGCAAGTAGTATCTGGTGGGATGAAGGGAGGCTCAAAATCCGATGTCGGCTCGCTAGCGATAGATTCTTCATTGACCTCCACTACGAAGGTTGCCGGCTTAATATCAAGCTCGGTCGCAGATCGCACAAGCAGTGCCGCCGCCTTGGAATCCTCGAGAATGAATTCCTTCCGAGCAATGGGAGCTGATGGATCTAAGGCTAAGAAGGTGCATCCTGCCTTTAAGATGCCGAGAATAGAGAAATAGGCTTCGGGGCATTTGTCGAAGTGAATCGCGACAATCGATCCTGGGGTTACATGGCGCGACAGGAGGGCTGCAACTCTATTTCCGACGCTGTTGAACTCGGAAAATGTCCACGTCTGCGATACAGCCTCTCCACCAGCGAACCCACTCACGAATTCAAGAGCGACTTTGTCTGGTCGCCTGATGACCTGGGCCTCGAACAATTGGTGAAGCAGTGAAGCATTAGTGGGTAATTCTACGCTCTGTGCCGGAGCGAGAGATGCCAATTGAGGCTCGTTTGGCCAGAGCTCATCCGCGTGTCCTTGGGGATCGAGGATGAGGTGACGCAGCGCAGCGTCCAGTTGGCGAAGCATCATAGAAGCTTGTTCCTGAGGCAGAATGTCCGTCTTAAAAGTAATTCGGAAGCTCACTGCGGAGTTGTCGTGAGACTCGACTTCAATTGACACAGGGTAATTGACAATGCCTTCATCCTGCTCGACCGTCCAAGGCCTTGGGACATGATCCAAAGAGCTCCTTTGGTAAACCAGTAAAGTATCAAACAAGGAGCGTCCCGGATGTCCAAGCCAGCGCTGAACGTCAGCCAATCGAGAGAATTGGTGTTGGTAGAGATCCCTATTCATGGCCATCATTGAGTCCAACAACTCCCTGTTCGCCAGGCTGTTCTTGGCAATGACGGGCACAGTTGTTATGCAAGGAAAAGCTGCCTTTTGCATCGAATCGGTCACTCTTCCAGCCATGACTGTCCCGAAAATGACAACCTCTTCACCAATATAGGAGGACAGCACTCGAGTCCATGCCGCCTGAAGAGCAGCCTGGACGGAGACGTTGGCAGTCTGACAGGCGTGGGCGATGTCCTTGAAAGAGAGGGATGAATTGTGCGAATGGCTCTGTAAATGACCCCGTTCTACCCGAAGAGGCGTCATCACAGGGAATGGGTTCACGACGGCCTTGTCGGATAATTTATTCCAGAATATTTCGGACTTCTTCTGGTTGTCTCTGGAAACAAGGCCCAAGAGGCTGCCAACAGTTTTCTCCAGCGGAGCCGATTCGAAAGCATGGCCACCATTGATGCAACGGGCAAGGCCTCCCAGGATAATCTCAAGAGAATGTGCATCATAAAGCGCATGGTGAATGGCCACGTGCATAGATATCCGACCATCACTCTCAATCAGGGCAACCCTCCACGGAGGTTCACGCAGAGAATCAAGTACTTCCTGCGCCGTATCAAGTCTCCACTTCGCAACGCTCAATTTCAAGCCAGGCTGAATCACTGAGACTGGCAATTGAATAGAGTGAGGGGAGTACTTAATCATGGAGTACGTGATATCGGGGTAGTCAGAGCTATCAGTCGAAACGAACCCGACCCTGAGCATCGCATGCGCTTGGAACACACCTTCCCATGCAGAGAGCGCCTCCGTAAGCAATAACCCGTTCTCCAGCTCTAGGTGGAGATAGTTAAAGTATTCTCGGCCTTGCGACTGCACAAATTCGGTCAACATGGCAATCTGCATCGGAGTGCACGGGAGAATGGATTCAAAGGCCCTGTCGATCAGGGACAGAGTCGGGCGGGCTTTCTTCTGGAACTCCGCGATGTCGAAAATGTCCGCAGGGGCGAAGGCAGTGCTAGATTTTTCCCGAAGCTTCGCAGCCAGGCTTCCGCAGCTGGGATGGTTCAGAATGTCCGTTGCTGTCACGTTGAGACCTTTGCGCCTGAGCAGCGATGCGAGTTGAACCGCATTAATGCTATCCAGTCCAAGTTGGAATATGGTCGTCTTTTTGCCAATCGCTTTTTCACTGACAGAAGACAATGTTGAAAATGACTCCCTTATTAGGAGCTCCGCGTCTGACCACATATCATCGTGGCTACTATTAGCCAGCGCTGGACGATCAATAGGTGACGTGGATCGTTTGACAGTAAGATGATCGAGCCCGTTTCGGGTGTGGAGCGGTAAGTCCTGTCGTTGTCGGAGAGCTGAGGATGGGAATTGAGTCAAGAAAGATGCCAGATAATCAAGAGCATCTCCGACCGCATCCATGAAAATTGGCGTGTAATGTGAGCTTGGAGATATTTGTTAGTTGTAGCCTATGTTTAATCGCGACAGTTTCGGACAATACTTACACGTCATAGTGTAGAGTGACATTTACTTCGTTCGCGGTAGAGTCTGGGATGATCTCGCACACGAGAGGCACATCCATGCCACCAGCATCCGATACCAGCTCCCAGATGTCCTCATCCAGCCGTTGCTGAGCAGGCTGGAGGAGGAGAAGACTGTTGAAAAGTCCGTAGCGGTGCCCGAGCAGCTTCTGTATCCGACGGAGTGGTGTGAACTGATACCTCATCAGTTCAGGATTGCTCTGGTGTAGATGTCGGAAGAGGCCAGAAGCTTGATCGTGGGGGAAGAGGTCCACCCTGATGGGGATGGTATTGAAGCACGGAGCAACAAGACGGTCTATTCCATCCACTGGAACAGTTCGGCCGTTCATAACGTTGCCAAAGCAGACGTCCTCAAACTCGGTTATGATGGACAATACATTCGCCCAGACTCCCTGGAAAACAGATAGGAGGGAAACATTAAGCGAGTGTGATCGAGCTTCGAGTGTATCCAGTGGCAAATCAAGTCGGAAACTCAGCGTGTGTGCTGTTGGTCCCCCATCCGAGATTTCATTGCAAGAGAAGGTGGCTGGTTGGAAGTTTCGGAATTGATCATTCCAAAATCCATCCGTATTAGCAGGCAAAGTGAGCGCCTCTCGGAGGAAAGAGTCGTATGAGATCGCAGGACACAAGACTTCACCACCTGCCAGCTGCTCAATCTCTCGTAAAAGTGTGGACATAGCTACTCCATCGTACATAGCGTGGTGGCAGAAAAAGCAGAGGTAGGGGAAGTCATCCTGGAAAATGACCTCGAGGGCGAAAGGAGGTGTCATGGTGTCTGCAGGCGAATCCACCACCGCACTCAGGTGTTCTAAGCATTCGTCGACAGTGCTGGAGGAGCGCGTAGATGTCCGCCATCTCAGCTGAGACGTCTTCAATACCACCTGAACGAAGGCATGGTCCGGGTCATCGGTTGACATAAAGCATGTCCTGAGAATCGCATGCCTGGCACACATTGCTTCCCAATAACTTCTCATCGTATGTAGGGGTATCTTGAGACGAAGCACCATGCTGTTGTAATAAACGCCATCAAGCGTGGATGCCAGCATAGCCTCTTGTAGAGCAGTGCATGGAAGGATGGATTCTATGTCGAGATTCGCTTCTCTGAATTTGGCGGATATTGATTCGGTAATTGTGTTGGCAGGCATCCACGCGGCCTCCGTCGCACACTGCTGAGTTTCGTTCGCGCTAGGCTCATCCAGGAGAGTTTTTGTCAACTGAGCGATAGATGGATTCTGCAGGATTGCAGATATGGCCACTCTTCGCTGCAAGACATCCGACAGAGACTTGGCAACTGAGATGGCGGTGATAGAATCCAACCCGAGAGACGCGAGTGGAGTCCACCTGCCGAGAAGAGGTCGCCCAACCTTGAGAGCTCCGGAGACAGCATCCGCGATGAGTGCCTCGTTGGCGGTTAGTTCGCTCGGCCCATCCGCAGTTCTCCATGCAAGAGGCGACATTTCCTCCAATGACTCTCGACTGAGTGCTTGGAACGCGACCACCAGCTCCCTCTTGTCTACCTTACCGCTCGGTATTGTGGGAATAACGGAAATCGGGATCAAATAAGACGGAACCATGTAAGATGGTAGTGAAGACTCTAGTGCCGCAAATAGAGACCTTTGATGCTCCTTATCTTCTCTGGAAAGCTCCAAAACACGAAATTGGGATCCCGAAATAGGTGCCTTGACGTAAAACGCCACCAGTTGCTTCGATGCGTTCGAGTTACGTGATATTGGGAGAATAGCAGAAGACGAAACAAACCCGGTTTGGGAGAGTATGCCTGAGATTTCTCCGACGTCGATTCGTTGTCCACGCAGTTTCACCTGGTCATCCAGACGACCCAGGATTAGGAGTGAGCCATCTGGCAGCATCCTACCTAGATCCCCCGAACGATAAAGCATCCCAAAGCTCGGGTGCGAGATGAACTTGGCTGCTGTGAGGGCTGGGTCGTTGAGATACCCCTGAGCGACCTGATCACCTCCGAAACAAAGTTCCCCAACGGTGCCAACCGGGACAGGCTCGAGACTCTCTGGATAGAAGACAAAGGTTGACGTATTGTCGAACGCAAAACCGAGATGTTCGATGTGGTCTCCATCAGACATCTTTTTGACCGTACAAATATTGGTAGTCTCGCTTGGGCCGTAGCCTATTGCAACATGAGTAAGCCATTGGATTGAAATATATTGTGAAAGGAAAACAAGGATCACTTACCTTGGTACAGGACTCCCTTCCACTCACGAAAGACAGCTTGTGTCATGGCCTCACCCGCGGTTACGAGGAATTGAACGTTTGGAACCGCATCCCGTTTGACCAATGACGCGACGGTCGGCGTCATGCTCAAGTGTGTTATGTCGAGAACCCGGATAGCGTGCTCCAAATCCTCGAACAAAACATCGTTGGTCGCGGAGCAAAGACACATTCCAGACTTCCATGCGAAGAAAATTTCGAAAACGGACACGTCGAACGCCTGCGAGCATGACTGAAGAAGTCTGGACGATTCCCCAACAGGATAGAGCCTTTCAAGAATATCCAGGTGACTGACGATGTTCAACGTCGTGAGGACAACGCCTTTGGGAGTTCCTGTAGTTCCAGAAGTATAAATCACATATGCGGGACGGCTACCATCGATGGGTCTCTTGACATTATCTCTTGTGAACGTCCCAAGATCTGCCTGCTGTACATTAAAAACGATATTCTCATATTCCGGTTGGACTGTAGGGTAGTAGGCGTCGTCGGTGAGGCATATCGAGGCTTGAGACTGTTCGAGAATGGCATGGATACGTTTGACCGGGGTTGAGGGTAAGACAGGAAGATATGGCCGACCGGTCTTGAGTATGCCTAGTACCGATGCGTAAAAGAGAGCAGATTTGTCCATGATAATTGCGGCAACGGAATCTTGGCCGTCCGGATCAACGTGACGGATCCAGTTTGCAATCTGATTCGCAAGGCTATTGAGCTCCCCAAAGGATAATGTCTCCACGTCAGACGGGCCCTGGTCACCCGATATCGACCGAGCAAAGTGAACGGCCTGTTTATCCGGCGTTTTCTCTATAGTCGCCTCAACGACACCGGCAAGATCTTGGCTTCCGGCATAGCGCTGGACTTGGGGATTGTGAATGGAGAGAAGATCAGCAGTGAAACAGTCCCTAACTGAGGTGAGCGATACGCTCGTGTCTCGGATAAGACTTTGAACGGTCTGGTCGAGCTCACGGACGAATATTTCCGCAAGTGCTGGCTCAAACACGTGGGGATGGTACGTAAGTTGGATGCTGTAACCATCACAGTGCGGCTCAACTTCGATGAGAATGGGCGTTTCCAGCATGTCTGCATGAGAAATTTGCTTCACCGCGTCCTCATCTGCAGAGTTGCTCTCTAATGACTCCTGGAACACAAACAGGACGTCATACAGGCTCTGTTGCCCAGTCAAGGTTGTCAACTTCTTGATTTCGGCGAGCGGGAGCAATGCGTGCTGGATGATAGAGCGGTTGCTAGCTTGCACGAATTTGAGCAGGTCCCGCACCGTGGCAGCATTAGCAAGGTTGGCTCGTAGAGGCATTGACGCAATGCAGGGCCCAATGATGCGTTCCACCTCCGGAAGGCCAATGGTCCTGCCAGAAGTCACCGAGCCGATAACAACATCTGCAGACCCGATGACAGCGGACCATAGCCAAAGCAAAGCAGCCTGGAAGAGAACTTGAGGGCTGCACCCAAGATCTTTTGCGACGGCCATGACCGCGTCCCTGTTCACGTCCAGATTTGCCCTCGAGATGAGAACTGAAGTATCTGATTCTGGGACGCGTCCTGAAAGCCTCGGCAGTGGCGTTTTCTCCCAACCGGTAAGCTGCTCGGCCCAGAATCGCTTGGACACTTCGTAGTCTTTCTCCGGTATGTTGTGGACAAAAGCTACCATATTGGAAAACTGAGGACGGGGACTGAGACCCCTTCCTTGAAGCAGGGATGCCCAGTCCGACAACAACATGTCGAAGGACCATCCATCGTAAATGCTATGATGTAAATGCAAAAGGGCTCTCGGGGCATAGTCGCTGTTACCCAGAATCTGGAGTCTAAGAGGCCGAATGAAATCCAGATCCTCGCGAAGCTCGAAATTCGGCTCGAAATTATCCACGATGGCCACTTGGGAGTCTTGCAGACCCTTGAGAACGACCTGCAAGAATTCTCCATTATGATGTATAAACCCAGTTCGAAGTATTTCATTCGCGGCCGACAGCTTAAGAAATTCAGTGGCAACGTCGCTCGGCCGCATCGATTCTGGGAAACCCAGTTCGACTACATTGCAATACATCGTCGAGTTATAGCTCGTTTCAACCAGCATCGAGGATTGGAGATCAGTACAAGGTAGAATTGAAACGACCTCGTCCCGGATTTCTTGCAGGATGTTATGATTCTCGATGATTGTAGAGATATCTTTGTAAGGAGAGCTCGGGGCCGGAAGAGGACTTCCTCTAGTCATACCAATGACCGACGGGTCAACGGTGGCGGACGCGATGCGGCAGATATCCTCAGCGGTTCTAGCTTTGAGAATCTCGTTCGCCGTGATGGCTATATTTTCTTTGCGGAGTCGCGATGCGAGTCTTATTGCACCAAGGGAATCGAGACCAGCAGATGCGAGAACAGTTTTCGGTCCGATCTCGACGAAGACAATGGCAGCAATGGCTGACAGTATCTTCTTTGACAATTCTGGGCTCGCCTCCTCGGTACCTTCGCCATTGCTTTGGCCTTCTGCAATTGACCTTAGATATTCTGCTTTCAAATGCTTGCGGTCGACCTTGCCCGACTGGAGACGGGGAAAGTGGTGCATGATGACAACATCGCCTGGGACCATGAAAGCGGGCAGCCACTCGGAACACTTTTGCCTAATCGCAGCTTCAATAGAGGGAATGTCCTCGCCGGGATCCACTGCACAAAACAGAACGAGGATGTTATTGATAACGGCGGCCACAGCGCCGTGACACCCTCGAACCCGCAAGGCAGCATGCTCGACTTCACCGAGCTCGATACGCTGGCCCCTGAGCTTCACTTGGCCCTCCGACATACGTCCAAGACATTCAAGAGTGCCATCATCGCGGACCCTGGCCAAATCTCCAGTCCGGTACACGGGTCCGAAAGGTGAGTCGATAAACGCAGAGGTTGTTTGCTCTGGTCGGTTGAGATACCCCACTGCATTCTGATAGCCACCAACTACTAACTCGCCTACTTCTCCAACTGGAACGACGGCGAAGGAAGAAGGGTCTTTATGATCATAGTTTGACGATATGACGAAACAGGACACTGTATCAAGAGGGATGCCAATCTGGTTTGCTGAGGCACCAGCCTGCATTGCTGGGACGAGAGTGCTGATAAAGTCACTGCTGTTAGCCTTCAGACAGTAAAAGATTATGGTATCGTCGGAGAAGGCCTACCAGTGGATCGCGGCCTCTGTTGGTCCGTACATCGCCCACAACATCGTCTCAGTTTCCGACGTGCCCCCGAATTCATTGATGACGGGTTCGCTTAGCATCTCTCCTATAGTTAAGAGAAGCTTCAGCCCGGGAGCATTCTCCCGCTTGCGTAATAAGCTCCCAGCAACGGTTGGGGTAAGCTCGCAAGCGTCCACCTCAAGGCTCCTAATGACAGCGGGAAGGTCGTCAAGCATGGCCTCCCTACTGCAACTGACAAGTGTAGATCCGCGGAACAGTGGGAAAAAGATTTCGAATACAGAGACATCGAAAGTCGGCGCAGCAAACTGCAAGAAACGAAGAAACGACGGTATATGCCTATCATGTGCCATGAGACTCTGAGTGGCCGCCTGATGAGACACACCGACACCTTTAGGGGTGCCAGTGGAACCAGACGTGTACATGATATACGCGAGGTTCTTTTCATTAACCGCGATTGGGGTATCTATATCAAAGGGATATGAACATTCACGCACGCCAGGAGAGTTGAACTCGCTGTCAACCACGGCATCTTCATCATCCAGCACCAGAACTTTTATACCATCTAGTCCAGTCGGTAGGATAGGTTCTAGTTCCTTGGTGGTGATAAGGACTTTCGCTTTGACGTCGTCAAGAATGAAGCGTACTCTTTCCGAAGGCGCGTCGAGGTTTAGTGGGCAGAATGCGCCACCGGCTTTAAGGATGGCCAGAAGGGATATGTACAGTTCGGGGGATTGACGAAGAAGAACAGGAACGATAAAGTCTGCGCCAAGGCAGGAAGGAATGTAGAGGTGATGTCGGATTTTTGCGGCCAAGGAGTCGGACTCTGCATGGAGCTCGGCGTATGAAAGGGACACACGTAAACTGCTAGCTAGTAGCGCATCGATTGCTGGGCTGGCACTAGTAGACGTCGAGGAGACGAGATGGTGGAGGAGGCTGGGGCCTGGAAGCTTCACAGGCTCCGGGTTGATGATTGAAAGCGATGGCATTGCTGCTAAAGCCTTCATGTGAGTGATGGCAAGTATTCCAAAGGGGGGAGAGAAAGGAAATTCGAGTAGAGTAGGGCACCCTAGATGAGATGTTCGCAATAGCCGTCCTCGTTTTGGCTTTAGATGAGTGAGGAGGAGCGGTCGATAGTATGAAAGTGGTCGCGTCAGAGGACGAGGACCTGGGTCCTGTACTTCCTTTGCTTCCTTCGCTTTCCCTCGCTCCTTCCCTCGCGAGCGATTCTAATTGTAATGGAATCGTTTAATGAGACGGAGCAATAGCTCAAGCGGGAGAGGTCAACTCTCTGCTTCCCCGGGCGTGAGAATAGCGAAAGCTAAGGTACGTAGGATGACGGACAATCAGAGGTAACGGCTCCAGATACACCTGCAGACGGGCGTTTGTGGGACAGAGCGAATCAGGATCGAGCGGAATGTAATACACTGGACAGGAGCTGTCGTCACGGAGCTACCAAGGTATGCAGTCTGCAGATTATATGGGTTTCCTGGATCTAAAACGCTTGGGTCGGTGGTGGTTGTGTTGATGTACCCGCCCTCTGTGGACGGGCTGCGACTACGACCTCTTTATTCTATGATCTCATGCATGAGATGTCTCACAAACCGGAGGGTAGCATTACATTGTATTGACATACCTAATAATTGTAGGCCAGGTGATGGTTCGACTGCCAAGTTGGGAAAGCGACCTCCACGTTCATGGACGAGAGGGGCAAGTAGCGCATCGCGACGCGAGCCTGTCAGAATCGAGATATTACTCAGCCAAGAGAAATGGAAAGCTGATGACAGGGCAGGATGGAGAATGTGAAGTTGGGGGTTTGAATCCGTATCACTTCAACCCTTGCCTGATGCGACGACGGCGTGGGGAGTGTGAGGAAACATTCCAAGCCCCGTGGGTTGTGTTGGCAAGGGTGATGGTGGCCAGGGACCTTGGCTTATTTTTGGGGGTTGTTGGTTGACAGAAGGCATCGATCCATTCAGACCACGCACCTCGGCTCAGGTACTAGAGAAATAGAGTCAATCACACTCAGTCAGTTAACTGGGTCGGCAGCCTAACACACGTTGTTTGAACTAAACACGAAGTTTAAAGCTGTAAATGGAGATTTTAGGTGCCCGTGGCGATGACGCAACGCGAGACCGGCGCTTTAACATCATTTGACTGATGGCAGACTGATACGCCTCCGGACACCGGAGAGGGTGACCGTTGGTTGGCGACGCGGTAGTCTCCCCGTTTAGACACGGAGCATTCGGCCATGACTAAAACCGATCGGGGGCCCTCTGGGACAATAGATCCTACCAGTCAATAAAACCACTATTACACCTAAATTGGGGTGGATTCACACCATTCGGGCGCCTGGAGTGGGGGTTAGCGCTCCTCAGAAACCTGCCTTGAGGCCTCGTAACCAGCAAGCGAACGCGAACCGGGGTAACGACAAATGACAGGCGTAATATCCAGGCCAAGCCACCTTGGCCCAGTTCCTTTGTCCCCAGGCCATGTGAGATCTGGCCTGGTCAGTAGGCGCCCCAGACTCCCTGTGTCTGGCTGACGATGGCCGAGGTGAGCAATGGTACAACTTTGCCGTGACAGGCACGCCCGGCTCGATTGCAATCAACTACCAGGCCAGATCTCTCTGGCCGACACAAGCCGGTGTGGTTGGTTTTTGGGGGAAATTCTGTGGGGCGAACGCCCAGTTGAAGCCACCCGCTTGACACGTGCCTAACACCGATTTAACCATCCATCTTGGAAGGGAGGTAGACGGGAAGAACACATCGACTAATAGCCTTAAGAGGGGAAGGTCGTCGACTCTGTTAATGCGCGAAGGGAGAAGGCCAGGATACCGGTCTGTACTAAAGTCGATAACTGGGCAGTGGGTAATGCAGCGCAGGGGATAAACCTGCATGCGGCTGCAAAGGGTCGGTTAGAAAGGCTGCTGTGGAGCACTCGAACCTACACCTCTTTGCTACCTCCACCTCGACGGATCCGCATCGAATTCAAGAGGGAAAATGAAATACGAGGGGTACCTTGAAACTTCCTGGTCGAAGTCGACATGCCTCATGCTGACTATTTGATGGGTGAGGAAGGGAGGGGGGTGGGGGAATGTCTACAGAGGGAGACACGAACCCGCTGCATCGATGGTGACAATGGAATGACGAAAGCACCACACGAGGAAGCCGGATGCGACCGGAGTAGAAATGTTTAAGTGGCGTGAGGCTCGCAGGCTTCTCGAACGGCCAAGAGTCTCTCTTTGGCAGTGATTACTTGTGATGTTCGGTCGAGATGAGAAGAGGAGGAATGCGAGAGTGATTACACCGTTGAAGGCGGAGATCGATGGAGAAGGCCAACCTCGTTGCTCGAGGCGGGTGGGGTGCTCCAGACCAGTGGGCGAAGTAGCAGGTAGCAGGTGGCAGGTGGGCAGCACTCTTGTTCGGAAGGGGCAACAAACCAAGCCCATCACAAGCTGTCACTACCAACTTACCGGGTACAAAGAAAGGAACACACAAGTTGGCGCGAAGTAACCGAGCCTTCGAGCGTGTATTCGTCTCCTGATTGGGGAGTGTACAGGCTTGTTGTATTCCCGGCCATCATCGAATGACCAAATGAAGATCTTTCATGGAAGGAGAGAATGAAGAGATGAAGAGACAATATCGGGGGTTGCCATCGGAGACGTGTATATAGTACCTCCCACTGAGTAGGGAAGGAAGTGGCGCCCAAGCATCCGCATCCGGAACTCAACCATATGCTTCGTGAGCTACTTCGTACATCGAGTCCCAGCATTGACAAGATTCTCATAGTCTCGGCCTGGGTGACTGCGCCAGAGCACGGACTAGGCACGGGAAGTCGTGCGAGGATCCGCACCCTGGCGTTCTTCAACAGGATGCAGCTCGCGCGGCAACTGCTAGTTTATAATAGGGCCTGGCCTCGTGGGGTAGTAATTGACGCTTCTAACTCTCGGAATTGCCCAAACTGTCAAACCCCCAACCCCGCCAGCCAGGGCATATCCAAACCCTTGGATATCTACTTTGCTTGGCGGGTGATTCCCCGTTTCCGGACATGGTACCAAGAAGCCCCGAAGCACTCGAACAAGACGGTAGCCTGGCTGGGTCCTCCGACTCCTTGCCCGGTGATATCAATGAAGCGGTGAATGCATCATGCAGCATACTCCGATTTACACCATACCTGGACAACGGGGGGCGGGAGTTGACGTCCATTCGGAGTGCAAGCACGCGCACATCGCATTTGAAGGACATTTGACTTCAGGCGGGGTAATGACAACGGACTTGGGGTATTACGACACGCGCAAATCGGGATCCAGTACTTAAACAGAAGGGACTTGGTGATTTGCTATTACTGCCTTATCCGGCCACATGGGCTTGGGAGACTTACACTCTAAGGATGGGATCTACCGTACAGCTGCGGTACTTGCCGTGGCGTGTCAAAAAGACTTTCTTCTTCCCATTCTCGCCGTGTTCGGGTTCGAGCGATGGGGGTGAGTGGAAGATCAGCTGCGTTAATTGATCGATCAATTCATACATGTGTCGGAGGCAGGGAGGCGTCAATAACATGCAGCGGCGTACTGTAGCGGGTGGCCGCAATATACAGGCAACGCGGCGATGTTACCCCGAACGCTGGTCTACAAAGTAGAAGACATGAAATGTCTCAAGTCTTGTTTGAACAAGAGAGAAAATTGGTCAATGTTTGCTCGTACATGCTCGGCGCTATCTCCGATTCACCGACGAAATCCACTCTTGACTCCCGAGTCCCCTTGTTCCTGAAGGTGCGTATGACCAGGGTCTAGATGAACTTGGCCCGGCGACAATTGGGCCTCTCTCGCCTAGCTAGCAGTAGTGATAACAGCAGTGCAGTAGCTTGGTCACGCAGAACTCCGTAACATATCGTCCTTCAATGTCGTAACCACGCCGAATACTATTAGAACATGGAAGTGTGTATCAGCAAACTGGGCCCTTGAGATTCCCTCGGTCTACTGCGCCCATGAAGTATGGTGTCCTGGGACTTGTGCGAAGTAGTATTATCTGGCTGCCAGTCGCGTCACAGATGCAGACGGCTGGTACGCGAGGACGGGACATTGAAGGTACTCCGGATGAATTACAATTGCATCGGTCAAATGCTGGGTCAATACGAAACCCAAAGAGAAAAGAAGGTGAACAGAACAGAGAAAGACGTTAGGTTGTTGGCGGCTCATCTCCGATCGTGATCTGGCATCTAGATTTTCCAAACATCGAGCCCAGAAGCAAAATAGAAGTTCGAGATGCTAAAGAACATGGAGCAATTCCCGGTTCCGCTTCGGCATTTCTTGGCACTCGTTTATCAGATCATCAGATAAAAACCCCTCATGGGGAACTTGAAGTGAGATTAGAGGGGGAGGACCCCTGTCGTCGGCCATTTCCACTTCCATTCTCCCTTTCCCCTCGTGCCCACCGCCCAGCCACGAGTTACAGATACAACTAGAGAAAAAAAATTTCGGACAGGCACTAGCCTCCGCCATCCCTCCGAGTGGCGTGGCATGAAGAAAATCGTACATGCTTCTTCGTACACCGAAAGAGAGCGTGAAGGAAAAAAAATTCTTGCGGAACGAGATGTGGACCATGGATTGCACCAAGAACCTTTCCTTCAAGCCCCCCTTGCCATGATCTTCGGCGTCAATGGAGTCTGTGATCTGGCCTGGGTCCTGAAGCTAATCCGGTCCTGGCCTAAGCCGACGTTTCTGGGTCTGAGCTCCGAGGAATTGCGCCCCAAGGTAGCCAATACAAGCACCCTGGGACCCCCATCATCCCCGTTTAGCCGGCATCGGACTGAAATTTTCATCTTATCTGATCCAGAGATAATCAGTTGTTGCAGGGGTTCAGCAAGGACGACATTCCCAAAGCAGACAAGCCTAAATGGAAGGAGGAAAAAAGAGAGGAAAAAAGTTCTTCATCGCTCGGTCGACTTATTGTGGGCATCGATTTCGTTGCCCTAATCCTCATGTCGGCACTACTGTGTATCAAAGCTGAGATCAATTTTAGCTGCTTTCCGCCCACAGTAGCTTGCGTGGTTAGAATTCATGCGCAAGCCATATTCGTATTGCTCTCAGAGCGTGGCTTTGGTGAATCTTATTGATCCCATCCGTAAGCCATGAGCCCAGGAAGTACTTGGCGTACCTGCGGTCTTGGAAATACCTGTACGGCATCCTGTGGAGCATCCAAAATCAAGCCGAGTTCAGTCTAATAATCACTAGTAAACAACCTGTTGTACGCCGCCGCTAGCTGTCACTAGTAGCATCGATTGGAAGCCAAGCTAAAGAAGAAAAATGTTTCTAAATTGAACCCGGGACAGCCCGACATTCCTGTACTAAGACAATGGAAGATCGGCACTCTCGTCGCATTTATTCCCACTAAAAATCCCCTCAAGTCATTCATTACCCTGCTTCTCGACAGAACCCCCCATTTCACCCCCGCTCGAGGCCCCGCGGGCAGTAAGACAGAATAGCACTACAAGAATAAAGATAGAGTAACAACGTACTCTGTAACGAGGGGTTCCATAATCAAAGTGAGGGATGAAGTTAAGGCTACGTGAGTATAGGTGGGGGCAAGAGGCCCCAAGCTGCCATGCCGTGCCCCATTTTGGCGAGAGATCGTCCGACGGCGCCGGAGCCCTTCCTCATTTCAGTCCAAATCCATTATCAATCGCCGTCCAAGTTAGGCATAGCCTCTGTCGTGCTGCCTCCATCACGGAAACGCGATGGACCTCGAAGACACATCTTAGAATCTTCATCCCTGCCAGCCTTTGCCGAGGCTGGCATATTGTCAATCTGCGAAGGAACCTTGCGCGTTGCACGCGGCCAGGCGTGTTTTCCATGCGCCAGTGCGGAAAGAGTAGGCATTACTTGTAGGTACTTCATAGTCGGAAGCAGCGGTACCCCACGGATTGCGAGAACAGAGGCCACTTTGTACACTGCCTGATACACTAAAACAAGGTTGGGAGAGAAACACACCCGCCCTGTGCTGCTTTTCCCACCAGAGACTTCAAGCCTGCTAGTGCTCCAAAATGGAACATGTCCAATGGGGCGGGTATGAGAGCACACCATTCTTGTTGATCCATCCCCTAGTCCAGAGCCTGGCGCTGATAGCGAGAGCCGGCCTTCCAAGTACACTACATGTAGCATTTGAAGAAGGTGAGTGGAAATGCACACTAACTCTCATTCAGTGGCTCTCAGTGGCATTCAGTAGCACTCACTACATCCACCTCCCTCACTCTACTTCCACTCCCGTCTATCATTGGCAGGACAGACCATCCTCTCCCGTAGTGGAGTAACTTCCCTACTCTGCTAGTACGATGTACACTACGTCCTGCCTGTCGTCACACTCGCGTTTCTACGGTGCTGTCGAGCCTTCCCACCAGCTACGTTAACCATACAAGTACCGCTAACACCCTGGTACAACCCCAACCCCAACATGTACAACCACTTCTGTTGTCGCTCTTGGGAATTCCATGCCTTCATTCTCCCACACAAATGTATCTACGCGTATATGACCGAGTGGGCAAGGTACAAGTTACCACTCCGCATGGCCTGTTCCTGGAAGGGACAGCTTTGGAGAAGAAGCGATGAAGAATAAGGAAAGAACAAAAAAAAAGTACGAAGAGAGAAAAAGGAAAGAAAGAAAAAAAAGACAAAAGAAATTACCGGAACCCATCTCGCAATCGGAATAGGACCTGGATTCTATTCGTGCCCCATTCTCGTCCCGGCCGACACAACATTTATATTAACTCCCTTCCCGGCTCACCTCGCCTCGGAGCTCTGTTCTCGTCTCCCTCCCCCTTCCCTTATCATCAGCTTCGAGTTCTTCCGATCTCGATCTAGCACCATCTACTACCACTTAGTCCAACTGTGCATACCGCATACTCAAGCTCTAGATTGATCCTTGACTGTGGTTGACAGCTATCAATGCGCGAGTCTTCAGCTCCCAAGCTCGGCATCTAACAACATCTTTTTCTGACCCATTCCCTCTCACGTCCGAGACAATTCGTTCTGTCAGGTATCCAAGAGAAACTTCATCCATCACGCCAGACATTTTTTTTAACCCTCCGCCACGGCTACGCCTTCATCAGTCCACTTCCGGATTACAAGTCAAGTCCTTCCTTCCTCAGGCCTGCCCCGCATTCTGGGTGCCCCTCCAAGATCTACGGCAGAACCCCTCCATAATTTTTTTTTTTCCTCTTATCGTGCCCCTCGTCGAGACCACGTCATTTACACCATGTCCCCTCAAATTAACGAAAACTTCGCCGCCGTAGACGCCCAGTCTAACGGCCTCAACACCTCGAACGGTGCCAACGGCGTCAATGGCACTAACGGCACCAATGGTGTCAATGGTACCAATGGCCACTCCGAATTAAATGACACTGCCAATGGCAACGGCCACGCCGCTCAAGAAGAATCCCTTGCCGTCCAGCCTCCGGCCCCCCCTCAGCAGGAAGAAACTCGTATCCAAGCTCCTGAGGCTCCGGCCCAAGCTCCGGCCCAAGCTCCCGTAGAGCAGCAGCCTGCTTCTGAGACGCCTGCTGCGCGAACAGTCAAGAAGTCGCAATTCCTCCTCCCCACCGACTCTACCGATGTCCATGATCTCCTTTGCGTTGGCTTCGGCCCCGCTAGCTTGTCCATTGCTATCGCCATGCATGACAAGCTGGCCGCTGGCGGTCAGATTGGCTCTGAGGGCCGCGCCCCTCGTGTTCTCTTCCTTGAGAAGCAGCCCACGTTCACCTGGCATGCTGGCATGCTCCTCCCCGGCGCAAAGATGCAGATTTCCTTCCTCAAGGATCTTGCCTCACTGAGGGATCCCAAGTCTCAATTCACTTTCCTTAACTACCTTTCCGAACATGACAGGTTAATTGACTTCATCAACCTCAACACCTTCCTTCCCGCTCGTGTTGAGTTCGAGGACTACCTTCGCTGGTGTGCCGCTCATTTCGATGACCTTGTCCAGTACAACCACGAAGTTCTCTCTGTGACACCTGATCCCGCTTCCCCCGATTCCACCGCGTCCGGTGTCAAGACTTTCACCGTCAGCTGCCGCAACGTCAAGACTGGTACCGTTTCTACCTACCGAGCCAAGAACGTTGTAGTCGCCATTGGTGGACAGCCCCAGATCCCTGAAGTTCTCTCTCTCAACCACCCCAGGGTTATCCACTCCTCTCAATACGCCAAAGTCGTTCCCAATGTCCTTACCGACTCGCACAAGCCATACAGCGTCGCTGTTATCGGTGCCGGGCAGAGCGCCGCCGAGATCTTTACCAACATTCAGAACCTCTACCCTAACTCCCGCACCCACTTGATCATGCGGTCCGACTACCTGAGACCTAGCGACGACTCGCCGTTGTAAGTTCGCACCTTCATTGCGTTCAGGCTCTTTCCCCTCTCTTCATCCGTATGTCCCGGTCTCTAGTGCATGAACTGACTTGCGTGTCCCACCTCGTCGCAGCATCAACGGTATCTTCAACCCCGAGTTCACTGACGTGATCCACTCGAGATCGGCCCAGTGGCGCCAGAACTTCTTTGCCGATGCCAAGCCCACGAACTACAGCGTTGTCCGCCTTGAGCTTATCGAATCCATTTTCGAGCGCATGTATGGCCAGAAGCTAGTCCTCGGCCCCGATGAGACCCAGTGGCCCCACCGAATTCGCAGCGGATACATCGTCAAATCTGTCGAGCCCAAGAGCCAGAACCCCGACGACGGCCTCCAGATTCGAATTGCCCCGGTCCCGGAGTCCGCTGGATCTGAGGAGGTCCTAGACGTTGACTTTGTCATTTCTGCCACTGGTTACCAACGAAGCGCACACCTCAACTTGCTCAAGGACTCGTTCTCTCTCCTTCCCGCGGTGTCGGCAAAGACCGCCGTTGACGCGAACAGCAAGAGCCTTGATGGCTGGCAAGTGTCTCCCCCTAGCAGCGACGGCGTGTCGCAGACTAGGAAACTCGAGGTCGGCAGGAATTACGGAGTAAAGTTTGACAACGGCGCCGTTCAACCCGGGTCCGGGGTGTGGCTGCAGGGTTGCTGCGAGGGTACCCACGGTGTAAGTGCTCTTCCGATGACGCTCTCATTTCAACCACCAAAGCCCAATTCCCCCATTTTTAAAGTTAAACGCCACTGACATATTTCTTTCTTTTTTAAAGCTGAGTGATACCTTGCTCTCGGTTCTCGCAGTGCGGTCCGGCGAAATGGTTGAGTCTATTTTCCACGCATAAAAGAGATATTCTCTGGAAATGCTTTACCTCTGAATATTCTATGAAAAGAACGATTCGATTTCGTTCATTTTTGTCTACGACTAGTAGTTTACCATTTAGAACCTATTGCCTACTCATCTCTTAAGATTAGGATGGCGGGTTGATGTGGCGATTTCTGCGGCTCCTGTTTTTTTTTTCCTTGATATCATTTGGCATGGCTTATTAGATAGGGGTGTTAATCATTGTGTATATGCATTGGATGAAAGTGTCTGCGTCATGTTTTGGCAGCATAATATGAAAAGTACAGAGTTTTGATTTTCGTTTTGCGTACCTCAAGTGTGCTGCTCTCCTCGGGATGTGCCCGGTGAATTGCGGGAATATGCCCGTTGATTTGGCGATTAGCAAGCAGAAAAAAGTTGAATGTCTCGAAATCCCCGATGTACGAAGTATTTGATACAATTCTATGTCGAGTATCACCAGCGAGCGTCTGTGTGGCCATCACACCTTGACCAGGGTCTGTGGGCGCCCCGATGAAGGCATTGAGGTACGACATTTGTGCAGGAGGCTGCGGGGGAGGGACGGACCATTACCGCGACAAAGGGCCAAACAACCATTTGGAAACTCTAAGATTGACACAGTGTACGAAGGGATGGGCAACCTGGTATCCAGATAGGGAGGGACGGGTCAGGGAAAGGAAGGCTCCCTTGTGATATTGTGTGATTCCCTCACTTCACTTACAAGGTTCCGGAGGGTGTTTGCCGTGGACACCACGGAGTACTTGCCCCCTCACGCCGAGGATTAAGGTTGCATAAATCTGGCGTTTTCGTAAGAAAAAAGGAAGTGTAACAGTCCCTTTATTTCGAGTCGAGTGGAACGTGTTGTGATGCTGGAGACAAAGGCAGCCAGTCCTGCCCTCTATAATCTCGGGGCCCTGTCACCGGTCGACACTGTGGGGTGGGGATTATGCAGAGGTAATTAGATATCGGTACTTCTAGCCACTAACATAGTAGGAGAATACATGCAAACACTGAGGTTCTGCTGGTGTTCGGTATCCCCCTGATAATCAGTAAGTAATACTCTCCCAGCTTCAGTCATAGCGTCATGTCAAGGAGACAAGGACGGGATATCGACGGGACAGACCCTGGATCAGGATAGCGTGGGGGTTTAACTTTGCTTCTGAATACTACCCTACTCCAGGCTTCCAAGAGGTCTTGCATTGCTCTTAGGTCTGTGGTAATCTAGTAGTAACAGGGCAGGATAACACCCTACGTCCTCACTACAGGGTAGAAGGCCTGGACAGTTTACCTCATTCAAAGATGTACACTCGTACTCCCGGGCCCATTAAAGACCAGAGCCGCCCGTAATACGTACAGTAGGGGCGTCAAAGTGGAGGGGTGGGATGGAGGGGTGGGACGGAAAGAACATCTCGCATGATGAATGATATCAAGTCGATGGTCTAGGCGATGTGGCTTAACACGACCTTACCTAGTATACCATACCGAGGACGCATCGAAAGCTTGCTTTGTAGAAGTTGACCCACCGCTTGCTTGGAACGCGGTATTTATGGCCTTCGACCATGTGAGAAGCCAGAGTCTTCGAGGACACTGAGGAGCAGGATCTCTCTCTCCCCTCCCCCCGCAGTGAGACGGAGACGTGGATGAGTGGGCGGGAAGGTGGGTCGGTGCGCGACTCTCTATTTCTCGAAGGGGAATCCGTTAACGAGAGAGTGTAAGCATGGCGCGGGATGTTGCCTCCTTCCAGACTGTTGCATGCCGTACTATCCCTGCTATGTCTTGGTTGAATAAAGGTTATCCCGAGAAGGATCGAGTGCTCATGGACAAGTCCGCTGAAGCCGTAGAAAATGTTAGAGTCGACCCATTTTGTTGACGTGCTCTCTTCCTGAGCCACTGGTTGTCCTCGGATTTCTAAGTTTATCACGATGAATACCACGCGTCGTCTGAGAGGCGACCTGACTCGGGTATTTAGCATCCCCCCGTCAAATAAGCCCTCATGCTACACAAGCATCGAGATGGAATGGGTGCAGAAGATGACGCCACCTCGATGCGGAGAAGGTATGCCGTCCAACCCCAGAGGCATTCTCCGTCAGCAGGGTCTCTTCGGCAATGAACGTCATGGAACCTTTCGGGAGGGGAGGAGACATTTTCCCCCACCCATTCAATGACGATCATGATCTTTTTGGGGTTTACGCGAATGGCCAACCTATGCTCGAGCGACTAGGAACCATTGAGGATAGAACCACCGCCCCGGAACGTGGGAGGCCAGGCGAGAGGCGCTTCTGGTTTGCCTCTACGAAGTAAGTTCCGCGCGCTGGCTTGCCGCCAGCGGATACGTGGCCCTGCGCATAGAGACTTCATTCTAGATATGGAGTCGATGTCCAGTTATTCACTCGAGAGATGTCAAGAAGAAGAAAAACAAAAGCGAAAATACACATTTTATGAAGAAGAAAAAAGTAGATAGATTTAAGCGAGGAAGTATTTGTTGCAAAAACGAACGGAATAAAAAAAAAAACGGCAAAAAAGCTCGGCTCCGGGATCGAATGAACCCATCGCCTACGAAAACAATCCGGGGTCGTTTTCTAACCTTGTGAGTCGTTTGGTCTTGGCCCGCCAGACCATCATGAGTGCAGGCTCACTTGAACAACTCGGCTGGTAGATTTGTTCTGTAATCTCATCTATAAAAGATGGTTGGGTCCGCTTTAGTGGAACGAGAATAACGGAAGGAGGAAGGGAGGGCTCCTTCCCTCGAGGCCGCCATATAAAAAGTTGCTGACTGGGCGGGAAGGAGAGACGGAGGATGTGCGATTATCATGGGAGAGGACCGGCCGCCGTGATCGGGCCCATTCTGTATCTCGGCCCCCGTCTCGCCGGAGCTCTCTTCAATTATTTTTCTCGCTGATGAGACGTATTCGACCTGAGTGTTGAGGATGAGAAGACGAGTGGGGTGATTTATCATAATTTCTCACATTGTGTTCTTCGCTCTTCAAAGTTATGTGACGAGATAATTTGGCTGATAATCATTCGATGGTTCGCTCAATTCAAATCGTGTCATCATTCCCTCTCTACACATTCAACCTTAACTTTCGACAAAATATCAACCAACGGCGGCGCCTGATATCACCAACGAAGCCCTAGGCCGTCGAGACCAAATTTGATTGCGAAACATTGAAGATACTAAATTACATCGTCTACACCTAGATCATGGAGGCGCCAATCCGGGAGCTCACCCACCGGTCTGTAGTTTCATGCTTCATTTTTAAAACCCTCTCGCCTACCTCCACCGATGCTCCGAAGGTAGCTCTTTTCAAACGCAGCGACAAGGTCAGTACTTATCAGTAAGTCATCGCCGCCGTCCACACTTGCGGGCCAGACCGCAGGGAATATCTTGAGTTCTGGTTGACACCTCTCGCAGACATAGACTGGCACCCATCTCGGGATCAGTCGAAATAGCAGACCCTACCCCGCTCGACACGGCATGGCGGGAGCTCCATGAGGAGACAACCTTGACTAAGAAGTCTCTGCGACTTCGTAGGCAAGGCAAGAAATATTCTTTCATAGACGAGCGCCTGAAGCGGGAATGGACCATTCACCCCTTCGCTTTCGATCTCATCCCCATCGAGAAAGGGGGAAAAGGGGAAGCAGGACTTACTATCGATTGGGAGCATGAAGGCTGGGGATGGCATAATCCCCGCGACGTGAATGACAGCGACGCTTTTGGGGGGGTACCCAGACTTGCTGTAAGCCTTCGTAGGGCCTGGATCGAGTACGACATTGGCGAAGAGGCCGGCAAGATTCTCGCCTCGGGCTTGGAGGACTTGCAAGAAGATCACCTGAACGGGGCCCGAATCCTCGCGGCAAAGGCCCTTGACACGTTCACGAATGTCGTCGTTGCCCTAGACGCCGAGTCCCAGGAGGAATGGTGGAAGCAGGCTCGAATGGTAGCCTGGAATGTCTGGAAGAATGGCCGCGAGAGCATGGGAGCTGCGATTCTCAACGTGATGCTCTCATCTCTCAAGTTGATTGAAAGTCGTGTTCTTTCGAAATGGAAGGACCTGTCTAAAGCCGATCGCGGAAAGGCCATTCGGGAGGCCCTGGAAGAATATGGGAGGCAGCGACTGGACCTCAACAAAAATATCTCGAGCTCGTTCCAGTCGCTCATTGAGACCAATTATTCAAAAGATCGTCCTGTGCGGGTGCTTACGCTTTCTGGAAGCTCTACGATATCGCGGTGCCTCACGGATACAATGGAGGCGGCGAACTTTCCATTCGACCTCCGAATCCTAGAATCAAGGCCGCGGTTCGAAGGTGCCGCCCTCGCTGCAAAAACCGTTGATTTTATTGAGAAACTAAACGCGAATTCGGCCGCTCCCAACCCGAGCACAGTCACTGTCTTTACCGATGCCTGCGCCGCCATTGCTGCCAAGGACGTCGACTTGGTGCTGCTTGGGGCCGACGTCATCTCTTCCGATGGCGACGTCTGCAACAAAACGGGGTCTCTGCCTGCCGTCTTATCCGCCAAGCATGTCTCTCCAAGCGTAAAGGTCGTTGCGATTGCCGATAAGGAGAAGGTGTTTCCCTTCGAGCCTCCCGCGCGCGAGGAGAATGACCCTGAAGAGATTACCGGGACTTGGTATACCGTGGAAGCGACCGTGGCAGCGGAGGCTACTATTATTCCCGAGAAGGAGCCTGAGAAGAAGCCCGTTGGCGATGTGAAGAACTTGTATTTTGAGTGGGTTGAGTCTGGGCTGGTAGATGATTTCGTACTCGAGGATGGTTGCAAGACTGCCGCTGATATTCGGGAAATCGCCTCGACGGTGGAAAAGGAAGCGAGCCGGTTCTTTGACGAACTGTAATCGTGAATGGCTTGGTTTGGTTGTTCGATATTTCTGCAGTACTGGGTTAAAGGAAAAGGACATGTGCAATATTAATGTGGAAACTAGACTGGCCTTATACATCGCGTGTTTCGTCGAGGCCCACTGACTTCTGACCAAGGGATCTTGATCTCATCCAACATTGGTTCAAGTAAACCGAGTCATAAACGCCTAGTCAAGCAAATTAGATATCTGCCCTTGCCTTTCCTTCATGCGGAAAACACCACACAATCTATTCTTAGCCCATGACTTCGTCATTCCTCGAGCTAGTCTCTCTCCGGACTCCTGCGATCCGGCCCGTCTCATCCCGAATCGCGAGAACCACCCATATTAGCCAGACAACACCAGCTACGACACCATATGAAACAGTGCCGGTCTTTCCAGCACCAGAAACCCATAGACCTAAGCCGCCGTTTATTATCCCAGCCGTGAGAGCGGCACGTCCGACCCATAGGTGAAAGCGAGACCACACCTGTCGAGTTCCCGTCTTCTTAAACTGTCGATGATGGAGGAGCCCCAGAATAGGCTGGAGCAGGAGCGCAACGAACACGATGATGCCAATAACAAGGTGGAACCCGATATTGGGCCGAGAGATCTGGTTGTTTGAAGGGATTAGTCTCCCGCTCGGGGGGGGTTCCCTTTCTACTCACAACAGTTCGCCCCGTTCTCGGGTTCCTCATGTCCCTCCCCAAAGATATCCCAAGCGCCACGGCCGTAAGAAGGCCTACCAGGCCAAACGCCTGGATTCCTACATGGAGCCAGACTTTTCCCCTCGTTCGAGTGAGGATGGCGCCGATTGGGAAAATTCCAACCATGGTGATGGCGGCTACAGCGCCGTGGGCATTGCGCACACGCGCTGCTTTCTCGGGATTGAAGCCGGAATTCACATTGATCCCCGCTGGCGGACCTCCGGCGGGGCCGAAACCTGCTCCGGGGCCCCAAGCTCTTTCAGCATAAGGGTTGACTGGGGGGAAAGCCCTGGCCTTCTTGGTATTGCTGCTGGGAATCCCATCGCTAACTTGGGGAGAGAATTGCAGGTGGTCAAGGAATTTTATTCGACGGCTCTCGAGTTGGCTCGCTGGATTTGGTGGAGCATTTCTGGATAGGGCGGCACCAACTTTCACCAAGTCCGACTGTTAGCCTTCGTTGTGGGACAAAGCGGAACAGAACTGATGTTGGTCCTACCTATGACGAGCCCGAGAAATAACTGGCTTAATCTGTAATTCATGATATTTCTTAATCTTTCGTGCTGATAAATCGTTGGAATTAAAATGATGTTGACCGCAACGGATAGTTGGCGACTACTTCTGAGAAGCGTCGGACCTCCCCCATTATTTATCTTCTCTGCCTTTCTCTTTGACTTCCGGGGTACCCCTCCGGTAGGTCACACAGCATCAGGACATGTCTGAAGGATGCAAGTCGAGACAACAGAGGACTGCTCCAACTGGCTGTCCCCAACTCCGTGCACCCGGTCGGACATCTCATTGCTAGGCGGGCTATGCTGAGCCGGACTAGGTTTTGGTCGGGGCATGAAAGAACTGTGGGAGAATTGAGCTCAGAGCTTATTGCGGCCTCGGCCAGATGAAGGAAGGAAAGGTTGGGTGCCTCATCTTCCAATCAGATCTGGCGAATTACCTGGAGGTGTTGTTCAGTTGGGGCTTGGCGACCTACAGAGGAAGAGTGACTTCCGATGCAGGGTGGAGAGGTAATTCAGCCTCGAATGAACATCATGGAGCAGGCGGGCTGGTAAAGATGAACCACACTGATGCGAAATGACAGTAATATACTCGTAATCGTCGTTGATATTATTCCTGTCTAATATCTACGCCTTTTCCGATATCTAATCAGTCCTCGTCTCCATCGCCCTGCAACTGACTTATCAATCCACGCTTCCCAACTTGCATAGCTCTCTCTATTTCTCTTTCACCCTCCCGTAATCTAGCCTTCGCAATCTCACGATTCCGCCTATCCCTCTCCTTCTGCTGCTCAATAGCCTTATTCCTCTGGTCTAGCGCCCTCTCACGCTTCTCCCTCGCCTCCTTGGCCTTGGCGTCTTCCGCGCTCGGCCCCGGTGCCTGTTCTTCTCCGCCTGGAGGAGGTCCCAAGGTTTGCACATAAGCCTCGATCAAAGGATTCCGGACAGTCTCGGGTAGAGCCATGAACCTGGTGTCGGCCCGCACCTCGGGAGGGAGCGGAGACCGGTCGCAGGAGTTGTTGAGGACCGCCAGTGGTAGGCTCTTCAGGAATGTCGTCAATTCAGCCTTGAGCGTCGATTGGGGCAGCTTCAGTTTGTTAATGAACTCCCGGTACCATTTTTCCCTGTCCTTGTCTGACAGGGCAAAGTCCTTCATGCAAGCCTCCTTTCGATATTTCCGCTTGAACTCTGGCCAGTAAAGCTTCGGCGTCGCGTTCTTCTCCAAAAACAGCATGTATGTCACTCGTGGATCTGGCTTCTCTTCCTTCTCCTTGCGCTCCTTTAGTTCCCGGATCTTGGCCCTGGACCACTCCTCCCAGACGTCCTTCCTAGCCTTTGTAGTTGGTAAGACGGTATACCTGGGATCGTCGACAATCTTGCCCTCCTCGATGAGCTTGTCCCAGGAGCTGTAGGGGTTGATCTTGAAGTCGTTGAGCAAGTCTTTGAAAAGTTCGCTGGCGTCCTCTTCCGAGAATTCTGGAATCTCCTCCTCATAGCCGTAGTTTCCTTGCTCCATCGCTTGTTCTTGAGCCATCAGCTGCAACTGAAGAGCCAACTCCTCCTCGTCAAAGTCTGCCATCTCCTCGTCCGCAACATCTTCGGTTCGCTGCCGCTTCGAGCGATGTTCGTCGGCCTCTTCATCCTCTACGAGCTCTACTTCGTCGCCTTCCTCGGCCTCCTCGTCAGTAACCTCGACTTCTTCGTACTCAGAGCTGTCATATAATTCATCCGCCGCCTTTGTAGTAGCAATGGGAGCTACCGCCTCTTGGGATTTCGAAGTAGACTCTTGCGGAGCGCCCTCCTCCTGCGTCTCCATCTTCTCTACTTTTCCCGCTTTCGCTAATACTCTAGCCTTATCGAGCTCCAAAATGCCCGGCATGAGCTTCTCAGGTATGCGCCAGTAGCTAGCATTCTTCTCCGGGTTATACACGAATCTCCGCCCGTACTTGGTCGAGACTAGGATCCAAGGTTCGCAGCCGGGGATGGGCTCTTTCGATCTCGGCTTATCGTTCGGCCGGGGCTTTGGCCTCGAGTCCCGTTGGTCGCGAACATGGGACGGCCGGGTTTGGGCTTGATGTCGCGCGAGCCAGGCGTTGGCGACGGCGGGATCGGATAAGTTGGGGATCGCTTGGTGTCGTTGGGGGAAAGCGCCGGGGAATATCCCTGGTGCGAAAGGCTGGGGAGCTGCAGGGGTCGGTTGAGAGACTGAGGGTGCTGGTCGCTTGTAGGTGGACTCCTTTGTCGCGGCATTATAGTAGTAGGTGTGGCCCGTAGGAGCTTTGTGTTCGGTCCATCCTGGAGGTAGTGGGGAGAGGGCGTCGGGATGTGTGGATGGTTTATACGTTGATTTAAGCATTTTCGTGGGAATTTGAGAGAATGGAGCTGGATGGGGCTAAAGTAGATCGGCCCAAAGGTCCATATCGTCTCAGGAGAGGGTAAAGACGGATGGGTGAGGCGAGATGGCTTTATGCGCGTGGAGTGAGAAATTGATGATGTCGAAGATAACTGGGTGTTGCTAACTTGGCAGCCCAATCCAGCTGTGGCCAAATGGCTGATATTCAGACTTTGCCCATTGTTCTTAGTTTTGACGGGAATAATTTCCCATTTGGGAAAATCTTGTAGACAATAACAATTCCAATTTTACCACAACTGGACAATATTTGTGTCCGGCTCACCACCCGAGTCATCAAATTTTATGTAAGCATGGCCTGCATCAGTAAATCGCAACACTACCCCCCTGCTAGAAAAGGAAATTAGCCGTTGAGCGTGTTGAGTGGTCTATTTCCGTATAACATACAATCCATCAAAATATCATCTAAATTTCGCTGGCCGCAGGGTATAGTTCCGAAGCAGTTGTCGGGCTGCTGCTAACAAAGGGGGGCTCCTCGGCTAAGGGACAAGGACAATTGCACACCGCTTGTTAGGGCAGCTGAAAATGGCCAAGAAAGTATCGTCAAGCTTCTCCTTACACAGTCTCGGCCGCAGCCGGACGAATTCAAGTCCGCACCGTGGGCAGCAATATAGACGGATGAAGAAGCAGTCGCTCGGCTGCTACTAGACTCGACTAGTGCTCATGCTAATTTGGAAGGGGCCGAGGCTGAGCGCAGGCTTCCTTGGGCTGCTGAGTGCGGCAGCGTCGCTGCCATCCAGTTTCTACTATCGATCAAGCCGAACCCCAATGTCAACTGCCGCACCCGGGACGAGTTTGGACAGACGCCTCTTATGAAAGCTGCGCAGTCGGGCTGCGAAGGGGCTTGCAAGCTGCTAATGAAATCTGCGGCGGTAAATCCGAGTGCCAGGGATAATCGGGCCGGACAGCACTTACTTGGGCGGCGAAGTATGGCCACGATCGAGTTGTCAGTCTTTTGCTTGAAATAGGAGTAGACGCCGACTGCAAAGACTGCTATGACCGGACAGCTCTCTACTTGGCCGCTAGCAATGGCTGTGAAGGCGTTGTCGGACTGCTTCTAGCTACAGGAAAGGTCGATATCAACCTCGAATGTTTAAACGGAAGAAACCCGTTAGGAGAGGCTGAAAATGCAGGGCTTGCTACTACGGTCGAGTTGCTTGAGAACGCCGGCGCCACCGACGCAGCGCCAGTCAGTCAAACGAACAAGGGCATTCAATACGAGTATCCCCCTACAAAGCTCGAGGAATTGGTTACCCGCCAGGGGGATGACCCGGACTGCGACGGCGAGGATTCCTCAGATGACGGTTTGGAGACTCATCCGGATGGGAAATCAAAAAGGGCTCAGGCTCTGGTGCGGAGCTTGGTCGACCAATTCATGGCGCGGATACCGGCTTGGATATGGTGGCTGCAGCTGGTGACGGCAACGGTGGTACGTTGAATTGTCTGGAGACGCGCTCCGGCCTAGGTGCTCGGAAGGATAATAATTCAAACCAACATGCGGATCAACCCGACGGCATGGATGCCGGCTCGGGCGGCTACGCTGGGTTCGACGCATCAAAAAAGCCGTTCCTAGAGGCGAATATTCGCCCAACAGCAATCAAGGCTCAAATGCAGAAGATGACGTGGGTGACGAGGCCGGCCCGACTAATGGCAAGCATGCCTCCAGTGATGATTTGCATCACACGCGCGTGTTGCCGTGGACACTAAGAAGGACACACATCCGGCCGCCGGGCACCTCCCATAGCCTAAACGTCGTGGGGGGGAGCTTTGTGGAGAAGTGTGATGAGAAGAGGCCCAGCTTGGAACTCCTCCTGCGCAACACTGCGCATGTCGCCCATAAGAGTTACTCCGAAGACACTGCCGATAACGACTCGGATGTTGGCATGAACGATTCAGACACTGAATCTGAGGACAATTCCGTTTTACAGGCGGCCCGCGACCGAGTCAGAGCCACGGAGGGTTCCTTGCATTGGTGCTTTAGGGGCAGCTTGGGAGGGCCCGCATGCAAACGCGGACATCGTATATTCCCCGCATTGCCAAGGCCCTCTCAGGTGACGAATTTGGAGGATGAGAGAACTGCATGCTCAACTGCGACTGGGGCCGCTCTTGACAGGGTCTGGAGTCTGGGGTAGCCTACTTCGGATTGTCCATTTCTCTCCGTTCTCACTCACGCTCGCTACCCGCCTGCATAGAGGTGCCCTCACCAGACTGGGTTTCAGTTTATATTTATATAAAAAAAATGTGATGCTATGAGATGGATTCTCGACCCACTGGAACATGTCTCGGGGTCTCTACCTCACTTCGGTCGCAAGCGAGGCAAAGTCGGGGAGTGCGGCTGACAACGGTTATTGCTGCCTGGTACAAATCCCGCCTCAAACTCTCCAATTATTTAATGTATTCAGCTCATCGTATTACACTCTCCTCCCACTATCGCATTCCTTCATTACCCATCCTACTGAACGAACTCCGAAAGTTACTCCCAGGGCGTGACACTGAGCTAGAACTCGGCACGCAAATTGGGCGGCGTCCAAGTAGAATTTCTCACAACTATTGGATCACCTTCAGAGACGCCCACGTTTCGGGCTTCCTGACGACCCGTCACGTTTTAGATGCGACCTGTACCCCCCCCCCCCCCCCCCCCCCCCCCCCGAGCTTCGACACATAAATTCCCCATCAACTCCACGAAAAGAGCGTCCGCCACTATCACAGTCTAGTAGAACATGGCTCCATTCACCGAACAGGGTCTCATGAGCAGCATCGCGAGTCTCAAATATACCGAGACCATCGTGCCTCCTCCTCGCAAAGGACCCTCAATTCCGCCATTTGATAGCTATCATTTCCCACGACACGGTGATGCTGTCCTGCTCGTCATCCCCACCGCAAACAAGCAGAAGACACGGATCTTGGTAGAGGCCTTTGAGAAACAAAAGCCGCCAGGTACCACGATACGGCAGATTTCCATCCCGGCGGAATCTGATGTCGGCGAGCAGCCGTATAACGAGCGGGGTGCACAGGGCGCGCACAATCGTATTAGCAACGCGCTGCGCGCACTCGCCGACACGACGCCCGAACAACAGGCCATGTTTGAAGAAGAGGGCATCGGTACCGTCATAGTGGCGTCTATTGAGAATTACATCCAGGAGGCTGGTGTGCCCCGCCCAGTGGACTATGGCATGGTGATCGTGCACAATGCAACCACCGGTAGAACGGTGGCAGCAGTTACGCACGGCGTCACGGTGCCGCAAGCTTATTTAAAACATGCACGTTCACTTGGGTTTGAGGGGGATGACGAGAGCTGCGGGAAGGTAACAGTCGGGCAGATCTTGGCGGCGAACGTGCCGACGTTGGATAAGGCGGACTGGCATGTAGTTGTAGCCGGTAGGTCCCGTTATGATTTACTGAGCGACGCCATCGATGCGCTGCAGATTCCATGGTAGCTGCTTGAACAAGATTCACCTCCGTGTCACTGAGAATGGGAATGATGAAAAGATATAAAGCCCTTGTCCGGCCTAACCAATGTACCTACCCCCTTAGGGCTCGACGAGGCTAGACTTTGATTTCATCCCGCACCCTAGGCCTCACCCAGGGTTTCATAGATTGTTTAATGGACTCTTTCAGAGCGGACAGGACTCCATCGTCTTTGACCAGCGACATATGCCAGAGGAGCAAGATAACGATAGTGGAAGGCACGAGGGTGACCCAGTAGATCCACAGCTGACCAGACACCTCCCAACCATTATCGCCGTAGGAGAAAAAAGTGGTACTAAAAAGAGCCTACGATGGAAAACACGATGATTAGAACGCTCGGATACCTGACTTGGGTGTATAAGACTGTAAATTCCTTACAGAAACGAAAGATGCCGGGAGAAATATCATCGTCAAGAGAGTGATAGATTTGATAAAGTTATTGTCTTGCCGGGCAAGGTTATTGAATGCCTACGATGCGGTGAGTACTTGATGTAGAAACAGACTCGATTTTTGCTTCCTCTGGCGGTGGCTTCATGTGCACATCTTACCAGGTTGATCTCATCCGCGAGGCGTGCTCGGTTCGAGTCGGACCGCAACTTCAAATTTTTGACTATCGAAATCTGGAACTGGGCGTACTCCCTTGCTTGTTGCTTATACGTATCTCCCAAATTGCTGGGTAGATTCTCGTATACCTCGCTTCGACATCGTTGTATCTCTGTCATCACCTCTACTGCTGCCTCTAGGACCTCTGCCACGTGGATAGAGTGGCGCGACAACTCATGAATGGGTGCGAAAACCTCTCCGGGGTGTGGTCTGGCCTGATAAGCGAAAGAAGGAATAAGCAACAAGCTTGAATACTTTGTCAAAAAAAAAAAAAAAAAAAATATCCAGCCGCTGTACTTTTAACTCACCATTTCAAGTTGCCGAACGGGGTCTCGCAGTCGCCAGACCGAGATGTCGCTGTAGACAATCATCTGATCCAGAAGTTCAGTCAACATGGCAAATGGGTCTTCGAAGTCAATCGGCACTGCACGTCCGCTAAGGGCCCTCTGTAGCTCCGCGGGCAAGTCGAACGGAACATCGACACACAGGACCTGGCACTTGTTGGGGAGGTCCCAACGGGTGAAGACGGTCATCTCAAACCACTTATAATCCTTCCCACCCTTGGAGTATTCGGGGCCATCCTCATGTGGATCCTTCTCAACCTTTCGAACCATTTTACACAGGTATCGGAACCAAGTTGCTCCACGTAACTCTTGTCAGCTGTATCTGATGGACGCTTTGCCCACGAGGGTTACGACCTACTGCAGCTAATAATCCGTTTCCGTTCACTTGTTTCATCGTAGAATGCTTTGTGGCCAAAGAAGCCATTCAACTCAAAGCAGGTCCTATTGGCGACGAACTGGGGCACCCCGAAATGGTCGAGAAGCAACTCGCGGCGTCCGTCTAAAGGCTTATAGTCTCCTGACTCGAGAAAGCTGAGGTCCAAGTTAGCAATTCAACAGAGTTACCTGTGGCCACAGGCCTTACGCGTAGCAGGGATTGGGTAATTCGGAGATCTGGTAATTTGGTCAAATTCTGGGCTCCATCCTCGCTAGCTCTCGTCGCTTAAGAACCTCCGCATACTCACAGCCTCGGCCTTGAAGCTCTCCTCGCTCGTTTCCCATCCTATTCCTGTTCGTGCTTCTTGGAATTAGTCTACGGTCTCGGTTGGATGGGGGGATGCTCACAGGGTTGAAGTATTGTAATCGGAGCCATGCCGTGAGCAAGTGCAACTGCGACCTCCCAGCACGTCTGAACTAGTGGATGGATTTATCGAGACGAGAATGCCGGGCCCTGCGTTTGTAGCAGCAAAGGTTCTTCTCCGGTGAAGTATAAATACGTCAGGTCGAACGAGATGTCAAGGCTTCGTGTCAATGGAAACAAGATGAAATAGTGTCCCGCGTTGCATGTCACGATTTCTGATCCCATCGTGGGCAGTCACCCTTGGGCTAGCCAGTCACGCTAAATCCCAGCCTCCGATTGTGCCTGACGAGGTATTCTGCGGATGCCCAAAACCGCACTCGATCGAGTATTGCCAGAGAACATCGCGGCCCGAGGGCGTCTACTCATTTCAATTGGTTCTTCACATTTCTTCACTTGGTGTCAGCCCTACTAGCGCTCGCTAGAGCTAGTGGCCCGTCGCGTGCATTAGTGTCGGCTTGGCCCGCCATCGGGCTGGGTCAAGAGTTCTCTCGGGTTTGGTCCGCAGCCCCTGGGATGAGTAAAGTGCCCTATATTCCCTTAGGTGTGTCCGAACAGATGGGCGCCCGATTCGTCTTATCAATACTTCATAGTTGGTCTTCACGGCTCTGAAGCGAGCTAAATGGAATCAAAAACTTGGGCTGGTTAGTATAGAAGGTGTGGTGGCTTGTTACCTAGCCTCCTGGTGGCAGCCTGACTGCTTCCTTAACTCAACTACCCTAAACGAGCCCTTTCGTTCTCCGAGGACGATCTAATTCTACTGTATCGATGCTATGAGGGATGTGTGGTCGGAAGGGGTAATATCAATAGCTAATCGCCAAGCTTAGAGGATTCAACATCGGAGTCGGTGCCACAGTCAGAGCTTGAACCAGTGCCCGAGTTGAGACCCAAGGGGCTACTCAGATCTTCTCCCCGGCACACGGAGTCTTCCGCAACGCCATGGCCCTGCAGCAACCGGACGACTTTGTCATGACCGTTCTTTTTGGCCTCCGAAAGTGCCTCCTGCTTCTCCGCGTCATGAGCGGCGCCGTTCAGCTTGCCTGATTCCATCAAAAATTCAACAACAGCCTCGTGTCCTTGTCTAGCGGCATAGATGAGGGGCGTCCGGTTGTATCCATCCACCGAACCAGCATCAACGCGCTTCAACGATGCTAGAACTCTCACGATCCCTGCGTGGCCGTACCGCGCGGCTAGTGACATCGGTGTCTGGCCATGTGCGTTTCTCCAGTCGGGATCCGTCTTCTCGCGGGATAGCAAGAGCACGACGATGGCCTCCCGTCCGAACTCGGCAGCCTGGGACAGTGCTGTTCCACCACTACGTGCGTCTCTCCAATTGGGATCAATCTTAGATGAGCCTAGCAGGAGCTTGGTTATCGCCTCATGGCCCCATTTCACGGCGTCAAGTAATGGCGCCCCGATAAATCCGTCCTTGCAATCACGATCAGCCACGCTTTCGTTCAGCAGAAACTCAACGGCTGAACTCCTGCTGGCCCGAACAGCCTGAGACAGGGCCGTTGAATATAAAGTGGCCTTAGTATCAGGTCTTGCCGAACCTAGTATCAATCTCATGGTTGACTCATGGCCGTTCATCATGGCCCCCAGCAGCGCGACTCTTACCGAGTCGAAGTCGACAGCAGCCTCTAGCAGTACCTCGACGACGGGATCAAATCCAGACCATGCAGCCAACGACACGGGTGTATGGCCCTCTCTGTCCTTGAGGGTAGGGTCAGCCTTTCCTACACGTACTAGGATCTCGGTGACACCACCATGGCCCCCCTTCGCAGCCCAAAATAGCGGCGTCCGCTCGTAACTGTCCTTCGGGTCCGCGGTTTGTCCGCCGCTGAGCAGCTCCGCCACTGCATTTCCTATCCCGAAGTATGCTGCCAGATGCATTGCCGTCACTTGCCTTGGAACATCTTGGCTGTAGCCCGGCATCAAGAAGGAAGCTCGGCTGGCCATCAGGGCTTGACTTGACGCCTCTACCTGAGGCTTCTTGGAAAGGAAGCTCCTGACGTCCTGGCCTAAGCATGATGAATTTCGGACATGATCCCCCCAGTTACATGCGGCGTAGTCGTAGAGATGGTACTCCCGGAGCCGCTCACTAAAGTCTTCATCTGTCTGACAAAATCCACTTTCGAAAGTGCTGAAGGATAGGTAGGTAACACAAATGCTCGCGATGCGGGCATCCGCACCGGGGAACCATTTTTCTTGAGTTCGCTTCAAGTACTCCTGTGCGGTGGAGTGGACGAGGCGGATGATTCCACTATTCTCGTCTACCGTGACCAACCCGGCGCAGACAGACAGTATCTGCTTATCGTTGGGGAGTTTGTCTTCATTCAATGCCGAGTCGCCGGGATACACTGCGAGGGCATGTCTAAGCTCCTCCATCATTAGCGGCCTCCTTGCAAAAGCAATCCACAATAGTGCATTTTTTGCCAACATCTTGTGGCTCGCGGCTAGACCTTCAATTCTATCCATAGCATCTGCATAAGCGCAGTCGTATGCATCGGAACCTTGTTCCATATTTCGTAAAGCCTCTTTGACAGCGAAGAGGCTCGTCATAGTAGTCAATGCGTCGAAGTAGAGTTGTGCGAACAAGAACCTGGCATTATTAGCTATATTTCACACCCACTGAGGACCGTACTGAACTCACATCCCGTTGGCAATTTCTACGATCTTTTTCTTTATCTCCTCTTGTAGGAGTGCTTCACCCTTGACGCACTCGGGCAACCGGCCCATCTGACTGTCGAGATAGCTCCCGACATCCGCCTTAGCTGCCTTGATTTCTAGGGACACGGCATACTGGAAGTTTTTCACAATCTCCGGGATGGGTCTCGATGTCACAAAGAGGTTTGCTTTGCTGTGTTCCTGTATATCGAGGAGTGTATCCACGAACCTTGGCTGACAACCATCTGGCGTGGGACACTCGTCAAGGCCATCGACAAGGATGAAGAGCTTGCGCCATGTCGTTGAAACTGCCATCAAGGCTTGTCTGAGCTCCTCAACTGATGGCTGCGACCGTTGGTCCCGATGCTTTGTAAAGAGCTTTTGTACGTCTTCCGGAAGGGAAGGTTGGCCCTGCGACAACTGTTTCAGTAAGATTGCCAGTATATCACCCAGTTTCTGTTGATTGTTGTTCTTGAAACTGAAGTAAATATAGGCGACCACGGTTTTTGAGTCGGCAGAAAACTGCGTTGTGAGATGGTCGATGACGACTGAGGTGAGAATCGTCTTCCCCACCCCAGGGTTACCCGGACAAAACAATGTCTGCCCGCTGGTCCCTTTCCAGCCCTTGAACTCCGTTGAGTCCAGAAACCATTGGCCAGTTCCTGGCTGCCGCCGCCCGAAGCTGTCGGCCTGCTTGGAAGTGTAGTCTGTTGGCGTAAGCCAGTCAAGGATTTCCTGGCGCTTCTGGTCACGCTGTCGGGAGACGACTTCACCAAGCATGTCTAAAGGAGTAAGAAATACTTTTAGTAAATGTAATGGTTTAGACATGAACGTTATAATCTGCGAGCAGACAAGTATAGCGGGTGCTCTACTTGCTGTAAAGCCGGGGATGTGACCTCGTCTCAAAGGTCATAGAAAAGCATGTCCATTGAAAGTAAGAAGGGGACGTGAAAAAGCTAGTGGCTCTAGTAGCCACAAGGTATCTTACTCTTGATCGTCTGCTCTTGCTTCAACTCGCTAGCTTGGACCATGGTCAAGAATTCCTTGGCAAATGCTGCTGCCACAGCCGCAGCATGCTCTTGCCACCTCTTATTCTTGTGAGAGTCGGCATAGTCGCAAATGCCCCGAATGACGATGCATGGAAAGTCGTTCATTAGGCCTGCGGCCTCCATCTCGAAACACAGGACTTTCCCATCGAGAAGCTTGTTGATCTTTTCCCGGAATGCCCCATCCTTGACCACCTGGTTGCCTGACGCGATCAGACCGTAGTGGACCATCATATTCCTGGGCTTTCTTTTAACAATCATCGTCTCATCGCACCACTGGCACTCATCCTTGTCTTCCTCGTCGTCGCTACTATCGTCAAGATCCGCATTTCCCGTACACGGGGTTGGGGATCTGTCGACATGGTGATAGCGGGACTTGAATAGCACATCCTTGAGCGCGTCGGATCTTAAAAACCTAACATCCATGCCCGGATTTTTGACCTGCATCTCCTTCAAGTAGTTTGGGACTTCCGAGCCCGCCCTAAGGTGCCGTGATTTCAACTTTGACAAAGCTGTCAGCAGCGAAGTTGGGGGATTGTTAAGGGCGCCTGTTCGTTCGAAACTGCCATCCTTTGTGGCTTTGCCGAAGTCCCACTGGACGACACCGGGGAACTTCCCCACGGGAGAGCTGACGACGACGTCTCCAAGTCTGACACCCTGAGGGGCGCCCTTTGGAACACCGCCGCCGATGCCAACCATCAAGCACACTCTGATAGATGGAAAAGTGGATGTCATCCGGGTAGCAGCGGCAGCAGAGGAATTGTTGCCAGTCCTTCCTTCAGGAAGACAGGTTATGACCACATTGTGGCCGCTAATAGACCCGAGGGTATACGCATTGGAGTCGGTTGGCGGCTTGTCGAGCAGCTCATGCTCTTCGTCAAGCATAAGCTCTGCCGCCGTCATCTCCTTTGGAAGGGCACAGACCCATCCCACGGTGTAGTCGTCATGAGTCAGAACCTTGGAAGGCATTGCGCCAGTTGGTGAGGAATTTGGCAAGAGTTGAAGGGGGAGAAAGGCAACAAGGTGCTCTAGTGTAAAGTGGGTTTGAAATAACTTGAAGTAGTTGTTGGATATCTTCGAGGATACGGGGTCCGTCGGTTTCAAGACGAAGAAGAAATTGATGGGAAGTTGCTTATGGAGCTGGAAGAGTACGGGATAGAAGGCCCTTATTTATGCAATGACTACTATTAGAGACTCAACAGCTAGCCGTCCTCGAGTCCGCGTGGTGCGCAGAAGCTGCCTCTGGGACGCGATGTATGCGGTTTGCGATACGAGCTGGGCTTCGGCAATGAACAGGCCCAACACACATGGGATGTTTGGGCTCCAGCACGGGGTTTTTGACGGCTGCCTCGGCGGATATTGTGTATGACTCTGTACTTCCGTAGCTATGTAGGGATTGGCCAAGACGAATCTGAAGACCAGTATTGTTCACATGCCTAGTCACTTTGTGAGGGTGATCGGGCAAACGTACGCAGCGGAGAACACAGGGTTGAGGAATAGATGGCAAGATCCAACGCAGGATGCCCTCCCTTGTGGCAGATTCGTCGTTATCAGAACCTGTAGATGACCGATTTGGACGCCCATTTCGAAGGTGATGGAAATTATAGGAATGCTTTTGCGCGTGGCTTTTCGAGTGGACGGATCGAACTGTCTGGGATCAGCCGCTTGGGCAGTATCTAGGCTTAGCTGTAGAAACCTAATCTTGCAAATAGAAAAGAATGCCTACGTCATCCCTTAAGACTGGCCACCTTGGGAATGTTATGCGGGCAGACTCTGGAGTCGAATTTCAGCGCAACCAGCGGATGGCGCATTGGGTTCTCATGCGTCTTTGTGAGCCACAGCCAAATGTGCCGTGTGAGTAATTCAGCCTCAGATGTCTCCAAGAACGAGCAGCCTGTCAAAGCCCACCATTATATGCGAATGCCTGGCGGGGAAGGGCAATATTTGGCCAGCGAGTGGCTGAGCAGGCTACACATATGTAGACGTCATGCAAGCCACATTAACTCGTCACTTCTAGCGTTAGAAAGTGTAGATACGAACGGGCACCATGGACACTTGCCTTGCAGATCCTATCCAGGTTCTTAGGTCAGAATGTAAGCGACTAACACTGGAGGAAACCTAATTGCCTCATGGGTGCCTGGTGCTTGCGAGAGTTGCGGGTGACGATGTCGCGCTACTACTCAGCCGTGCTATACTATGACCAATTGTCCCTTCTTCTAGTGCCCAAAACGCCGCGATATGCATGAGAGGAAGTGTGACTGACCAGCGTGTCCATTGAACGGGCGCTTCACTTCACTTTACAAGAGCTGCGAGACATCTTGATACCCAAACCGCTGCCTCCGCGGAGACATTGTTGGGCCGCCGTGGCAGATTTGCAAACGCACGTTCGTCTTAGTACTCAGGCTCGCTCTTAGAATCGTAGATAGATGGGTTAGCTCTGACACTACATAAAGGCGCGTTGACGGGAGCGGATGAGGACTGGAGAAGTGCTCGTTAGCTGTCCTCGAAACCCCGGCTTCTAATTGAAAAATCGACACATCGCCTTCCGAACAATACCCCAGCTTATTCGCTAAACTCTGATTTCCTTCTCATACAACCCTCAACATAAGAATCTAGTAACATGGCGACTGCCTCCGCCGTTCCGGTCTTTGGTCACACCTCCGGCATCCCCGTTGGGATGGAAAAACGTGACAAGCACGCCGAGTATGCCCTGGTCGTTCAGGCTGCTAGTAGAGAGACAATCGAGTCGATCAAGTCGAAGGGCATACTCAAAGGCTCCGAATGGGCATCTCCTCTAGCCACCGCCCCTGCGGCGGTCGGAACCATGGCCATTCTTATCAAAACAGCCTCCGCGAAGGCGGCGGCCGGTCTCCAGGTCGAGACAGTGGAGGTCAAGGATGAAACCGGCCAGACAATTGGAAAGCTTCCGTAGGTTGCTATCATCGTTACTCGCTTGGGGCGGACTTAACTTAACAATTTTGAAAATCTCTAGGTCTAGGTATTTCCACAGCAATCTGCAGAATTGCAGCGATATTGGCCGGTCTGCCTTCTTGGAAGCTCAGGCAACCATGAATACTATCAGGGAGGTTGCGGCTAGAATGGTCCAAGACGGCGGCAGCGTCGCGAACATCATTGAGTTGCTCGAGAACCCCGAGATAGCCCAATATCTCTTGCCGTCGGAGATAAAGGCCATCAGAGACTCCGCTGGGAAGTGCTTGAAAAACGTCCAGGATCTCACAGACCGGTTCCAATACTGGTATTGGGTCATCTGCTGTTTGAAGAGCAATGTTCTTGCTGGTCAAGGTAAGCGTAGAATCCACTGTAGTCCGTTTCAGCAACCGGAGCAATAACACTTGGGCAGGGAGCAACCAAGACAAGGCCAACAAGAACCTGCAGCAACATAAGGAGACGGAAAGCCAGAAGATGGAGCAGATTGAAAAGGAAGAGGCCGCTAAGAAGGCGATAAAGGAACTAGAAGAGCGACTTGAAGAGGCGAAAAATAAGGTCGCCAGGGCCCAGCAGGAGGTTGAGAGGCTCCAGAAGCTGCCGGCGATCCCCGAGCCGGACTTTGCGGAAGCGATGCTTCACGCTGAGACGGCGGTTCCTGAATCAGCCGTGCCACAGAGAGGTAAAATGAATTGAACGACTACCAGGCAACCTACGCAGCTAACAGGCATACCTTTCCATTAGAGAAGGGATTTTTTGGGGGATTGTCGAACAAGATTTTCGGCGAAAGCAAGGAGGATTTTGAGGCCAGGAAGGCTCACCACCTAGAAATAGAACGTCAGCGCAATGAGTATATGGAAAAGGAGAAGGCTCGGCGCAAGGAAGACCGGAAAGTCGCAGCTAGTAGGCTCAAGGCAGCAAGAGAATTTGAGAGGAAGCTTGAGAAGGATATACTAAAGGCGGCGGAAGCGCTGACCGGAAACAGAAATATGCTCGCCGAGGCGAAGGCGAACTTGGAGATCACCGAGGCCCAGTTCAAACGACTTGGAGAGGAGAAGTTGGAACTCGTAAGTCTCTCTACTCCATCCCCAACATGCTCGTCGCTGGGCTTGAACTAACCGTGAGGAAAGGACGACATCTTGAAGATCCTAGAAGAATCGAGCATCCAGCTCGGCGAGCTGAAGGAGCAGGTCAGCCACCTCGTGAAATTCTTTAGCACTCTTCTTGGGGTTGTCAATGCGAGTATGGATGAGGACGTGGAGAATTTCCTGCGACCAATCCAGGCAATTGTCGTGGTGTCGGCAGTAGCCGACCAAAGCACGATTAATAAATTGCGCGATGCGAGCAAGAAGGTACGTCGGCAAATTCGCTTCTCGGGGCATTTCAGGGTGGTCTAGAAACTCTTCTCACATTAATATGGCAGAGAATCATCACGAAGGCACTTCATATCCAAAGCAGCTTCACGGCCATCAAGGACGTTGCTGGGACATACGTGTCCATCTCTGACAGCTACATCCTGCCGGCCATTAACAAGATGGAGAAGCTCTCAACCGTGACCGGCGGTGAATGGTCCAGAGAGAGTCAAGCCTTTACCCACTGGTGTAAGGAGGCCGTGGGCAAAATTGAGAAAATGGCCCGAGACGCCAGTGATGAGATGGAGCCGAACATGGCCGCCCGTGTATTATACTTGGAAGGGTGTGCGATCAAAGCGGAGGCCGCCAGCGGCCGCTAAGAGACCAAGCTGAGCGGACCAGGTCATGGCGATAAATTCGAGATATAGGAAGCAAGATGGGGAGGAGCACCCAGATTGGCGGCGGAGACATCGGGAGACGGCTAGCTTATGTCGGAAGGCAGGAAATGACAAGATTTAATTCCAGATTCTGAGCTCTATGGATGAGTAGCATGCTGCTCAATTTTCGGCCCAATGGTCAAATCTTGCAGCTTATTTCATCATGTTGTTTTTTTTTTCCCTTCTTTCGTGGGGGAGGGGGGGAAAGCCAAAGCCATCTGATATCTCTTAAAGGTCAGGACGCAACTCGCAAGCTGGTGTTCGGTAAATAGGACACGGATGTCTTTTCTCTTGAGTGTAGGTGATGTGCTCTGCTTGCCCACTGCCATGGTCTATCATCCAAAGTCAAGCCAGCGACATCTCGTCGGCCCAAAACTGCTCGGTGATGCATATCGTCGACGTACACCCCCCCTACTCACCCTGCTCACCTGCTCCTCCTGAGTGGACAGTCGTGGTGAGCAAAATCTGCAGATATTACAAAGTGGATTGAAGATTCAAGAAGTTATCGAGTTTCTTGCCCCTTAAGCTTCGATGCCCGGATTGTGTGATATCGCATATAAAGATTCCATGCCCCAAATTCTCACTTTCTATCTGCATTTTACAAACATAGGTGATACGGACCTCAAGATCCAATCTCTGCCTCTGCTGTATTAAGGAAAAATCAAATTCTCACAGCCTGAAAAAGGACTTCGGAGATTTGATTCTTCCAAGTTCTGTGTGTCGGTTGGGCAATGTATGTACATAGGCGAAATATCGCAAATATGAGAAGTGAATGTTTGAGGCTGTGACAAGTTGACACTGTCTGAAGTCGCCAGCCTCAAACTCTCGCTGACCTCACAACTCAACACCGCCATCCATGCCCCATACCCGGATGGTTCATGAATCTGCGAACAGCTCGCAATCCCATGTGACCTAATATCAGAGCGAAATAGACGTCGATAAACTCCTCATCGGTTATTAACTGAAGGAGAAAACGCTTGGAAATTCCCGATCTCTCTTCCCAAGGCTGCCCTTCACAGACACAGGTCATCCTCGAGTCCCCGTTAATGAGAAGGGATTGGGCTTTGTGTCTCGAGGTTGGGCCGGATCCCAGGAAGCGCCCTGTATGATAAGAACACTCTAGTGAAGCCGGCGGTGACATTTGCGGAACTCACGATGCCGCCCACTCGGAACGGTTCAGCTGGCCCCCCTGCCAAGCTGGCGTCCGTCCAGGGTCTCTGGCAGGTATGCTCATCCTCCTTCCCCGTCGCTTTTCTCAAAGTTGTGATCGGTTTACAACGTTTCAATGTTGGATGGCTGACATTATGACGCCGTAGCGTACTTATGCAGCAGATTACATCGGCTTTGCCGTTCTGCTCTTCTTATATCTCATGGTGAGTATCTAAGTGGAGGCCTTGGCGCAATCGCCTGTTCTCAGGCCAATTCTGACTTCGTCTCCGAGATGGTCTTCTTTGTCGAACCATTCCACCGAATGTTCTTCATAAATGACTTGAATATTTCCTATCCTCATGCTGAGGTTGAGAGAGTACCTGTCAGTAAGTATAAATCGCAATCCTACGATGCTGTCCACGGCTGTCGCTGACTTTAGTCTTTTTTCTTCAACAGCCATGAATTTCGTATATGCCCTCTTTATACCTCTTGGCGTCCTGATTCTATACAACATGATAGCCCGATCCCCCGTCCACAAGCACGAAGTCACGTACCTCTCCTTCGCTATCGCCCTAATTCTAACCTCCTTCATCACCGACCTCGTGAAAAACACTGTCGGCCGCCCCCGCCCCGACCTCCTCTCCCGCTGCAAACCCTCGCCCGACACCCCGTCCAACACCCTCGTCACCATCGCCGTCTGCACCGAAACAAACCACCACACCCTCCACGACGGCTGGCGCTCCTTCCCCTCGGGCCACTCCTCCTTCTCCTTCGCCGGCCTCGGCTTCCTCAGCATCTTCCTCGCAGGCCAGCTTCGCATTTTCCGCCACGCGCACGGCGGCCGCGACCTCAGCCGCGCCTTGCTCTGCCTCACTCCTTTGCTGGCTGCTGCCCTTATCGCCATTAGTCGCTGCGAGGACTACCGCCATGATGTCTATGATGTGTGCTGTGGCTCGCTGCTCGGCTTCGTTGTCGCGTACTGGAGTTATAGACGGCACTGGCCGCACCTCACGGCGAGGGATTGTGATCAGCCCTATCCTAAGCCTGAGGTGGCTCCTCCAGGGTGGAATAGGGTACGGGACGAGGAGAGCGGCGTGGCTGGTTTGAATGATGTAGGCTTTGAAATGTCTGAAATACGTTGATCCTGTGACATAGTGCTGATTGCCTCTCAGGAGAACCATTGAAGTTGTTGATATATATATATCTATCTACGCTCGGTCGACCAAAAGAAAATTGTCCCAAATTTCGGCCCGCATTCCACAAACCTGTAACTTTGGGGGTACTAATACACCCCAATCGTCTGAATCCACGCCAGAATTCATTGTCGCTTTTCATGGGCCGGCGTTTAAGGGGAGGCGTATCGCATTGAACCCTACGCAAAATATACTTATAAGATAAATGCGGAGGATGGTAAGCAGAATGTGCACATTTCTACTGCAGTCAGGTAGTCATTGGTTCCAGATATCTAGCTATGTAATACAAGGGTACCTGGCACCGGAGGATGCAGGTACATTACGAGACCCTCGCTCCGGTCTCCCTCACGTTCCAGCATAACAACAAAATCAACAATGTACAGCAGCTTATTTGTCGTCGGTGGACTCGTCCTTGGCCAAATCGTGTTCCTTGAGCAGCGCGGTGATTTCGTCGGCGCTCCAGAGGCGGTGATAGATCTTTCCGTCGCTTGTCTGGCCTACTGTCGCAAACTCGACTATAGTAGAAATATGTCATTAGTAAAAGTCGGCAAAAGGACCGCGACCTGGATGGGAACTACACGTACTCTTTTCACTGCTGAGCTTGGTCGAGTCCATAGTCTTGCTGAGCACCTTGACAGCAAGGGCGCAAGCCTCCTTGAGCGTGCAATCTTCCTTGTAATCCTGCTTCAACAAGCTCTGAGCGCTAGCGTGGTTCGCTCCGGCGCTTGTCGCCTTCCAACCACCGTAGTTTCCAGACGGGTTGCTGTGGTAGAGCTGGAATTGTCGGCGGGGGTCCCAACCCGCATAGATGAACGATACACCGAAAGGTCGGAGACCACCGTGTTGGGTGTAGCCTTGCTTGAGATCGCAGAGCCTCCGCACGAGCTGTTCACAGGGGATGTCTTCGTCGTACGTGAGAAGGTAGCGCTGGGCAACTTGCCTTGCGTATGTGATGAGGATGTTGGCATCGGCTGTCATTCCGGCGACGGCGCAGATCATGTTGCTGCATTCGACGAAGACGGGGTTAGCCACCACGTTCGCTAGAGAGGACGAGGACCGCCTGGAAAGCAGGAAACGTACTCATTCAAGATGTAGAGCTTCTCTGCAGAGGTATCTTGCTCGAGGAGCTTAGAGGTAACTTTCCTCTCCGCTGCTAGTACGATGCCGTCCTTGGCAAGGATACCAATGGCTGTGCCGGCGTGAGAAATGGCTTCCAGGGCATATTCAACTTGATACAATCGTCCTTCGGGCGAGAAGATGGTAGTCTAAAGGGGGGGCCGTCCAGCGTTAGCCCAGCATATCATAAGGAAGAAAGACGCAATATATACGACGACGCCGAGGCGATGGGCAAGGGTTGTTTCAACATACTCGAGAATCGTATCTACGGGCCATCGTGAAGGCGGTGGGAGAGCGATGTCAAGGTGGGCGGAAATCTATCGACGGCTTGGGAGAGGGGAGTTGCGGGATAGAGAAGACGAAATCGCGAAGTCAAGGATTATCGTTGTCTCAATGGTTATCTTTCAAACGGAATTGCGGACGAAACCCGAAAGTGTGATTGTGTGAATGGTGATGTACGATGATTGACTGCTGCTTTCCTGGACACGGCTGAAGCTTCGATGAGCTCCCCAGAGCCAGCAAGATGCGTCGCTCCAGGCAATCAAGCGCCGCGTAGTGAGGTACTGTCCGCGCTGGCAACAACTGCCTGGGACTGACAGGCTTGATATGACTAATCACATTTCTGCCATAGTTTAGCCGAAACGAGAAATATGCCCTTACATATTAGGCATCAATATTCCGCGACATGAACTTGGTCGTGTGATGAGGTCGAACTTTCCATCATATAAACAACCCACTGCCACATGAAGAGCCGAAGAGGAGAAAAAAAAAAAAAATTAGAAAAATTCCTTCTCATATTTTCCACAACCTTCTTCACCTCCATCGCAGATCGCATCCAACCTGCCAAAACCATCCCAACAACGCGTGGGCTTCTCACGTGCAAAAGTTGCCACCAGTCGACGAAAAATAGGGCCTTGATATTTGCGACGACGTCAAATCCCTCCAGCCACAACGTCACGGGTCCCAAACCCCAGATTTATCATCAATCGCAATCAAATCTAAGAACACTTAACGCGCTTCGCCACCCAACAACTCCTTTCCCATCAACATTTCTGTCATTTCCGCCATTTCCACCACTTCGCGATTATTGCGTCTATCAACCCGTATAATTCGACTCCTGGTCTGTCTCACTGACATTCACAGAGCCTCATCCCCACTTCGGTATCGAACACTATCCCAATCGATAGGAGGCAAACTGTCGCGTCCAGTCGTTCACTGGGCCATCACTGCTTCTCCAAAACATCGTAGAGGCAGGACTATCTTGAAACTACTTCCCACCGTTTGCGGGCAGGATACGGGATATTGGGACAATTACTCGTCTCTCGTGCCCTTCGCGCTTCTGCGAAAGAAAAAAAGTTGTTCATTACCCGCGATGCGCAAGTGACGTTCTGGACTCAGATTAGTCCCTTTGCGTAACAATTGATCAGAAGAGTCATAAAGAGAGTCTTGTGTGTAATAACTTGCCGCACAAGAGTTCCGACAGGGGCTAGCCTAGATCGTGGCTGGTAGTTGTCTTTGTTGTAGAAGCTTCTCCTTTTTTATTCTTTCTTCCTATACTCGACGACGTAATTCCTTAGTCTCAATCGCGAGATTCCACCATGTCTGGTAAGCTACCTCGTACCCGAAGAGCGACTCGTCCAGTCGCGCGTTCCCTCAGAAGCTCGTACCCAGCGACCGCGTTGGGTAACCGCGTCAAGCGTCCGGCTCGAGATACCCCCGATCCCCTCTACGCGTCGAGACCACTCGTCAAGAGAAGACGACATGCTGACCTCCAACCTCTTCTTCTATCCACAGGCGAACCAGAACCCAGACGATCGGTGCGAGCCACGAAAGGCCAGCATACGAAAACCTTCGACCAGCTCGACCAACCCATCGAAGCCCCCAAGCGCAGGGGGAAGAGGAGCAAGAAGGCCAGCGTGCCCGACGAGAAACAAGAAGAACCCGAGGAGGAAATCATCCGGTGCGTCTGCGGCGCAACCGAACAAGATGAGGATTCGGGCGAGCCGTGGATCGCGTGCGATACCTGCGGAGCTTGGCAGCACAATGTATGCATGGGCATGAGCGTTTTTACGGAAGACCTCCCCACGCACTACTACTGCGAGCAGTGCAGGCCGTCTGAGCATGCGGAACTCCTTGAGGGCATGAAGAAGGGTGAGAAGCCGTGGGAGGCTCGACGCGCTGCGTACGAGGCCGAGGCTGAAAAGAAGAAGAAGAGGGGCCGTCGCGGTAGGGGGAAGCGCGTCAGCGATTCCAAGGATGGTAAAGAGCAGACGGAAGAGGCCACACCGGGAGCTCAGCGTAAAAGCAAGAGCCCAGGCCTCGAACTCAAGAAGGAAAAGGAGAGCGCCGCGAAACCATCGACCGGGAAGCGAAAGACTCGTGATGATTCACAAGATGACGAATCAAAGGTTGATCCAACTATCTTACATGCCACTAATAATCTCAGTGAATCGATGCTAACATTTCCATATCCTCAGGCCAACGCACCAGCACAGAAGCTCCAGAAGGTGTCGGAATCCAAGGCTATCTCCTCGGGCTACAAGCCTCCCGAGGATCTCGCCGCCAGCCTCACTGATCTGCCCGACAACCGTCATGGTCCTGTCAAGGTCCTACTCAAGTCCCTTACACACGCCCTTGGTGTTGCCATCAAGAAGGGCAACTACGTTCTCAAAGAAGGCGAGACTGTCGATGTGAAGGCCGAAAAGCATGCTCTACAAATTGAGCGGGCTGTCTTCGACAGCCACCCCAACCACAAGGAGTATGCTGGCCAGTGTAGGACATTGGCGTTTAACCTCAAGAATAATGAGGACCTATCAAGCAATCTATTCAACAATAAGCTGTCGCCTACGGTGCTGGCCGTCATGACATCCAATGAACTGGCTTCCAAAGAGCTCCAGAGGGAGCTAGCCGAGATGAAAGCCAAGGTAGAAAAGCAGTCTATTCTCATCGCCGAAGAAGGTCCCCGAGTCCGACGGACGCACAAGGGTGAGGAATTCATCGAAAGCGATAACGAGATGCAGGCTGATGAAGAGACCCCGAACTTTGCTGCCAAGCCCCGCGAAGGATCCGGAGGCCCTTCGAGGAAAGCAAGCGAAAGCGCGGCGGTGCCGGACTCGACCGGCAAGCCTCCTTTGACCATCGACACCAAGCAGTCCCCGCGACAGAGTGAATTTGATATCGGCAAAGTCTTCTCCAGCGTAAAGTCTCCGACACTGGCCAACCAAATCCGGAGACCTTCGGGCGGTACATTTGGACCTGCGGGCGGCCCGGGAGTGGATGCAGAGGTCGACAGGCTCCTACAAGACGAGACCGAGTCGCCGCCGTATTCCCCGACAGAGGACAACGACCCGGATGTTGTCTGGCGAGGCCACCTCGTCATGAACTCGCTCGCCGACATCCCGGCGACAATCAAGTATATGGGCGGCGCAAACCTAGCCGCCGATAGAATCGTGCCCTGGACCACGCTGATCCCGAAGAGACTAAGCGTTGCCGGCCGGATCGACCAGCAAAAGGCCGTAGAATACCTCTGCAGCCTTCGATACAACCAATTCACCGACGTAGTCGTCACGAGCATATCGCCGTCCTCCGAGACGTACAAGGCCGAGTTCGAGGCCGTTTACAACTACTTCGTCTCCAAGCAACGGTATGGTGTTATTGGCGATAAGGGCGTTGCTAACGTCCGCGATACATATCTCGTGCCCGTCGTCCCCGGCGAGGGAAATCACCCCGAGTTTATGCTTAATCTCGCTGTAAATCTCATTCCAGCGAAGCGCACCGAACCTATGCTTCTGGCTGTCTTTGTCTACCGTGACGATGCTAGACTTTTGAGAGCCGGTCAGGCTGCTGCTGCTGCTGCTGCTGCGGCCGCCACCCCGACGACGGGCCCTCGCGGCGCAGTCTCCGCAATCTCGCCACAGATTCCGCAAGGGCAATTCCCAACACCCAGCGCACCGGGAACCCCCCTAACCCCTCGGCCCCAAGCCGCTCCCCCAACCGTGCCGCCGACCAGCGAACAGGCCGAAGTCGCCAGGCAAAAGGCGCAGATTCAGGGCCAGCAGATGGCGTCTGACATCCTGGGTCCCCTTCACTCGGCACCTACGGTGCAGTTCCTCCTCCCAATGGCATACCAAATGACGCAGACGGAATGGGAAATCATAAGAGAGCTTCTCGAATCGGATCCGAAAGCGAGAGAGGATCTCCAGCATCTGAGCATGCTTTTGGAGCGTCATGGAAATGCACGGAAGGAGGCCCAAGGGATTGGTCCTGGGCCGCGAGCTGCGGGTGCCTTGCCGATGCAAGGATTGCAGCACCCAGCTGCCGCTACGGCTCCGGCTAACGGCCAGTAGGGGGCGCGTTTTTATCTCCTTCGCTTTTATCTTCTATTCTTTTTTTTCTTCTTTCCCTCCCTTTCATGCAAATACTTTTCACCTTTCTCTTGCATTAAGTTCTTGCTCTTGTCTGTGTTCTATTTTTTGTAATTCGGCTAAGTTTATCTTTGAGCTTTTTACGCTAGGTTCTAAGGAAAGGAGGGATAGTGAGAGGGCGGCTTTCTCAGGAGCAGGATTTGCTAGATACCTCTTTTCGTTTCATGTTTAGGAGAGGATGGGAAAATGGCCCATGTTCAAGGTGTAACAGAACAACAGCACACTCTTATGGCCCAATACCGGAAGTAAATAGGTTCCATGGAAACTCGGAAATCAACCTTCCTAGCTCATACAGCCATTGCTTTGTTCGAAGTGAAGATGAAGATAGTGGGTGGTCCCATTAAGTAGTGATTCGATCAATTTTCAACTTTACCTTTTGGTGCCTGTAGGATTCCTCTTCTAATTCTAGAGACAGAATCTCAAACTGGTGGATAAAAGCGTCGAGATATCAAGACCAATAAGCTTAGAGAATTCGACCAGGACTTTGGCCTCAGCCCCAGGAGCAACGTCACCCCAGTCCTCGAAGCCAGGATATTTCTCCCCGCAATCTCACCGACGATCAATATCGCCCAATTCCAATCCCAATTCCAATCCCAATCCTTATCTCAACCTCCGACTCCCAGCCACGCATACTCAACGGTCTTCCCAAGACAACCTCCACCCAACTACTAAATTCGCCGGCTCTCGTCCTCCGCCTCAACTGACACACAACTCGCGACAATGCCCGCCTCGACTACGGCTCCTGGCAGCGCTGCCACCTCCATCGCCGAGAGCATTGTCAAGCCCACCGACGCGACCGGCAAGACCCAATGTATTCAGTGCGGCGATTACGAGTGCTGTTGCATCCCCTGCGTGATTCTCTGAGAGGGAGCATTGTCGTCTAAAATCACCGGCTCCTCTCCGAAACACCTCTCTCTCTATTGATATCGTCCCTTCCCCCTCACGGCGCATTGGAAAAAGCGAATTTCCCAGCTCGAATGGCGATATGCCGCCGGGAGTGATGTCAAGGCAGCTTTAGAAACGTCGTGCGAAATAGATCGGTTCCGAGTTGGAAGGTAAATTAAGTTAGGGGTATTTTTTTGTTTTATACAGAGCGAATCATGAGTTCCTAAGTCCATTTCTCGTGTGAATGCCGTGCCCTTTTGCTTTTGATGCGTCCAAATCGAGCATCACAAAGCTAAACTGTTCCGCCAGGCCAATCCCCATCCCTTAAAGTGCCATACGTAGCCGACATGGAGACGCGCCCCGAGTGCCAATGCCAATAACAACAGTCTTCTCTTCCGTCGCTATAAGATCAACTCATCAGCCGCCGCCCAAACCTCAGTCTCCCTCTTCTGGCCCCCTTCCTTCACCTCCTCCTTCTCCTTGCCCCTCATAACCCACGCCGATTCGGGCCGCTCCGAAATCTCAATACTCCCCAACCCTTCGATAACCCGCTTCGTGCGATCCACGCTCTCTCTTATGGCGGCCGTCTCGGCGCGTGTTCGGTCGAGGTGTTCTTGCATGAGGGCGATCGTGGACTCTCGAGCTTGGTGGGGTCGGTATTCGTTGAGGACGTGGTGGAAGTTGATGAAGAGCGTGCGGAGGTCATTAGCCTTCTCCTCGGCCTAGTAATCGGATGAGTTAGTATTCATACGAGGAAGATGGTACAAGGTGGGTTGAACAATTTCAATCGTACCTGTGCAGGGTCTATACTTAAGATTCCCAGTAATTCTAGGAAGTTCAAAAGTAGTGACTTCGCCAGCCGCTTAAGCTCAAAGGCTCGGTCTTGATGTTTACCCTCCTTCCCTTGCTCGTCTTGCGAGGCGCTCTCGGCGCCTAGTTTGGGCATCCCTTGTTCTTCGAGGGTTGGTAACTTGTCGTCAAGCTGCCATACCAAATCAATAAGCAAAGAGGCCATGGAGCAACCCGGGGATACGACGCAAAACCATTCATACCGTGTACTGATCCCCAAACACTCTCCACTTCCCATCCTCGGGCTCCGCCGGCGGTTGTAAATTGATCAAATCCGTCGGTATGTTCGGTATCCTCGCCACGGGTGCATTTTCACTCTGATCTCCTGCTTTCGGCTGGCTCTCGACGAATTGCCGGAATTGCTCGAGCTTCTCCTCGGTGAAGTCTTCGAAGAATGGGGGCGGATTGGGCCATGTTGAAGCGAGGGCGCTTCGTGTCGGTTGCTGGGAATCTTGGGGATCGCCCATTGGGCAGGAGTTTAGTAGGCGCTGAGAGCAGCACCCCAATCGTGAGACGTAGAGGAGGTCGCGTGGAAGTGACGACGAAGCGAGATGGTATCGATTCGCTATTGCAGATGAGTCCGCAGGGTTTGGAGATGGGGTGCGTAAAGTTGACGGGTTAATTAACGGGCCAAGACAAACCCCCGCAAGTTAAATAAGTAAAAAAAATCAGAAAGACAGCGGAATGAGGAGTTGTCTAATGTACCAACTTCATAACACTGCTCGAAATGAAGGGGAAGAAGCTCCCAGCATCACGAAATGCTCCAAGTCCCTCCCACTGTTTCACTGTTCCACTGTTCCACCATTCCACTGTTCTGCGATGCGCCGGCTAAACCCCGGGCCAGGGAGCTTTGGCCCTTCCAGCTCCGCCCACCGCCCCCGTTGCACTTTCAGCCCGCCTCGCCTCGCCAACCGAACAGACACGGAGTCTGAACAATTGCAAGTGTCACTAGATAGAGGACTAGTCAGGAGCTTAATTCCCACCTCCCTAGCCCAAACCCTCTTTCCCCCCCTTTTTGGACACTCCCACGTCTACCCCCCTCGTCATTGACTTGTCAGAACATCCGCATCCCCTCCGCAATCAGCCCCTCATTCATCCCTCCAGAGCTCCCTGTAGCTCAACAACATATTCAAAAAAGTCAACAATGGCCGACGTACGCTCCCTCCTCCGGCAGCAGCAAGCAGCCCGGCGGATAACCCACCCCCACGCGCAATACTCCGAATCTGGCAAGCTTTCCTGCTCACTATGCCGCGAATCAGTCAAGACTGAAGCCCTCTGGGAAGCCCACGTCCGGAGCGCGTCGCACCGCCAGATCCTCCAAGGCCTCGCCGCCGCGAGGGAACGCGAGCGGGAAGCCGGGCCTTCGACGAGCGCGAAGAGGAAATTGGATGTCGACGAGGACGAGGACGAGATGATGGATGAAACGATCCGGAAGAAGAGGAGCAGGGCAGAGATTGCTTCGCCCCAACCGCTACAACCCGGCATGGCGGCGATCGACCAGGAGCAGGCCTTGACTCCACTGAGCCGACGCACGTCGAATACTCCCGTCCAGGGCGTCGAGATGAAGATTCCTTCGAGGCCCGCCACGCCAATGGCTATCCGCGATAGCGTATCGAGCGCTTCCACGCCCAACACCAACGGAGACCACAGCCGCGCCTCCTCCAAATCCCACATCTCGACCCAAAGACAACCCCAGCAACAACTACAACAACAACAAGCGAAGCAGACCCCCGCCGCGCAAGCAATCGACGAATCCGAATGGGCAGCCTTCGAAGCCGACATCGCAGCCACCACGGCACCCTACTCCGAAGACGCCGTCATCTCGGCTCCCGCCATGCCCGCCGGCGGCGCAGCCGACGCGACGGAAAATCCTGAAGAGGCGGCCGCGCCGGCGGATAAGGAGATTGAGGCCGAGCGCGAGGACGCCACGCGTGCGCTGGAGGAGGAGTTTGAGGAGATGGAGGAGCTGGAGGCGAGGGCGAGGAGGTTAAAGGAGAAGAGGGAGGCTTTGCGGTTACGGACGGCGAGGCAGGATATTGGCGGGGATGAGGGGGCTGGCGAGAAGAAGAAGCCGTCTCCGGCTGCGGGTAAGGAAAATTTAGGTGCTGGGGAGAATGAAGAGGAAGAGGATGAAGATGAAGAAGAGTACGAGGAGGATGATTATGCTTGGGGTGGACTTCGCTACGCGGGTCGTGCGTGAAGTGTGGTGGTTTCAGAACCATCCTCCTCGGCGATTCCTAACTGAAAAGTAGTCTTGCACCTCCTTAAGTCTCTCAGACGTCACCCAACATCGTTGATTTATTATCACACTTATGCGGTCTCTGGGGGACGTGTATCATAGATTTACCTTCATGTTCGACGTATACTTAGCGCTCCATTGACGAGGATCCTCCCTCATAGTTGAATATCAATAAACCCTCGTGTCCTTCATCCTGTCATCCAACGAGCAAGCTCTTATCTCGAACCTCTCGACACAATCTCACCCATCCACGTTCCCATCCATAACAGGAATATAGAAAGCGGACAAGAATTGCTGCAAGACCGCATCCAAAGCATCTTTTCAAAGAAACGGCGCACCCAGTTGTTTGCAAGATAACACGTAATTGAATGATCTAACCAGCAGCCGAACGAAACGACAGACCCGACCACCGAAAAGACGAAAAGAGCACAGCCATCATCCCACGAAATACCAAAAACACATGAACTACACTATCTTACAATCGCACATCCATCCAAATCACAACAAAAATAACGCCAAGATTCCCTCCCGACCTCTCATCAATCGTTTGGTGGCTAGCAGGGGCGTTGCGTCCCACCTAGTGAACCCCGCCCCTCACGGCTTCATTCTTCATGCTGTGCCTCCCTCCTCTGCCTCACTTCCCCCTTCCAGACATCCCCCACCCAAGACCTTAGCCCGTCCTTAAGCCGCTCCTTCTCAATGGCCCTTCGTCTCGCCACCAGGGCGGGGGCTACATGCACCGCAGAAAGCCCCGGCACGCATTCGCGAGGAAGGACACACCGCTGGACGAGCATCTCGGCAGACGGCCTAGCAGCCAGCCTCCGAGCGAGCCTAATGGATATGAGTTTCCGATCCAGGCGACGCGATACGATCGAGGTGCGGGTCTGTACGATGGAGCGTGCAATCAGATCCGAGCGAGACGGGCGACACGGCGAGGAGAGGAGGGGAGGGAGTATCGCTCTGTTGCGGCGCAAGCGATTGGCATGAAGGATAGGAGTCAAAGCCAGCTCCCGGAGCTGATGATTTGCCTGGGGTTGTTGAGAAAGTCAGATCTGACGGACATGATTGGATTCAATGACATGAAAAAGGCGCCAATGTGGTGCTCTGTCTGCGGATATACATGCAAGTTCGGGAACCATTTGCGTGTAGCTTCGCTGATCCCCCCTCTCCATCATGTCCCCAACCCAACGATCCAGCACTACAGAAGAACTGTACGACGTCCTCGCCTGCAGCTATGTCACATCGGTAAGGAAGTAATGGGGGGGTGGCTGGGTCCTGGAGGAGAAGAAAGACAAGGAATCACAATAGGGTAGAGAGACATGGTACAGTTGCGGAATACTCACGCGGGAAATAGAGAGAAGATCGGATACGTCTAGATACCCGAGTATTTGAAGGAGAATCTCATTTGGGAGATTCGGGAAGGTCATGGGTGACTGGGACGCTATCCCGACAGACCTCGCGGTGCAGAGCCAGCTGTTAGAAGCTAGGTCGGGGGCAGTCAAGTCAGAAGGACTAGATACCCTAGAGTCAATGACCCGAAAGATGTGTTGGGCAGCGGCACATCCCGCAGAAGTCGTATCCAGTGAGGCAACATACCGATCCGAGACTTTCCCCGTCATGGAGTCCGTAGGTTCCACGGACTGCATCACGTTGGGATCACTGCGCAGCTCAAAGCTCATCGCTGGCTGGTGGTGAAATCAAGGGACTGTTCCAACTTGTCTGTCAAGAGTAGACTCCTGTAATGCAGCGTATGGAGAGGAGTCGAGAAACGCTTGAAACACCTAGGTCCTATTTTCCTGATGCAGTCTTCGTTCTATGTCCAAGTGAGATCCTACTAAGGACGAAAGGGCAATGGGCAAACGCTGGTTCGAGGGATCGGAATCGAGGAGGCCGGTGACGTAAGCGTCGCAGCCCTGCAAGATGGCGAAAGTACTTCGGGCTCTTGAATCAATGATTCTCTCGCTCCTTCAATTCAGAAAAAAACAAAGAGGAAAGAGAGCCCTGATACAGGTAGAATTGGCAAGAGACTGATGATGCGGGGGAAATAACGGTTTGCAGTAGCCAAATGACATTTGCTGCTGCCTTGCGGGAGTGGACTGTTGTCGTCAGCTCCCCAGACTACAGCTTTGACTTCTCTCAGCGGCTCCGAACAGTAGGCTTTTTCTTTGTGGAGCAACTCGACCAGGAGTTGTCTTCAAGTTGTTCTAATTTTCTTCTCTCCCCAAAATTTGCATTCGCGATGGATACCTAAGAATGGGTATGGAAAACCCCGATTGTGAAGTCAGGAACAGAGAATCAGCCTTGTCATCATCGAGGCAGCTGATGTGATGGCTTCCCTTCGTCTGAGGGGGACAACAACAACCGAATGCGCCAATGACGGACCGGGTTGATCCGGCAATATAGTCGCGCGTAATAATGTGAGGATCGATCGATGGGCCTTGACAATGGCCGCACCAGAGGCCGGAGGCAAGGTTCTCCGCAATTGACGTCTCCAGGCAGCAAGAGCGCGGCGAGTCGAGAACAAGAAATGGCACTGCAACGCTTGGTTCGTCTCAGGCACGTCGCTGACGCGGGTGGTCGGTCGCGACAGACTGAGAGGGGGAGATGGCATCAAACTAGAAATGGGCACAGGGTAATGAATCTGTTGATGTGTGAGATCAAAATGCGTTGAGCATGGGGGTCAGTCACACCCAGCTCCGCATGCGGTTAGTGGACAGATCTCAATCAATAAGAGCTCAAGATCAATGATGGGCAGCAGGCAGCTGCAGCTGTGTGGTTTGAGAGAGGCAAGGCTCTGACAATAGTCGCCGATGGACAGAATTCACGCGGGTAATGCCAGGCAATCAGGGACGGAAGGAACTCTCTGCCCAGGCTCTAATTAGCGCTCTGGCTTCCGGACGAGCAGAAGCCGGCCAGTGCGGTCGTGGGCAACGGCGCGAAATTGGGGGTGGGGTAAAGACCGCAATATCCGATTATCCATTCAATTGCTTGATGTTGCAGTCAATGGTGACAGTTGAGGCTTGGACTTGGGTGGTGATTGCCGTGATTGTCCGTCTCGACGTTCGATTTGCTTTTCAAGGTACAGGAAAGTACAGACGCCCGCGTTTCCGCATTGTTTCTACCGGAAGGGAACGTCACGTCAGTAGCGCCGGTCTCAGGGAAGTCAGCGAAGGATTGATTGACCCCAGGTCGGAACTTGCGACACAGGTCGGTCGGAGGCATTCGCAA